ACAGGATATGTTCTTTTGAGGTATTTGAATGCCAGAGTTCAATGTCAACTTTTTGTTATGAATATTTTGGTGTATTCTAGACCAAAATCGGCCATTTTTTCAGCAAATGCCAGCTTAAGCTCCCCCGATGCTGTCGTCGACTGTCAACAAAACACGACTCAAAGCACCCTCAGCACCTGTACACATAATATGCAACGGTTCAGGCCCTTCATACGTTCTGCGACCAAAAAGAGAATAGAAATTGTCGAACCATCAAGGCCTGGAGTTACAAAAATTGAAAAAATATACATTAATGCAATGAAACCAAATATATCTTTAACATAAAAATATGGATATATGGTATTTTTTTAATAAATACCTTACGGATTATTTGAACCATTTCCATCAGTGTTGTCACGATGGAGAAGTCATTCCAGAAGGCAATTCCCCAAATTTCCAATTGTGAACGAACCTAGCCTGCAATTAAATACTAGATCAGAATGTATGGATGAATGTATGTAACAGTATACGTGATACCTCGGGGTAGTGTGGATTATTGTGTCGCACTTTAGTGTCCCGATGGCGACCCGATGCCAATCCTTCACCCCTCACACACAATGTGCTACTTCGACAGGGTTAGCGTGCCCTTCGCCGCTTACCCTAATGCTAATCACCGCGCCAAATATCGCAAATGTATTTTCGGACTGTCGGTGCTACCAAATACAAGTAACAGGTTAGTCTTTTCAAGTAGTACTGCAGTCCTGGTCAAGGTTAAATACTGCATATTTTCTAAATTCTGTTCGCCAATCAGTATATATTTGGTTTGCAATCATGGGTGCACTTGATGCTTCCAAATTTCAAAATACTCGCGAAGCGTGTTTTTTTCTGCATTCTGCAGACCTGTGTGGGTGACTGTTCCGGATGCATTTTCGTACGATGCTCGCGGATACATGCCGGTGTGGTGTCGTCGGCGTTCTTGCCACGTTCAGCACATGCGGCGAAAGCTGCGTCAAAAAGACGACAGCTCACAGTGACAGGCCATATCGTCCCTCGACGGCGAAATGTAGGAGCCGCCAGCCAAACATTTCATTTGCGAGTCGATGTGGCAACGAGGACGAATGTGGCTTCAACGCAATGGTTAACTCGTGCGCAAAATACGATAACAAACTCAGAGATCGGAGGGCTCGCATAGTTGACAAATTGCCTCGACAATCAACCAACCTTCACACAATTGAAATCGAATTGCACAATGCAAGACAGGGAAACTACAGAGAATTCACAGCTAACCAAAAAACCATGGTGACCAGATCCATGGTAGATATACCTCATTGTAAACACACAACCTACCTCGTGCCAGGCAATGCCGCAACGTTCGCCCTCGATGTCCTCTGTGGGCAAATCTTCGCCCTTGTGGGCTGCCACGACTCCTTCCGATTGCGAATTGCTTTGAATTATATTCATGGAGGAAGGATATTCAATCGTTATGTAAATAAATATATCTGAATTTTCATTGGCTAGACAATAATTGCTTGATGCGATTGGTGGAAACCCTCGAGAATGTTACGCTCGACTTGTTTGCGACGATGGCGCAGAGCTTGAGCAAGAAGCACATTCTGGACGAAGACGAGTATGTGGATGCCCTGGACAAGATCATTGAGCGCGACTTCTTCCCAGACTTAGAGAGACTCAAACACCAGGCGATGGTACGTTCCGCGCGCTCTTCGAGGCGCATTCATCTCACGAGGATGGACACAGTGGTTGGACGCCGTCGCCAGCAACAACCCACGTTTGATCCAAGAAGCTCGAGAATACTTGATCAACCAACGGTCATCCCAGGAAGCCTCTCGGAGTAGTTCCCATCCCGAATGTTCGCCGTCGCCTTTATTTGCTCGATTGATGTCGTCATCTCGCGGTAGCATTACGAAAGAGTCGAACACCGATCGTGGAAACGTGCGAGTCATCATGGGATCAACCAACTCCACCTCGCGCATCGCAAGGCGTTCAAGTCGATAATGGAGCTGACGAAACGCCCTCTATTACCCCATCGACCGCAGGTGCTAGCCACCCCACGTCCTCCATGACCCTCAACGAGTTTATTGTACGTCGTCGGTCATCCATGTTGTTTGACCATCATGACAGGCAAAACACACATCGGAAGACAATGCAGCGTTCGAGGAGTTGCAAGAGAAAGCCATCAACGACCACAAACGAAAGTACCATTGGGCGTACGATGACCCTGCCAACCGAGGAGACGCCAAGCTCCATCTCCTCAACGACGGCACATGGATCAGTCGCGAGCGGCGCCAGCTCATGGACAAAGCATGTGACACCAAGCTCAGTATGTTTTGATATTCGTATGGATGCTCTCGTCGTCCAAAGTAGCCCTCGACGTCGGCTCCTCTTGCTTTGTGTTTCATGTCACCGTGAATTCTCACCGCATTTTACGATGCCCATTGTAGCACTGGAAGACAGTCGACCAGCGGTCCCCGACACATGGAGATATCGCGTGCGGAATCCGTTGCATTTCCCACCAGACCTCGACACAAGCCGCAGCATTTGCAAGGTGCATTGTCCAAGTGGCTGAAGCATCGAACACCCTAACATGGTTGCCTGGAATAGGTCCCTCCCGTCAGTGACCTTGCAGGATCGTCTGTGCTCCAACTCGAAAACGGCGACACCACATCGACCACCATGCCATTGCTGAAGGGCGGCAGCGACGAAGGCAGTGTTATCGTGGTAGCCAAGCGAACCAAACGGACTGGAGCTGCTCCCAAACAACCGATGGAAACTGTGTACGCGAATTCGCGCTTTCGAAGCGCATTCTTATCAGCACAGGTACGATTGCCCATGTAGTTGGCGGCGGTAGTGTGCATGCTTGACATTCCATCGTCCCGAGTGTGCTGGGAGCCAAGGTGCATGTTTGAACTGGCGCTGAAAATTGGGTTTCATCATGTTCGGAATGCGTGCAGTGATGGCGAATTTGTGGATTCGAGAGTCGACATGGCGTTTTTTCTGTTCTAGGACGCTGCATCCGACGTGAACCCACTGAACGAAGAGGTCAAAGATTTCGTGCCGATGACGCCGCTGCTCGTGCCCGGAGGCCCGGACGCAGCATCTCCCATGATTACTTGGGGAAGTATTGACGCAACTCCGATGATCCTGCGCGACGACGTTGCGGCCACAGGTGCCGACTGGATTGCTAACTCACCACGTATTGATTCGGGTATGTGCATGGACAGATACCAAGCCTGGGCGGCCGACGTTTGTCATTAAAGAGTCGTCGGCCAGGGAGAAGCTGGCGCATGCCATGGACGCCAAAAACAAACAGGTTGGCTTCCATGACTGCTAGTTATGTTCCGTGCAAGTCGACGTGCCATCGACACGTTCTCATCGTGTGGTTGCGAGCAGAGATCCAAAGCAAGACAGACGCCTTCTCGACACAAAACACCGACGCCCCTTTTTTCGAACAAGTACACTCCAACGCCACTCAAAAGCGGCCTGCGCACGCCGTCATTGATGTTTGGCAACGACATGCAGCTGCGAGCGAGTTACTCGACCCCAGCGCGGCTCCCGCCCCGGCCACCGTCGTCGTCCAAACGACCGTGATGCCGCTCTCCTGCATGTGCTGTCTATAACGTAATGTCTCGATCACTTCCCATGTCGGTGCTCCAACCGCACCGCGACCGGCGTTGACGTGTGTGTATCTTTGTGCCAAACGTCGTGTCGTACATACATCGACGTACACTTTCGTACAATACACCATTGTTGACAACATTTCCATTCGAGAGGGAACGTACGAGTCGTATTGAACGATCTGTACTGTACGGTGGTCGTCATCTCTATTTTAAGCAGCCAAATTCACTGCTGGACGCATCTTGTCGTTCGGCATCTGGCATCGGCCATCTTGACATCGTGCACGCGGTGGCGAACTCGATTTTCAATCCTTGAGGGACCAACTTCAATAGGCCATGGAGGGCGGCGATGGCGTGTATAAGCTGGCCATCCTTGGAGGTGGGCCTGCAGGGGTTGGCATCCTCGTCCGCGCAGCTCGGCTCGGTCTCCTTCCCCAGCTTCTGCAACCTCCCGACAAGTCGATGCGCGGAGTCGCACTCGTTCACGGGGGCTCCGTTGACACCCTCGGCGTCGGCAACCTCGGCGATTACATTATCAACTCGAACACGTTTGCCAAGAGCTTAGTGACGAGCGTACTGGAAGAAAAGCTAGACCTCGACCCACCCGAGTCCGTCCAGGGTACGTTTTTGGCAACCCTTGCAACCCATCCAACCGCAAAGCGACTCATGGATGCGGGGAATGTGACGATTGCACTTGGCGAACTCGGCAAATTTCTCGGCGCCGTGGGCCAACAGGCGCGGCTCGAAATGCTCAAGTACACGGAATCATCAACATGCTTCGTCAACACGACAGCTCTACGTGTTGAACGCGTTGCAACCGCTCCTCCAAACGACAGGGCACTCGTTGAAAATTCCAAGCCGCCGCACGTGTGCAAAATCACGATTCAGTCGAATGGTGGAGCGCCTACATGCATCTTTGCCGAAAATGTCGTGCTGGCTATGGGAGGCAAGCAGGCTCTGCCCACGTCCGACTTAACGGCGTCGCAGCTGACCAAAACGTGGCTCAGCGACCACGTCCTGCGCGATCCGGGCCGAGTCGCGCTAGCAAAAGTGCTAGCAGCAGCGCCACAGAAGAAGGTGTGCATTGTCGGAGGGTCGCACAGCGCGTTTTCCGTTGCATGGACGCTGCTCCAGAAACAACCCAAAGACAAATCTGTCTCGGGGGTGACATTTGCGCCGAAAGATATTACGATCTTGCACCGAGCGCCAATTCGATGCTACTACGCGACGAAAAAGGAGGCTGAGGCAGACGGCGCGGTCGTCGATAAACTGGACAAGTGCGGAAGTGTGCACACGTTTACAGGACTTCGCGAAGATGCAAAGGCGTTGTACCAGGCAATTGAAGCCGGCAAAGAGACGCGCGTGCGGCTGTTTCATGTGAAGAAGCAAAGTGGCCCTGTCCAAACACAGGCCCTCGACGCAGCCACGGCAATCGTGTGGTGCTGCGGCTACGGCACGAACATGGTACATCACTCGTCGTATGTCCATGCATCTACTTCACCGCTGGATGCAGATTCCAGTGACCACTGCAGACGGTGCGCTGCTAAAAGTATGCCACAGCAGAGGTAGTAGCAATGGAGCGATCGAAATCGACCTTCAAGGGCGCCTCATGCACGCCGATTCACATCAGCCGATCGACTGGCTGTTTGGTATTGGCGTCGGGTTCAGTTTGCGGGCTGCCTTTGACGAAATGCGCACGGAAACCAGAGCCGACGGGGTCACCGTGTACCATCGGCGAGGTCGTCGTCTTTGAAAATGCTTCACTCGGTCTTGATGGGTCGATGGCATTGTAGGGGCGACGTTAATTCTGGCGTCCATGTTTGGCACCGCTCCTGTCTACGGCTCGGATTGCGCCACGTTTGAGCAAATGGTGGAAAAGTGCGAGCGCCGACGAAAGGACGACAAGGCAGCGGCGTCCCCAAGCGCGGCCTCCCATAACCGAGAAGCTAACCTACAACGGTATGCATCCGATCCATTTCTGGCGCTCAGTAATCCCACGTTGGTGCAGGTTGGCCAGCGCCAAGTTTACCGTGGACCGCGGCACCGTCGTGAACACACCCACCAGTGCAGCCAACTCCCCAGCCCCACCGTCCAAGCTCAAAGAGGTTGGTGCCTGTCAAAATCGGAACTGCGATAATACAACCACGATAGCCTGTGCCAATCTCTCCCGCAAGTCGCGCCAGTAATTCCAGTACAACATCGACAGCTCTGGGTGCCGCCGGTTCATCCAAGAAAGCGGTTGGTGCCACGCCGAAAGGAGGAACCAAGTCCATCGTGACGTCGTCGCCATCGCCTAGTCGCCAGTCCACGATGGTGCGGCGAAGCAGCTTTGGCGAAATGCGAAGACACACGAGCCACTCGACTCTGAGGATAGACTTGACAGGAGGGAGCTCCACCCCCACACCGTCAAAGCCGTTGCAAATGACTGGCGGCGTCCCATCGGCTCGGAGCTGCGGCAAGCCACTCACGTCTGTTGCCGGGGGGGCGAAGGATGCAATTGAAAGCATCCGATCAGGTCCGTCGTACTCTCTGCAGGAAGTATGAGCTGCTCGCTCGTCCTCATTTGAGCTTCTTGGAGCGTAGTGCGCCGTGCGTCCCGCAATCAAGACGAGTCCCCTGCAGGTTACCATGCCGAAGTCCCTGTCGTTGCCGTACCTTCCTCATAAACGCCTTGGACGTGTGCACAAATCGAAGAGCAGTTGCTGACCAACTCTTGTTCACGCACCGGCGAAACGAGTGGGTTCAATCTTTTGCGTACAACACACCACATTTATCGTGATGGCTGTGGGGGGGAGCTTTCAACTGTCCGACTGCCTCGTTGCTGCGAATCACGACCGTCAGTTAAAAGGACACTGCCACTTGGGGCAAGGACGTTGGTGGTGCTCCGCCTGACGGAGACAAATCCCTCGCAACCCGAGCGCATTCTTGTGTTACCGTTGTGGCGACGTTTCTCGAATGCGGCAGGATGTCCAGTTGAGTCGCACGATCGCTGGGACTTGATACCTTTCTCTGCTGTGAATATTTTCTTGGGAGGTGACCAGTCATGGTTGCTATGTCTAACGCAGCAGCAGCTCTCGTACGGGGTAATCGGTCAGAATACGACCGATATCCAGTCAGTTGGGCCCAGCGTGCCGATGCCCAGATGGAGTCTGTTGGTTAACTGCCTGGACGACCGAGCCTTGAACGAATATCTATTGCCAATATCGTCTACCTATGCAGGGGGCACCACTTGTTGGTGCAACTTCAAGATCGCGTCAATCTGGTTGGCTTCGGCGTCATACCCGAGCGCCAAAAACGACTTTTTGGCGCTTTCGTAGGTTGCGGCCGTCGGCGGGGTCGCGTCCTTGTCACCGCTGCACAGCTTGTGAAGGTGTTGAAATACCGCGATCGCGTTCGCGTGGTCATTCGTTTGGGAATACGCGGTCACAAGCGCTTGGAGTTGCGGCAATGTGAAGTGACCTTTGTCGAGACCACCCATTCGCTCGGCCACATACACGATGAACGCGTACCCTTCGACGTCGTTCGGCGTGACACGCCGGGCGCAGTTTTTCAGCATGGCGCGCCATTGCTGGGGCTTTACGCCAGACGTATTCGAGGATTGATCGGACAGCATGAGCCGCATGAGCCGCCACTTCTTGGCCCCTTCGGCCAGCATGAGGAGCTTCCACCACCACAGGTGCACATCCAGATGCAGCAGTTGCTTGTGGTTCACCAAAAACGTCCACAAGTCGACTTCGTGCATCTGGGCTGTCCTCGTCACCTTGTGCAGCACCGTTAATAACTCTTTGTCATTCCGATAGTGGAGACGGAGGGGTTGGGGACACTCGGCCAAAAATGCCATCAAGTCGGCGTCGAGTCCATTGCTGGCGTAGTAAAATGCCAACCGACCCGCGATCGCTGACGCTTCGACTTCGTTCTTCTGTGCATGGGCCGCGGCAAGCAGCCCCAAGGCTTCATCTCGACGATCCGAGCCAAGAAGGGCGTATATCAGTGGACTGCTGACGTGATCGACGCCCTTGGTGCTGACAAGGCTCGTCAGACGGTAGCGTTTATTCAAGCAAGCACGGCAAATGCCGTGAAGTAGGTCACACACCGTTGGGCTGTGGGAAGACTGCTGTAGTCCTGGTACACTGCCAGCGCTTTGTCGTAATCTTTCATGTAAACGGCTGCCTCCATGACGCTTCCAAACAATTGAGGCGATATTGGTGTGATGCTCTCGAATGTTTGCATTTTGTCGTAGAGGTCGAGGATCAAGTCGGCACAGTCTGAAGCGTGACCTTTGTCGGCATCTTCATCGATGGCCGAGGACAAGCCCTACCCAACCAACCGATGCGACAACGTCAAGTGAAGCAAGCGACCTGGCGCTTACCGTCATAGCGCGGGCGTAGTCAATCTCGCGCAGCTTGATGCCGTGGACCTCAACGTCGTCGAGTATCGCCATAATCTCCTTGGCGTCCCGGAGCGTGCTGAAGATGTGCAGTGCCTCGCGATACGCGTAGACACCGCGGGGGCAGTTCTGCGCACTCAACTTGCGCCATGCCTTTGCGGCGTTGTAGAACTGTGTCGTGCGGACGAGGGCGCCGAGGTAGTTGGCATTCATGCTTTCAGTGGGAAAGATCGAAAGGGACGTGGCAAAGTCGTAGGCGGCGAGCACTTGAGGAAAGCGACGGTTGAATGTGAGCATGCCTAGAATGAAAGACATGGTTTGGCGCTTGGGCTTGACGTCGCTTGACGCGGCGGCCATCTCCTGCAGGTTATCAAGCAATAGCAACGCGGCGTCGGTCGCTCGATGTTGCACCAAAAGTGCCATGGCTTCGCTTTCAACGTGAGCCGTCATATCGGGGTTAAAAAGAACGTGGGAATTCGACGACGGAAGGGCCTCAGCTGATTTCGTCTTGCGCTTGTTGGGGCTACCCGACGATTGCAATGCGCTTGCCAACGGCTGGTACAGTTTGGCCACTTCCTGAACTACTGCGGCAAACTCCCCGCGATTGCACATGTTTCGCATTCGTTCCTTTGTGCGTGTCAACTCGTCCAATTCCTTCGCATCGAACTTGTGTGGTGGTCGAGACGGCGTTGATGGTGAGGTGTGGTACGCGGCAACATGGGCGGACCCCGTAGGGAGGTTTCGTGCGGTCGAGTACGTGGAGGTCGAAGAGATCTCGTTCCATCGGCCCGTAGGATGGAGGGTGCGAGCGGTGGATGCAGTGCAGCTGACATGTGCTGCCGACAATGCTCGCCCGCAGCACCGCGGAAGCATCGTTCGTGTTCAACCAGCAGATGCCTCTCCAATTGCAACCAATCAAGTGCGAAATAATTAAGTGCGTAAAAATTCCGTCATTCCCCAATTTACGGGAAATATTCATGCAATTGTTTGTATAATTTGGTCTTTCAGGTGATATTTTAATCGTCAAGGCAGGATGTATTGCGAATCTCACAGCACGAGTCGGTGTCGAATGCAAAACCCATGCCAGCGTAGGGAAACTCTTATTCGACATTAATGACGTGCGTCACAAAGGTATGGAGAATAGAACGCCACCGCAGGTTTGAATTCAACGACATGAAAATCCACATTTCTGTTTTGTCATTTGCTGACATCGATTGCTATCGACTCTTTCATTGGTTATAATCAATAGGAAATAGGGCCAAGTGAGTGATTTTCACCCAATCCAAATTGACTGAGTTGACGGTTGCCCTGAACTGGCAAAATCCCCTACGGACGACGAGCTGGCGTTGAGATGACCCAGTCGACGAGTGACCAAACGACTCCACAGGGCACCAGCACCCGCCGCCCCGGTCCGAAGCGACGAGGTTGCCTCCTCCGACGACATCACGAGATACGCTATGCAGTTATCATCACGGACCGCGCCCCCATCACCAACGAGCCTGAAGTCGTCCATTGTTTGTTTTGCATGCACTTTGGACGGGAAGTTTTGAGCACAGTTGTGCGCGCTCGTAAGCCGATGAAAAAAGTCAAAACGTTTAAGGCGCCGTTTCGTGTGGATCACTTCACACAGCACCACAAGATCCACCACCTGGAGCGATGGGAATACTATTGTGGCCTTGCGGACGACGACAAGAAAGTCTATTTTTCATCAGCTCCGTTCTCGTCCGAAGAGGTTGCAATTGACTTGCCCCTGGAGCGTCTCGAGCGCACCCGCGGTCCTTACAAAGTGGCTCCTAAGTTCAGTTCGTCGAAGTCGGTTGATCACTTGATCTTGGCGAAAGGTGTTCCTGCAACAACGCCGTCGCTCTTAGGCGACGCTGCAGCCCAACAGGTGCAGCACGCGACAGGTAGTCGCTTCGACAAAGCCGAAGTGGAGCAAATATACATGTACACGCAGCAGCGGCAGCAAGCGGACCTCGAAATCGCGCGCAAGAACCTCGAGCTCAAGCAGATCGAAGTCATCAGCTCAGCAATGATGGCGCGGCAAAAGATGCTTGACGCTGGCATTTCCCAAGAACACGTCGACCGCTTGATTCCATTTCCAGACGGATTGGGGTCGCACTCGGTCTCGTTGTAAGGGAAGTTGGAAGGATTGTGTCTGCAACTTTCCACCTTGATAAAAACCACGTATCATGTCGTAAAGGACGCATCCAGGAGCAGTAAATGTGCGCAAGTACCAGTCTTGGCGAACAAGCCTCACCTACTTTGACGATGGCGGTCCGTCGTCCTTCACACATTGCTGACGAATTTCCAGTCGATCCTACCTTCCTTCGTCAGGTCACACCAGACAAAGACATGACGCTGCGTGATGAGAGCGGCACGCAGGTATCATACAACGCATCAAGAATGCGCCGTCATGTGAGCCCACTTCCATCAAGGAAATGTCTGTTCGCATGGGGTTTGTTTTTGCAACCTGATGGAACCCCAACACTCCGTTTACTATTAGTAATACTAAATCTGTCAGTATGAGTAACATGGGACGCAATGACTTGATGGGAATGGAGGGCGATGCGGGCGTGCGGTGGGCGCTGCTTGATACCGGGCTATGGTGGCCTGTGACTTTGTTAGACGCTCCGCCGAAAGAGCTGCGCCACGGTCAGGAAATCACGGGTGGTCCCACAATGTACCTCTTCGGAACGCAATCGTTGTACGTGCTCTGGACAATGACTCGAGTCGGCATCACGCTTTTCTTGCATTGTGCAGTACACAAGGAAACATGAAGACACGTGTGTGGCGGTGCGTCGAGCACAATCAAATGGCCTATGGACAACCTGGGCTGGGGATTTCTGGCAAGGCGGTGGTTGACCAGTTCGCTGCCGCCATCGCGGAAGCCGAGGTACTGCGCATTTTATGGAAGTCTTTCCGTGCTCCACCGCCTTACCACACTGGTCAGGACTATTGCACGGCATGGACAAGGACATCGTCGGCACCGGAACATTCGTCAAAAATACCCGCATTGATCGTCGACGACAGAGATGGCGCGTGTGTCTCGGATGTCGAAAGCCACTTCCGAATGATCTCTACCCATGAAGCTACGTTGGAACAGCACTGGACTTCATTTGTTAATCATCCTGCCCACCAAAACTTGGCAATGTTGAAATCGTCGTTGGACTCAACCATATCGACGCTGCTGGCAATCGCTTCATACCTGTCGGCCAATGCATTGGCACGATCTCCACCCACCACCATGGCGGCACTTTACTACGCCTTGGTGACGACGATATACTTCAACGAGATGAACGGCGCCTTGATCACTGCTGTCTCAAACGAGGCCGACCGAACGTTCGTGAGCTCGTATGTCCGCGTGATGTTGTGGTCGCTACACTGTGTCATTCGACCGCAATTGGAGTCCCAAGTAATGAAGCAATGGACTTGCTTGAGCACGTCCGTGCCCGTTGGCATTTTCAACGCGGCGGCCTCGTTGTGGGGCGCGGTGAATTGTGCACTCAAGGTCACTACAAACGGCCCAAGCATAGATCAACTTAATATTGCCATCAACCACCTGGGCCAATCGCCTCACCTGAAATCAATGAAGCAATTCCGAGAGCTCCTCAAGACATACGCGAGGAGTCTCTCCACCATCGAGCGCGAATGGATTTCCCCTTCAGGCATGTTTCGGTATCCCTCTGAAATCTGCGTCCCCCCACTCGGTGAATTGAGCTGCACGGCGCGGGCGAATCATCTAGCTCTGGCCACCTCAACCGTCTCGGCATTGACCGAAGCCCCCATGCCTCATCCCAACCAGGACCATGCGACAACATCAACAGTGTCGTTCAAACAAAGAGGCCAGCACGACATCGAATCATCGAATCTCCAAGGCGCGTCAACTCGGTCAGAGGCAAGCGACATGCGGCAAGCCAAGGAGTACGTTGTGACGTTTGCAAGTGGACCCCTGGGGCTAAAGCTCGTGATGGATTCACTTCGCGTAACTGTCGCGGAAGTACTTCCAGGCACTCAAGCAGATCGGCATGGTTTGATTCAGAAGGGTGACGTGCTGGTCAAAATCCAAGACGTCGTGGTCAGGGACAACACCAGCATCGTCCACTGCTTGACCAAACCCAGAGTACGCCCTTTGCATGTGACGTTTCATCGCCGAGCTGTAGAAATGCTCAAATGATTTGAACTTGGTGGGAATATTGTCCTGTCGTCCGTAGCGTGTATCCTGGGCACATCATTTCCTCAAATCTGCCGTGATACGAGCCGGAGTACATGACCACGCCAGACCTTCTCACCTCCGCGACACGTACCGACTTCATCACATTCCCTCCGGCCCTCGTCCTGCTTCCCTCGTGATATCGTTCCACGTGCTTGAGGCATCGGATGCAAGCAAATGAAATCGATATGATTGGTCTGTAATGAGCCAATCAAATCCCGATATCGAAGTTCCATCAGAAATCCATGGAATTGCGCGCGCAGCGACACCAGGCCACATGGAACGCCGTCCCTGATGAAGGGGCGGAGCATTTCATGAACGGAGGCGAGGAGATAGCTGCCTAGAGCACACGCGCAGTGGTTTGAGCGGGCAGAAGTCCGCAGGAGGTAGCAGCAATCGTTTTCCGGATATTCCGGGAGAACGCGGAAGGCGCGTCCGGATATGGAGAGAAGGCTGCTCCCAGTCAATCGTTTGGATTTGGTAGAGTATATGAAAGTTTGTATGGACCGGTCGGGTCGAGATCATTTTCAATTTCGACACCATCATGGCCGACGAAGCTGCCAAGAAGCTGAACGACCTCGTGATCGACGCAGACGTGGAGGACGCCGAAGATATCACGTTGGACTTGCCGCCGGCCGTGCTGTCCCGCGTGAACCACCTCAAGACGTTGCAAGAGCAACATGGAGTGCTCGAAGCTGAGTTCGAAAAGGAACGCCGTTTGTTGGAACTGAAGTACGAAAAGTTGTACCAACCCTTGTACGCGGAACGCGCGTTGGTTGTGTCTGGTGAAAAGGAGGTCGCAACTGCGGAAGAAAAGGCGTCGGAAACCGAAGAAACAAGGACCGTCGGTGTTCCCCAGTTCTGGATGAAGGCGTTATTGAACCACCCCGACACGGAACAATTGATCACGGACCGCGACATGCCAGCTTTGGAATTCCTCACGGACATCAAGTCAGAGTCTTCCACCGAACACAGCGGTTTCCGCCTGGAATTTACCTTTGCCCCAAACCCATTTTTTGAAAACACGGTGTTGACTAAGGCGTACGACGTCGCGGAAGGCCCGGACGGCGACGCGATGCTCAAGAACATCCAGGGCACGGAAATTAAGTGGCTTGAAGGCAAGAACTTGACTGAAAAGGTCAAGAAGATTAAACAAAAGTCCAAGAATGGTGGCCAAACGCGATTCGTCACTAAGGTCGAACCGTGCGAATCGTTTTTCCAATTCTTCGCGACCGTTGAAATGCCCGCGGAAGATGATGAGAACGACACAATGCGTCAACTTAACGACGACTTCCAACTTGGGTTCATCATTCACGAAACCATTGTGCCACAGGCCGTGCTGTGGTTCACGGGCGAAGCCCAAGTCGAAGACTCTGACTACGAAGACGACGAGGATTACGATGATGACGAAGAGGACGAAGACAGCGACGAAGACGAAGCACCCCGAGCGAAGGGCAAGAAGTCCTTCCCGGCCTTGGACAATGCCCCGGGTGCTGAATCTACCGAAAAGCCCCCCGAGTGCAAGAACCAATAAGCAGCTTTGTGTTGGATGGTGGTGTTTACCTTGCACGCATAGGTGCAGGCTTCGTCAGATTCTCCCTCTTTTATCTATCTCCCAATCTCCATTCTTTCCTCTGGTTTTTGCCTCGGGTATTCACGACTACACCTTGGAAGCGTGCATGAACGCCAATTGCGCAGGGAGCTCGTGGACATTCTCGGTGCCCTCCATGCCATGCGACACACTTCATTGGCTTGAAAAATCCAAATCAAATGAGCAGACACTTCATCGTGCACTTCTTGGTATCGATCTGAAGACCTTTGGGTTATGAGCCCAACACGTATCTTTTGCGCCAAAGTGCTAAGGGTCATGGCCTCAGGAAATATTGTGATCATTCCACGATGCGTGGCGTGCGCGCATTCGAATGGCATGGGAATTATCATGCATTCTTTCCGCAGGGACTTTTCACAGGTAAGATGGATGCACGAAATGAACTCACAAACTGTAGGGCACACCTCCTGCATCAAGTCAACCAACGAAGCGCTCCTTGGACTTACTTCACATAATGGAATGCGCACGTATGCAAGCCCTCTGACATGAGTTGACCGGTGCACGCGATGGCCTGATCTAGCAGGCATTCAAACACCGAAACAAGGGGGAAGCACGACAGGAGCGACAGCGTCCGCACTTGGGTCAGAGCTGCCCGAGTGCGGCATTTCGTTCGTGTGAAACTTTGCATAAAAGTGAATTGAATTGCTGCATTCAAACGAGAGGATTTGATTGGCTTTCCGGAGATTTCTCGAAATTTCATTGGCTAGCTTAAACGAGAAGTTTCTCGAAAGCGGCGCAGCAACGGCCAAATCGACGAACTTCATTACTCAATATACGAAACAATGGGCAAAGACTACTATCAAGTGCTAGGCGTCAAGCGAGATGCGAACGACGATGAGCTCAAGAAGGCGTACCGCAAGATGGCGCTCAAGTGGCACCCCGACAAGAACGTGAACAACAAGGAACAGGCGCAGACCAAATTCCAGGAAGTGAATGAAGCATACGAAGTCCTCAGTGACAAGCAGAAACGGACCATCTACGACCAGTTTGGAGAAGAAGGGTTGAAAGGTGGTCCACCTCCTGGTGCTGGTGGTGACAACATGGGAGGTGGCTTCTTCCCAGGACAATCGGCACATTTTAGCAGCAGCGGCGGGGGGTTCCCAGGTGGATTTGCGTTCCATTCGTCGGACCCATCCAAGATCTTTGAACAGTTTTTTGGCACATCCAACCTGCACGAAGCCGAAGGAATGGACCCGTTTGCGAGCATGTTCGGTGGTGGCGGTGGTGGTGCACGCCGACAACATTCGTTTTTTGGCAATGATCCGTTTGGCGAATCGATGGGTGGACGAGGCAAGCGCCCCGAAGCGTTGAAGCGCGACTTGGAGTGCACATTGGAGCAACTTTACACAGGATGCGTAAAGAAGCTCAAGATCACGCGCAAAGTGTACGACGAACGCGCGCAAGGGTTCCGGGAAGAAGAGAAGATTCTGGAGGTTCAAGTCCGACCGGGTTGGAAGGCAGGAACGAAGGTGACGTTTGAAGGCGAAGGCGATTTGCTGCCTGGTCGCGTCGCACAGGACATTATATTTGTCATCCAAGAGAAGCCGCACGCCAAGTTTCGACGGGAGAACGACACACTCATTTACACAGCAAAGATCTCGCTCAAGGACGCGCTGGTCGGCCAAGGCACGCTAACGATCAAGACACTGGACGATCGCGAGCTGCACTTGAAACTGGACTCTGTTGTGACGCCGTCGACGCGGAAGGTGTTTGTGGGCGAAGGCATGCCGTCTTCCAAGGACACATCTCGGCGAGGCGACCTTCACATCCACTTCGACATTCAATTCCCGACAAGGCTCTCGTCGACGCAAGCCGACTTGATCCGACAAGCGTTGTAAAGTACTTCCCACTAGCCGTGGTGGCATATATCATAATCTCGACTTGACTTATTTAACAGTGGTTAAATTGCAATGCACATACCCAACTCTTGCACAAGTCTTGTCGTGTAGATCGCGGACTGCACTGTCGCATCACTTCGACGTCATGCCGAACGAGCTGTCCGTCAACCGCATCTCCAACGTTTCTCCTTGTCATGGTGTCTTTTCAAGACTCGAGCGGCGGCGACGGTCGTTTGTTCATGTGTACCTTTTCACAACGTCATGCTTCGATGCCTACGAGAGCTCGGTGAGGCCATGGACACGCACCGCTAGGATGCCCCCTCTCCCAACTTTTGTGTCGTTTGATGCAGCGATCGACACAGGTTTTCTTCCTTCAAGGACTGCATGCGAAGGACGGCTCCCAACATCTCATTTTGACACACGGTTAATTTATTTACTGGCTAGGCGAGCGAGCGTCACCACCAGAATGTACTAGGTAGATACAATGATACAACGCGAATGGGGTCTAGGGTGACTACAATGTGCCGCGGCGGTTCAGGTGGTGGCGCATTGGAGAACTCACGGACTCGAGAAGGACTTCGCTGTTGAGGGCAGTCGCATCGGACGTGTCTTGGGCCACAGCACTGGCCAGGTGGGCTTTCACCCGAGCGTGCAGAGCTTCCTTTGCGGACGCGAGCGCGTGCTTCATCATTTGCGGATCGTCAACGTATGCTTCGAATGATGACACCAACGCGACCATCTCATCGAGCATGCGCTGCTCCGCCTTCTTCTTCTCAATCTTAACGCCGAGCACCTGTTTCTGGAGTCGGTTGACGAGGTACTCTTGTTCTTGCTCGAGTTCATTCTCAAGTTGGACTTTGTCGGCGGTTGCGTTAGCTGCGACTTCCAACTGCCGCTGCAAACGGTTCACGATGAATTCCTGCTCGTTCTCGAGTTTGTTTTCCAGATCGACTTTGTCTTGCTGCAATTGACGCAGCTTGCGCTGGAGCGTGTTGGTAAGAAATTCTTCTTCTCGCTCTACGGCCAACGCAAGCTTTTCTTTCTCGAGGCGGAGTCGATCCAGACGAGCCAGCAATTTGTTCGTCAGACGTTCTTCGCTGCGTTCGGCGTCCGAGCCAAATCGAACCAACTCCTCGCGTGAACGACGCACCTCATCTTCGAGGGCAGCATTGCGACGAACCAACCGCTCCATTTCCAAGCTCACGTCCACGGCAGGGGCTGTGGCAGGGACGACCACATGAGCTGCAGGTGCTGGCATTCCGCTTGATGGATACTTTGTTTTGGGCGGCTCGATAATTATTCCGAATGAACCTTGTTTCTTTCGACTTAACTTTGCATCATCCGGATAATATCTGGCCCACCTCTCCCTGGGCGGTGCATCCGAACATGGAGCCTATTATCCGGATGCATTACAAAGCTTGCCATTACAGTTGGGGGAATATTGCGAAAATTAAGGAATATTTGGCGAAATCTGCTGGACATGGGATGAAAATCGCTGAAAGTGAGCGGAAATTTCGCAATAACAAGTTTGGTCTCTTCCACGGTGGCACGCAAGATGCAATTGGGAACATTTGGGTGCCGAAGAGTAATGTGCTGGTGAAAACCAATCTGGACGGCGGCAGAGACTTCGTTCATCAACCGAACGTCCCCGTCGTCTTCAACATCACTTTAGCATCTGCGGCGAGAAGCCCACGATGGTTGGATTTGGTCGAAACAAGAAGAGCACAGCAACGTTCTCCGACGGCGTCGGTCAAATTGATGGTTCGAGCCTCCTTGATGACAAAGGCGAACCAAACGTTGCCACGCTCTACGACACCAACAATAACAGCAAGAAGACCAAACTCGATGTGAAGAGCCGTAACCCTGAAGACGATGACTGCGATGAGACCACCAAGCCACCGGCACGGCGCAGCTGGTTCCGTCTTGGACGCTCCAGTAAGAAGTAATCCATCGTGATTTAGTCCCATGCATCATGAGGGAGTGCAAACAGCTCAGCCTCCACAGTAGCGGAATTTATCCAGCCACCCACTCGACAGGGGACACAAGTCAGGAAGCGTGTCAACCATGGAGATCTTGGCACGGATACATGTGGCGGATGATTACCGAGGAATGGTACAAAGCATAGGGGGCTCGAATTATGCATGAAATTACGAAGTGTGGTTCATATAGATATTGCCCATGCAAAAAGCCGCCGAGGCGCTCAGTCGTCGGAATCGCTCATCTCGGACGGATGGAAAAATGCTGACATTTCCTTACGCGCTTCGATCACTCTCATCTTCGCGTGAGCGTATCGATTTGGTTTTGGTACATTTGCTTGAACTCCCTGAATTCAGCCTCGAGTTCTTCGACCTGTTCATCTTTTTCCCCGAGGAGCTCGAGCAGGACGTGCTGCTTTACCTCCATGGCGGCAAGGGCTTCCTTGGTCGCTGCCAATTCTGCTACTGCTGCTTTCAACGCGGCATTCTGCGTCGATAGCCGAACGACGTCATCGCTCGCACTCTTCCGCGCCTCCTCGACAGTTTGCAGCTGGCTCTTGAGCAGCGACGCCTCGCTCTCTCGCAGACGAACTTTTTGAAGCAGCTGATTCCATTCGATCATCGACATGTCCTCGTTCAAGTCGCTTGACGGCGTTCGGTCCATGCGACGGCACGATGAGCCTGATTGAGGCGATTCTTGCAAAATGGGGGCCTGTGGCAGGGGCATCGGCGCGCTGGGAGGGAGGGTGGCCGCACTCGCGAACGTGCCAGTTATCGGGGTACTCGTTGGCGTCGTCGCTTCGTGCAATTGCCGGCGCAGCGCAGCTGCATCTTGGGTTTGCTGCTCTAGTTGGTGGAGGAGTTGCTTGGTGTGCACGTCGTGTTGTTCTTGGACCAACCGCAACCGCGTAGCGAGGTGGCGCTTTTCGTCGCCGAGGACTTCCAGTTGCTGCTCCAGTTGCTGTCGAATCCGCGCGCTGTCGTCTAGTTGCTTGTGCAACGATTCAACCGTGACCTTCTCCGCTTGAACAAGCCCTTGCAACTCCGTGACTTGACCGAGCAGCACTGACGCTCGAGTTTGTGCGTCCATGGCGTTCTTTGTTTCAACAGCGAGCTCAGCCTGTACCATCGCAACTTCACGAGCTGCGTTGTCCACCTTCTTCTGCATGTCGGCCTCAAACGACATACGGCGTAACTCTAGTACGCGCTGCTCTTCCTGAAGCAATTGAATCTGGCGAAGGAGCGGCTGCGTCGCGTCACTGGTGCTGTGGGTCATGTGGTCCATGCGGGTCACTGCCTCTTGCCACCGCTGCTTCATCGCATGTAACGCGACGCGGGCCTGGTCTTCGCGCTTGGATGCTTCGGCTTCAACTTGAGCTACGTTCGCCTGCAACTCGGCAATCGTAGCTTCCAACGCCTACTCGTTGCTGGTAAAAAGTTGTTGAACAATGATTGAAATGTAGGGCATACCTCGCGATCTTCAAATGCCGCGAGTTGTGTGCGAGCTTTCAGCGCGTCGTTTTCGGCACCTAATTGCTCGACGAGCGCTTCCGTAGCAGTCAGACGTTGCGTGGATGCGATCAGCGCAGCTTCCGTTGCCTGCAACTTGGCGTCCGTGGCATCGAGAGACTTGAGCACGTGGGCATGAAGCTTGGCATCTTCCTCTGCCGTAACTAAGTGCATCCGTGCGGTTTCCCATTTGGCCGTCGCCGTTTCGAGCGCCGCCGTGAGCTTCTTGTTCTCGTCCATGATGTCTGTCTTTTCCTTTCGAAGGGCGCGCAGCCGCGACTCGAACGCAGCTTGTTTCTTGGACAACGCTTCGCCTTCGTCGAGCAAGTTGGTCAATTGCATTTCCTTGTCAGCTAGTGCGACTTGCAGCGAGTAGATGACACTTGCGTCGTTCGGACTCGTTGTGGATCGAGCGCTGCGCAGCGCTTCGAGTTCTTCATGCAGTTTTGCCATGGCAGCTGACGTCGACACGAGTTGGCTCTCCCGCTCGCAGAGAACGTCCCGACTCTTCTGGAGCTCTGCTTGAACATGTGCTAGTTCCTTTTGTAGAAATAAAACTTCAATCGACGTTGGGGGAGCGTCCTCCGTTGCGTGTAGCGATGACGATGACGACGCTGGCGGTGAAGGAGAAGATCTGTTGTCTTGTGAAACGGATTCAATCGAAGGTACGACCGCAGTCGTCGTGGGCTGGATGCTACCGTCGGACGAAGGTAAGTCCGACCGTATGTCGGTAAATTCATTTGAAGAGTCAAGAGTGGTGCTGGAAGGGTCAACTGGTGGTGAGGTTTCTACGGTGATTGGAGAAGTGGAGGGGTCGGACGCAACATTGGGTGGAAGAGTTTGCACAATTGCCAGTAGCGCCGAGTTTTCAGCAGCATCTGGATGCAAATCATCGAGCGAAGCATCCCATCCAGTAGGAGCAACATCTTCTTCGGCACGTGGGAGAAGCGACGATGGCGGAGTCTCGTGGGATGGGCCATGCGCTTGCTGGCAGGGCTCGGATGGTGGAGGACAGGATATATGTGCTGCAAGAAGGACACTGTCAGTTGGGGAGTCTCCTGCCGATGATGTGGACGACAATAGGGTAGCACATTGAAGCGCTATAGTGGCCTTATAAGGCCCACGGAAGACATCGCAGTTTAGTGGATAAATTCTACCTGGAGGTATATCGGACTCTCTGTGGCAGTCGGGGTCAACACAAGTATCTGTGGATTGGAGCGGGGAGGACTCCTCATCTTGTGGTGGCGCTGGTGACGGCGCAAGGGCAGTCGAAGGCACATTTTCTTGGAACAAGTTTGGCGGTGCTTGCATGTCGATTGTTGCCGGTGGCAAATTCTGCAACGTGAGTGTGGTCATTCCCTTGCCGGACACTGCTTCATCAAATTGCTTCTCGACATCGTCTTTGAGCTTGGTGACATGCTCAAGACCCTGGGACACGATCGTAGACAAGTTCACCTTTGAACTGAACCATGACGACGCCATCCGTCCAACGTGGCCGTCCGTCGGCTTATCGGCGTCGACGAATTCGGATAAACAGTCCGGATACCAAAGAATAGAAATGACACTTGAACCGTGTGATATTACTGGGACCGGTTGAAGGCACAAATCCAGGAATTACATGAAAACGCGTCTGTCGGCGACACAAAGAAGACTTGCCAGCAAACTTCAGTTGGACTGCAGTGCATGGGAAATTCCGTGCTGCTTAATGTCGATGAGCAATTCCACAGGTGATGACTGAAGCTCCAGCAAAATCCGATGTCGAAGCATAGACATGTTTCATTAATCCCCGCCACGCATCCTGGAACATCTCGTGTGTATTGAAAGAATCAGCATGCACTGACCAGAAGCGCTCGTGGTGAATGTACTAGTCCACGATCATGATGACCAATGGATGATTCAATCATTTTGCATCACACGTAGTACGAGTACACAACAGTCTCTGCAGGCACACAACAGTTTCTATATATCCTTGCTTTGCATGGGTCTCCATCGTTCTTTTCACGGCAAAGGCCAACGTCATGGTCAACCATGAAGTTGGCCTTTGCCCTCCGTTGGTGTCGCGTCTCCATATCATACAATGCATTTCCTTGAACTTATTCGAAGACTTTGTGAACGTGAATGGTAAGTCCGCATGCGCACTCCTTGGACCACGTGCCGTCGTCATTTTGTGTTTCGTTCTCAAAAGTGTGCTTGTGCTCTTCTGCTTCCACGACCGGTCGCCGTGCTGACCGCCCAAGCCCGATCTAAATCAGAGTTTTGACCTGTGCACATAGGGATGACACTTACGCTATGTTTATCTTTGCGGCGCTTTCCATACGTGCCGAGCCGAGATACCTCCGACTTGGTCCTTGCCACTGCTTTCTCATACTTGATGCATTCCCGGCGCTTGCGCTCAACAGCCACGTTCTCGAGGCTACCGTGTTGCTGAATCGCAGTGGCTTCGCACATCTTCTGCAAGTAAAGCCGCAGCGGAGCAAACGCTTCGTGCTTTGGATTGGACTTCCGCATGCACGGAAGGGTTTCCATTGTCGAGTCTGTGAGGAGGTAGGTCTTTTTTGCCACGTCTTTAGTCAGAAGCTTGTAGGCAGGATTTCCGTAGCGGCAGTCAGCGCACACGTACACAGAGAACACCTTCACGTACACGTCATCGCACGGGCAGTCCAACGAGCACACCTCGCAGTACGTTTGCACGGGCATCGCGTGCGGAACCTCCATTTGTTCCATCGCTCGCCGCTGTGCAAAATCAGCGCTTGATCTGATTGGCTGAAGCGGGCCAATCATTTTGCCTTGAAACCGAGACAAAAATTATGTTTACCAACCCTTCCGTCGAGGAAGAAATACTTTTTCTGTTGGTGGGAATTGTGCAAAAATTGCAATTCGATTGAAATATTGATAAATATTTACCAGATGTATCTGCGCAACGAACAAGTTTGGTGGCACAATTGTGGCACGAATTTTAGATGCAATGTGAACGACGGGGACTCGGTGACGCGGGTAACAGGATGGCTCACGATGACAAGTTACGCCGAAGGAGGTAGCTGCACCAGGGGAGCAATGGAGGGGCGGCCGTGTGCACACTGAAACGGCAGGCGACACTCGCTGAGTTGTCGAATCAACTTCTGGCATTGCTCTCGCGTCAACGGGTCCCCGAACATGATGGCGCTCCGGCATGCTCGGGAGTTCATGAATCGAGTGACCACGGGGGGTCGAATGGTTGGTGGTTGTGCGGATAGCGTAGCTAAGAGGCAAATGTACTCGAAAAAGTCGTCACAGGCCGCTTCCCGGTGGTCGACGACCGGCACTGATACAAGGACCCACCGATCGACATCTGCCACCTCAATTTGAAACCCCCAGCGGTGGATCAACTCCCAATGACGCCGCACGACATTCTTTTCGGCGTCATTCAAATGCAGCGGTTGTACATCGTCCAGGGTACGAGTTGGAAACGTGTCGTGCAAGAGAGAATTCTCCAGGGCTTCAAGTTTGACGCGCTCGTCCGCGGCGTGCTGATCGATGCACAGGAGGAGCGGTGGAGTGTTGGACTGTACCAATATAAACTTGTTGTCGACTTGGCGCAGGACGCGGAGATGTTGTAACATCGACGATGGGAGTTGAATCGCCATCGACTGACAGGATCTTGCATTCTGGACCAGTACAGACAAGTGCTGCTTCATCCAGCAGCTTGGATGCATGTTCGGTTGACCCGTCTTGCTCACGCGTTGGTCATCCCATTGTTTTCGGTTCGATAGCTTGCATCGAAAATACTTGGACGATGAGGCGGGGGCGGAGATACATGATGTGTTCGAATCCATTAGTGGCAACGGTGCTGTACGACTCGTCACGCGATTCGGCATGGATGTCCAAATGGCATTGGAAAACTCATCAAACGCCGTGTTCGAGTGAATCGATTTTGCTTTTCCAGCGAGTTGTTCTCGCTCGGCATGGAAGGTGTCACCGAATTGTCCGGCCTGGTCAGTGCGACGACAGCTTCCGCTGGTCCATTCGAATTCTTGATGATCCGAATCGACACCGTTCTCGTCATCGCATGAATTTGATGGCAGTGGCAGGACGAGCTACAACTCGATTCATGGTGAAGGTATGATTCCACGAAACGGAATGGGAACTTGCAACGACACCTCCAGAAATGCACGGAAAAACTCGTCAAATGCTGCTGGTTGTCGAAACAGAACGACCCGCGTATCTGGCTCGTTCACGAGCGTGAATTCGTCCAGGGAGCATTGCACGTTGGCAATGATGACGGGGATGGCTATAGAGTCGGCCCATGCGTCAAACGTTTTGAATCACTACCGTGGCAAGCCACCTGTTCTGTGCTGGAGAATATGTTGCCGCAAGAGTCCCATGCAATGGGCATAAAACCCGTCGATCCACAAGTTGTTGAAACTGATGCACTGATACGATTGCATTGCCCGCGTTACGTTCACGGTCGACCACGGCAAGAACGTTGTTGTTTTCGCAGACATGACCCCGTCGATGTGAAAGCTGGAGTTGCCAACAGCCGACGGCGTTGATGCGAATGCCAGCGCCTACAACAGCATGACTCAAATATCTAAATGGTGGTCAATCGACGTACGTTGTATGAAGGACACGCAGCGCCGACGAGACTCGCCAGCTGCTGTCGAGCATCGGAAAGCACAGGAAGTCGGAGGACACTGGTATGCCCCTCTTCAGCACGTTAGCTCTTCGGTGGTGGTACAAATTGCTCAAAATTTACGCTTGTCGATGACATCAAACGCGATGCGACCGTGTATGAGGCCGGCACGGAGGCAAAAGAGCCGAACGCTCGCGATGAACTTGGCGCGGACGAGTACATTATCGAGCAACTGTCGTTGGCGAGCAGGCACGTTACCAAACAAATTTTGGACTGTCACGACGGTCCCAGGTATGCATTTCTTGGAGGACACGCGTCCTTGGAACTCAGGTTTGCCGTTCTACGTACCAGAGGGGGGCATTTTAAGGATGTGTTGAGATCACGTACATGGATGATCTTGCGATAGGTGTTCCACGATGAGTCTTTTCGGCTCTCGATGGTGATTCTTGACAACTTGGAGATGCAAAGCAAACTCTCTCCTCGCCAACCCCTATACTTGTAGCCGTGTGCGTTCATTGTGTCGTTTTTGGACGTCGCTGCGTGAAAAGGTGTCGGCATGACGTAATTCTTCTCAACGTACCAGTAACGTTGCACACCAGAGCACAGAGGTCGAGTCCACGAATCCCATGTCCTATTCAGCACTCCGTTAAGTCAGCTCAGAACTATGAAGGTAAGTCGCACACCGTTGTCATTCACCGAGAAAGAGACGTTGTCGGTGCCAATTGCAACCACAATCGCAGAAGCGTTCGCGTCAATACTGTTGTACACAACTGCACGATGGTCTCGTGAGTGGAAAGACTCGTCGATCCATCGATCCTACCTTCCTTCAATGCGCTCAGCACGTCAGGTATCCTCTGCGCAGCCCAAACAAGATGGCATGTCCCTTCCCCCAGCTTCCACATCTGCTGCTCCATTTTGCGCGCGTTGTTTTACCTTTGATGTATTTAGAAAATGACATTCGAAGTAATTAGTGTGAAAAAAATATAATCCTGAAAGTGTGACCCCACGACGGATGAAATGAGCAGTCTCGGGGAATGCCCGCCTCGCAGAACGAGACGGGCACTAGCTGCAGGCTTGGGCTGCACATCATGGCACAACACGCTTCTGCAAGGTCACGGTGTCCAACCCAAGAGATGACATGGTCCATGGGACGGGTACGAGGCAGCAGTTATGCATGCATGCCTGACAACCTTTTGGCGCAGACTCTTCGTGTGCACCGCATCGTGAACATCGCGTTAATCCGTCCCAAAGAATATAACCGCTTTGGGTGTCTGGGAACGAGGTTGACGGTGCCTTAACAGTACAGCATGTCAAGCTCTGGATCATCGTGACTTTTGTCGATCACGATCGACCACAACCTGTGTGTTGTGGAGTTGATTACCGCGCATTCGCACATCAACGAAGGCGCACATGTGCTTGCGAACACGACGATCTCTTTGGTCATGAATCTCTTGTGGACCACTTGAAGAATGGCTGGTGCCCACATGACAAGTCGTTGATGCCGTTGAATTTCGAGCTCACCCACAACCACGATGCCGCACAGCCAAGATGCTGCTTCAATTGATATTGCCAACAGCATGTTCCTATGACCTGTACAGACCCACGACTGCACGACACTGACGCCAAGATCAGAGAGGCGGCTCCCCGGGACGCGCACACCATGTTGTCGAGTTGTATGGGGGAAGGACATGTTGTACACAAGGTTTAATGACAAATTCGTACGTATACTGGAAATGTTTGACGTTAACATTCCAGTTCATTTTGAATGCCACCGTTTGTGGGGAGATGATCCGATGGAGAGGCGGTCGCCTTGTAAACTGAAACAAGCTGACGCACTACCAAATTCTAGGCGGATGCGATCGGGCGTCAGCTCGGTGTATCCTAGGACAAGGGCGAGCCCTTTTGTCGCCAGGAAGACCAATGCCACAACCTTTTGTTGGTCTATACCGAGAGATGAACGTCGTGCATTTGGTGAACGCGTCCTAGATTCTTCGCAAAATATTTCGACCAGGGCATTTCGTCGCGCCCCTTCGCTTTGGTGCTCGTTGGGTTGACGGATCGATCATGCCTATTCACCAGTCCAAATAACAAACGTCAAGGCCTACTGGAGCATCTTTGACGAAGACCTGGTCGTCCACGTGAACGAAGCTGGGAAAGATCATCGCGTGCGACACCTTGGCCGAGTGGGAAACTTTGATGTGACGCCGCGATCGCAAGAGCCGAGGCACCCTATTTTATTCATCGCCGTCGTCGTTACTTCCACTTGAACCGAATTGACCGCGCACTGGTTTGTCTCGACGGGCTCGCGGCATTGCATCATGGCCGAAAAAGGGCCGCCGATCTCTGTTATCCGTCTGTAGTGAGCCTGCCGTGTACGGCACACAACAGCGCTGGCATTGCATCTGGCGAGGTGGTCTTCCCTGCGACCTTGAATATACACGGAGTGGCGCACGATTGCCATGAATGGTAAAGGTCAAGGTGATGCCATCACTTGTGGGGAGCTGTTTGCAAAACATATCGTGCCCACTTTGATCACGTGCACACATGCTTCGCCTGGAGTGTTGGGACTCGACATGTCGATTACATCTCGAGCTACAGAGCGCGACGCTTTCGACGGACGATCCGATGCGAAGGAGCAGGGGGGCATCACCCGAGTTAGACGAATGGGGTCGAATGTACTGAATTTCGTGTGGGACCGTTTGTTTCGGGCCCCACTGACTGGAGCAAGCGACTGTCGAAGCCCTCGTACAATTCAAGAGCGTCGTGATGCGATGTTGCTCCGACTGAATAGTTCAGGAACAGAGCCACGAGTGTTTGGCGATCCCATCGCTGCACGTCCACTTGAATGACATAGCACAAACCAAAATGACGTATCCCCATCAGGCAAGGTGGGTTGTGCACTCTAGTCGTTTCACCGGGAACGAGTTTAATGCAATTTCGTCGCAATCGAGTCGAAGCGATGGACGTTGCCATCGCGCGCCCAACGCTACGTCCTACAATTGCGTCTACTTTTTGCGCTTCTTTTGCTTTTCGAGCTTCTTGGCCCTCACATGCTGCCTCTGCTTGATGCGCTCTTCCTCTTCAAACGAGATCTGCGGAACGTCCGTCGGTGCATCGCCCAACGTGGCTTCGATCTTCCTGCAAATCGCGAGTTCTTTCGACATGTCATATGCCCACTTGCCGTCGACAAACCCCTCTTCGACAACCCCACGCAAACTCGTTTCCCACAGCACGAACTTCTCCTTCTGCGACAACACAAACTGCATGATGCAATCGTACGTCTCGGTGGCTGGCGGTGGCGGCGCGTCGTCACGGCGCGGTGTCGACTGACCGGCCACGTATCCAAGGTTGGCAAACCACAGCGCGATCTTCTCCTGGAGGATGACGTCCGTGCCGCTCCCGACATACGCCACCACTACAGTCGTTCCTTACATCGTGAGGCTGTGCGGATGGTCACTCTACGTACCTTCGTCCATCGTTGTCCTTGCAAACCTTCGCAGTCCCTTGGCGACGACCCCCATAGCGACGTCCACAGCTTGCCGCTTGCCGCCAAATTGATCGCGCATTACCGCGTTCAATCGTCGTTCAATATGCTCTTCTTCCTCGGCGTTCGTGTGCGACTTACGAGCGTCTTGCAATCGAAGCATGAGCCGTTGCAACTGGTCCGCCATCACGATGGCATCCGCGAGCTTGACGAGCGCATCGTGCCACGTCGACGTGATGAGCTCGAGGAGCATGCGTTCATCGTCCGACATGGTTGGTTTCGGCTTCCTGGGCGGCGCCTGCGTCTTCCGTCGCTCGGCGTACGTGCGTCGCATCAAACCGTCCATTCGAGCGATGGCGTGCACGGCGACCAGCGCAGATCGCAGCCGGATTGGAAACACATGCGGAATCCACTGCACCGTGATGTCGAGCGTCCCTCGGGGCCGAGGCGACAGGTACCCATCTTCATCGCGAAGCGTGAGCGCCGCCGAGATGGCTTTGCCGTGGTCCAGCGCATCGACGGGCACCGTAGCCAGGCCGAGAAAGTCACTGGACGATTCGACATTGCCTCGACTTGGCGCGTCGTAGTCGTACACGGTCAGGGTTAGCATGGGCCCATCGTTGTCGCTGACGCTTTTCTCCTCGTTATCGTCGTCACCACTCTGGTCACGCTCGCTTGCGTTGTCCTCACCGTCGAGTGTTCCGTCGTTGAGCGCCAGGTTGTGCTCGAGCTGGCGTCGCACCCTTCGCAGGTTGACCGTGTCCTCGATTTCTTGTCCGTCGGCGCCGCCGTCTCCACTGCCTGGTTGCTTCCCGGCCGCAAGCAGCGCTTGGTGCTGTTGCATGGCGAGTTCGTGGTTAAGCCACGTATACCTCATGTGGAACACTTCGTCCCATTCCGGCGTTAGGGTCGCTTTTCGAATTGCTGTGCGGCGAGTCTTGCAGCCAGGAAGGTCTAGCTGCACAAACGGATCGCTGGATACGCGATCGGCCGCGCGGAGTCCCTCGGCCCGGTGGATGATGACCTTCAAACACGTCAGCGGAACTTTGGTGGCTCGAATAGCTCGTGCTTTCACGCGAGCTCTCCACGCTGCCTGCACGTACAGCCCCACGCCGACCTACGACGCCAAACATCAGGTCCTGCCTAGACTGGAAAGTGGGCATTCATACCACTCGAACTGCTCGGCGAAGGAGGCGTCGGAGTCGAGCCCGTCGGCGCCGCGTTCGAAACACGTCTTGGATGACGAGGACGCTGCAACACATGAGGTTTCACGCAAGAAGAGCAGGCGGGCGCACCTGTACACCGTCATTTCGTCGCCCACCATGACGTAGCGAGCCGGCGTCGTGTAGCTTTGCATCGAGTGCACTTGGCTCACGTAGAACATGCGGCAGTGGAATTCATCGTACATGGCGACCCATTGGTCGGAGTCGGCGGCCGCGGCAACTTTCATCTCACGGCGCAGTCGCAGCACGCGCTGCTTCATCGAGTCGCTAAACACGACCATGCGCTATGCCATCGAGCGTCAGCACAACGTAGGGTAAAGAGTTGTCGTACCCTTAGCGGCGGCTTCTGAACTTGCGCTTCATACCCCAGCGGTTCGTCCAGGATGCAATCGCCCGTCTCCTTGTTCACAAAGTACTGGCCATGCTCCGATGTGACGGCAATGTAGTCGACCTCCAACGGCTGCGTCATGCACACGTCCAGTTTGCGTTCGAATGGCGACTCCTGCATCATGGCCTGCTGCATGACGTCCAAGATGGCATTTTCAACGTGTATGTGGCGCGGCTCGAGCATCAGTGCGGCCACGTGGGCCTTTTGGAGCCACTCCACCGCGGTGGACGCAGGGCGCGACTTTGTGACCGTATCCTGCTTTGCGCAGGGGTGGCCGGCTCGGCACGCCAAGTCACATCGCGCAACATCAAGCATCATGTGAACGGCTCGGAGGTCGTGCGGCAGAGGGACGCGGCGCAGAGCTTGGAGCAAAAAGTGGCGGGCGAGAAAGTGATCCGACACCCGGACGAACCGCGCACCGTACGAGTGCCACACAAATGGTTGGTTGAGAAAATCTCCGAGGGCGAATGCGATGTCCCGTTTCTCTTTATCGTCGCGTGTAAACTGCGGGCGAAACGTCGTGAGTTGGAACGCCAGGCCAAGCGTCGGGGCCGCTTGAGTTGTGCTGTGTGGCGAGAGTGACGAGTGGTCCGTCGTCGGCGAGAGCAACCGCCACGGCTTCATCGCGATTTGACCTAACAAAAAATCAAATCCATGGCTGCAGGCCATGGTGGCAGTCTGGGCTACATACCGCAGGCAAAGAGCGTCGACAGCGGCAGAGTCATCGACGCCATGACAACGTCACGCAGGTGGACTTTGTTGACGACGAGCACGGTGACCGTCGAGTGCTTGGTTGAGGCAGGGATCGACACGACTTGGTCGTTCCAGTTGGGTTGCATAGTCTCCCACGACGGCGGGTCGGCCGTCGACACTCCGCTATGGCATTTCTTCCCAGGGTGGTGGTCCATTACAACGACTACGCGAACGTTCGAAACGAGGATGTTGGGGATGTGCAAGCCGTGGCACTCGCCCACAGTGACGACTACGCCGCTGACGTGGGTTTCGCGAAATGCGGCCGAGTTGGTCGTGGCTTGCTCTTCCCGGAGCATCTTTTGCACTTGTCGGACGAGATCGTTGTGCAGCGGAGCAAAGTCAGCCCACGCTTTTTCTTGGTTGCGCTGTTGCGCGTCGGGAGCAACCTCCGCTGCCATGTCCATCACGACGCCTCGCATGAACCGGACGTCTGTTGTCGAAAACTCGAATGGCATTGCCACGGGCCACTTTGGAATCGATACCGCGACGACGGGGTCCCGAGGAGCCGCATCCACCTCGTGCAAGAGGTGTGTCATTATTCGGACTGCTCGATCGAACTGCCGCCGATGTGCCAGCAGAAACGCGAGGCGCACAAGGGTGTTGCGAAACAAGTGCGTGTACGCTGGTGCGTTCGATATGCGTTTGGCAAGCGCGTAAAGGGAATCGACGGCGCGAGTTATCTGGAGCGACCGATACGTCACTTCCGCCATTTCCGCGAGCAGCTCCACAGGCCAGTGCGGTTCGATGGTGGAAACTCGCAATGACCTTGGTCGTTTTGCTTGTCCTTTTTGCTCGGGTGGCGGAAGAGTACGCTCGGGCTTTTCCGCTGGGGTAGATGCTTCTGTCGCCTGCAATGCCGCTGAAGACATCTTCTTCTTGGTTTTCTTTGATGGCGACACAGGCTTCAACGTCGTGGACGGCAGAATTCGACGAGCGGGGGCAGTTGAGGGCACGGACGGGCCATACTGCCGAGGAACCGGGACTGGAAATGCCGCCGTCGACGACGCATGTTGGTTCCGATACGCGTCCGCGAGGGCATCCATGGACCGTAACGCCATGTCCAAGTGAGCGAGGTCGAAGCCGTCCATGCAGTAGGCGCGAATGTGGGCACGGACAAGGCGTCGGTGCACGTCGACTGTCGCGAGGGCGTGGAAGTGCTGGCGATAAATGCATTCCAGCAACAACGCTTCGGCTTGAGGTTGCCCGCGCGTGCTTGGAGTGTACGTGTCGAATGCGAGGGCGCGGCTCCACAACCGATCGAGCTTTTGGACGCGGCGCATGGCGGCGGCAAGGTTTGTCGTCGCTTTCGACGACCACGAGCGACGAATGCATTCGTAGGTTGGGTTGATTGCGACTGCATTTTGAATGCAAATGAGGCTGTCCATGAGTTTCCCGATCCCGCGAGCCGCTTTTGCTTGAACAAGCCATGCTTCTCCTTGCGCACGAAGTTCCTCCGACGTCGCGGGTGGTATGGTCAACGGTTTGCGTTTGGCAGTGTGCCATCCCGTGCTAGTGGCTCGTTTTGGATGCGCGACATTGCCACAGCTTTTTCGTTTTGTCAGTTCCTGGGCTGCTTTCGTCGCCTGGTACTGCAAAAACGCTGGACATGTCGACGCGAGGAAATTTGAAAAGACATAGCCGGAGTGCTGATCCCACAAATGAGCGGCATGCAGCCAAGCATGGTCGGTGAGATACCATTGTTCCCAATGCGTCCAGTCGACGCCAAACGCTGCTGTTCCTGCCGATCTGCGCGAAGGCGACTGACGGCAGCGCAGTCCTTGCCGGAGAGAGATCCCGGCAGCTCGCGGCAACTTGCTCAAAAACCCTACCAACGTCGTGTCTGTGGCGTCGGGGCTGTTGGGATTTCGGTAGAACTTGTCGGTGTCATCGCCAGTAGATCCCCGGGTAACCTTCATCGTCGTGATCGCGCCATCGTCCCACTTGACCTTGATGTAGACGTGCGGCGACGATGCTTTGATTCGATGCACAAGAAATGTTCCTCCCGGTGATTGCTGCAGAGAATAAAAATGAGCATGACGGGGCATCAACTTGCGTGACTTGCTCGCACCTGCAACTTCGCTTCGGCGGCTGCTGGAGCCATCACGCCATGGTAAAATCTACATGGGCTGTTTGACGACTCGTCCGTGTGAAAGGAAGGAAGCGTACCCAACGTCTGGCCACAGCTCGACTATGGAATAGCAAATGGCGTACTCCATTTCCGACAACCTGTGGTACCGTTGCGCTTCAGTCTCTGGGACACGACAGGGACGTTCTAGAGTCGTTGTGGGGGCGCCATCGCCTGCTTCTGGCGTTCTCGATTTGGCTGCATCTTGTAGTGTCGGTACATTGCCCCCCATGTCGGCGTGATCCACGGCAGCGTCGGGCACGCCATCGCGATTCAACAGATCGCGATCGTTCAGCTCAATCTCGACATTCTCGTCGTCCCTTTTCACAAGGATTCCTTCGGGCGCCGTTCCACCAGCCGTAGGAATTGCCAGTGGGGCCATCGTCGTGGCTGCCACATCGGTATCGTTTTGTTTGGATAAGAGTGCATAAACCGTCGCGAGCATGTAACGAAGTGCCAACTCCGAGTATGCCTTGAGTGGCCCCAGTGCAATCGTTGCTGCGAGATGTGCCGCACAAGCGTCCAACTTATGGTTGAAAAAGCACACATTGGATGCCAGGACGTGCGCCGTGGCTACCCATTCCTTGTCCAGGGCAGGCGATGAGCGCACGTTTAGAACTTCGTCGCAGAGTGCCAAACAAGGACCAAACGAGTGGTTGAAAAACAGCGCCGTGGCGTAGACTAGCCCCAAGACGAGCCGCGAGGAGGGCGACAGGTTGTTGCCTGTACCATTTCTCTCCGCTGCAGGTCGATCGACGTCGCTGGCTTTGGGAAAGAGCCGTTGAAAGGCCGCGAGCGCTTTCTCCAGGTGGCTTCGGTCCCCTGTTGCCTCATACGAATAGAAATGCGCCGTGCCAAACTTGACCCAGAACATCTCGTCGTTGTTCTCGTCATCTGCATAACCCGCCAAGAAGCTCTGCTCGAGGAGCAGCGCGGCATCGTAGTACGATCCTCGCGCGTACAACATGTACCCTCGCAAAGGTGACTGCCTCAGCCGCGTGGTCTCGTTCTTGAGAGCGAGTGTTCGGAACCGACTGCGCGCTGCCCTGCCGCGCTGGACTACACCGATTGGGGTGTGTCACCTTAGCCGTTTGCGCTTTTTTTGACTTACCTCGCTGAATTCGACGAGCAGCTGTGTGGGAAATCGTCATCGCGACCACAGGAATCGTGCACGCCATCACGGCAAGGACCAACCTTTGCGCGCACCGTCGATACAGCAGCCGCCTGGCAAGCTGACGAGCAACGTGGCATCGATAGGCGCATTGGATAGTCGTGGCTGCGGTGGCGAACCGCCGGGCGGCCACCGCGCGCCGGGCTAGGTGACAACGATACGCGCATTGAATCACGAGGGCAGCTCGATGGCGTCGTCGAACTTGGGACAGGTGGGAGTGCCTACCATTTCACTCAGCATCAAAACAAGCTCTCGTCAGCAGAACCCTCTCGACCATCCCAAATTGACAAGGCCAAGGACGTGAAAGCAGAGAGCACACATTCTCCGAGCAATATTGGCCACACGATGGACGCACCGACGGATGGCCCATCGCGAGCGCATTTTACATTGCAGCACGAGGGCCGCGTAGGCACCGACGTGTTGCCGAAATAAGTGCACCAAAGTACAAGTTTGCACGACGGCCTGGGTGATGAAGAGGCGTAGGGGGCGTGGCTGACGGACATAACGCGCTCGCCGAACTGCCGTGCGAAAATGGAGCTGGCTCTGAAGGAGTATCGCAGCCAGTGTATAGTACGCCGACGTGGATGGAACGGAGAATGGCCGACGAGTCTCCAGTGGAAACAACACGTGCAAAAACGGTGCAGTGCGGGGTGGACGTCGCACAACAGACGACCATGCCGCCTGGAGCGGACTGCGCCATTCCGAGATGTACGTGGCACGTTGTCGCTGGAGGTCTAAGCACGCCGTTCGAGTCGAGTGAAGCCGTCGTTTGGCAAGAAATGTTCGCGCCGTGCATTGAATCGTCAACGCCGCGGAGACTTCCAGACGCTGTCGTGCCACCACCGTGTCAGGTGGTCGTTGGTGTCGTGATGTCCATCTGTATCGAGCCACCATTGTGAGAGATCGAGGGGATAGGAATGGAAATCTGTCAAGAACGAAGGCGACTTCGTCGGCGCATCGAGTGATACCAGCCAAGCAGCATGCCAACTTACCTGGCTTTACTACGCTCGATGAAGTTGCCAGCGCGAAGGTCCAGTGTGTGGTCCTTTACAAGCGACGTATACGTGAGAAGGGTGTGGTACGACGGCTGAGTCGCAATGAAGTCTCGACTGGTGACGACTGAAACATCGCCGGCGTCGACGGCGGTACGTTGGTTCTTTGAAGTAGATGTAGAAGGCGACGGTAGAATTGAACTAGTCACAGGAGGCAGCGGATGGGCTGTGGCATGCGGCCGCTTCTTGGACCGCCGCCTCGGCCACATCGCATGCAAAACGTTGACCAAGCGTTTCGTGCGAAACAGTCTGCACAAACCAACGACATGGAGTTCGTCAAGCGCATGGAGGCATGGACTCATGGTAGACGAAGAAGAGCCATGTTAAGAACCAACGTTTTGCACATGGATCGTTCGCGTCGACGAAAGAACGTGTCTATCTGCCACCGCCGAGTTTTCGAACGATGAACATGCTCGCGTCCAAGTACGACGACGCAACGTTTTGCATGCACGAGACTTCGGTGCTGGACAGCGACGTGTCGGGCTTGGCGGCACTGCACTTGTCCCACGCAATCGCAGTGATCTTGGCGATGGCTTGTTGCACGAGCACCTTTTGCTGCTCTTCCATGATGATGTCGTTCACACTGGTGCCACCGCTGCTCGACACGGCCGGGGTGTACTGGGAGCTGGGTTGTTCATCCAGCGTCGTGAACGACGAGTCCGAGTATGTCGGCACCGGTTCTTCCTTCGGAGTGCTGCTGCCACCCAAACCGAACCACGACATGTTGATGCTTGGGAGGAAGCGAATAAATGGTCGCTCAAAGGATGGCTCAAAAGGGGTTCAGATTGCGTCAAGTTTCCAATACATGGTGCGAGAGTTTCAATATGTGCCAAATTGGGGTATTTTCATCCGGATAATCGAAGGCGATTCCGTGGTACGAAAAGCAAGGACTGGCGGCACCACGGACGCCATCATGATGCCGCGCCAGCTCCTTCGGAGAGCAAATCGCCTTGCGACGCAACCGACTTGGAGCCGCTCTGCACAACCATCCGTCTGCATCGCTCACTACAGCGAATTGGTGTTCAACCCTGTTTCGTTGCAACGCCACGCCCCCAAAGAAACAACGCTAAGTCCTCAAGCCACGCCGAAGCCACCAGCCAAATTTGAATCCGATCGAGTCCTGGTGAATGAGGAAACACCATCGATCATGGAACATTTCAGAAAGAAGGAGTACGAACAAGTTGTGAAGGCTGTGGGCGACTTGATCGTGAAGAATGACCCCATCAACGACATTACGTGGGGGAAGTACTTGCAGGCCATGAACCACTTGTGTCAATTCGAAGATGTTCTTACGCGGTTCAAAGTTCTCTTGGCAGAGTATGGTGCGTCCATGTGGCGCTATGATCGCATGGACCTCGTCCATTCGGCCATCTTTGCGGCCAAGGCACTGCGACGAGGCGACCTGGCGCTCATGATCGTCCAAGAATCACGCCGCCATGGCGCCATGTACTTGCAATGCAGACACTACTTTGACGCGATGTGGGCCAACTCGATAGTGCTTATTCCGGGCAAGGGCTACTCCGACCTGCCTCGATACAAACCAGCACCCCTCCAGAATGCACTTGCCATCGCTCGTCTGGCTGCCGAAGACGGCTACATCATGCCACCCCATGCATGGTTTGAGCTGACCAAAGCAAGCATCCACTATAACCACCCGTCCGAGGACATCCTGGCGCTGACAGCCATGCTAGCCAAGCACACACCGACAATGCTCCCGAACGCCAAGACGCTCTTCCGCGCCTTGTCGGCCCCCATGCACGCGCGGCGTCACGAGTTGTCTGTCCAAATGTTCCGCCTATGGGTGCCGCACTTGCCACGATACTCTGCTGAGGATGCGTCCCGGCTGTGCGAAGTTGTATTGAAGCCGTTGTGTCGGCTTGGAATGGCACCAAAGGCGCTGTTGCGCTCCCATGCGCAGGGGACAACTTCGGATCCAGTGCTGTCGCAAGCCGCATGCCTGGCGATGGTAAGTGAAATCGTCGACACGATGGTTCGGAACAAAATTCGCATGCGGTCGCATGTCCTGCGCGAGTTCTACCTTCCGCTCGTGGTGCCGTCGTTGTCGGCACCGCTCTTCCTCGCGCACGTCAAGTCGAGCAGTCCATATACGCTTGAGCTCAATGCATATGTGCTGCACGTGGCGCTGCGCGAGTATGTTGTGCGGGGACAGGTCGACAGCGTCAACGTGCTACTTCAAACAGCCCTGACACACGACATCGAAGTCACTTGGTCCACGATCGACTTGATCTTGGCCATGTTTACTCGAGTTGGCGCCTACTACGATACGACAGCGCTCGTCGAGACCATTCTCGGCGACGATGATGACATCGCCGATGACGTCGGATCAAGCAATACCGGTGATACTGCGGTGAAGGATACGTTAACCGAAGATGCCGTGCCAGACTTTGTGTACAGGCAGGCCATGCATGCCTACATGGAATCGTATCGGTACGAGGCTGCCGATGCATTTTACAAGCGCCATCTTGGAAAACGCCACGACGAGTTCGCCAAGTCGATGGCGCTAGTGGCCGCTGCCGCACGACGGCTGCAGGAGCGAGTGGTCGACGCTTCTGCGATACCTGTCGCGCCTCCCACCAACCTTTTCACATCAAAACCTGCCCAAGCATGATGGCCACAACGATGCGCACGTTTAAGCTAGAGAACATACCAAATACCCTGTGAAACTACTTCTTATGGTACAAATACAATGGCACGTTGTCGAACGGTCCAACATCCTTCTTGTCGCAGTGGACAAACCCTGAAAGGTGCCACGAATTGCTCACGATGCGGCACCCCCGCGCGAGAGCTGCTTCGAATGTATGTGTGAGTTGGGCCAACGCTTCGGGGAGCAAGTACGTAACGATGACGGTGGCACTGGACAAGTCGGCGTCGAGGAGGTCGCCGTGAAGTACACGGACTCGGTCATGCAGGTTGTACCGATCGATCTTGCCCTGGAACTTGGCGATCAAATGCTCTTCGATCTCAATCCCAACCGCCGACGCGCCGTACTTTCGGGCCGCCGCAATGCAGATGCGTCCGTCGCCGCATCCCAAGTCGAACACGACCTACACGACAGTGCCAGCGTCCCATGAGTTCCTGTAGACAACCAATCCACTGTCGGTACAGCGTACGTCGTTCGCAGTGACATTGGCCAGCTTGAGAATCTCATGCACAACATCGTACTCGGACTGGCACGGCGGTGCCAACGAGTCGCCTTCCAGCCACATGAACGTCGACTCGTCGCCTTCGTCGTCGCTCCATTCCGCCTCCTTGGTCGCCATCGCGTTGTCCACTCACCTGCGATTTCACTAATCAACGCACCAATCAGATTTCGATGCAACGTGAAATTTCCCCAGCAATTTCTTGCCATTTATTCAGGGAAACCGGAGGTACAATATTCGTTCGAACGTTGCTGCGCTGCTCATGTGCATGCACGGCAGGTCAGCTCTTGCTGGCCATGCAGCCCAGTCAAGGGGCTTCAGCGTGATGTTCACTGTAGTGGAGATGACCACCGTGTGTAGCATAAACCCAGTGTGTTGCATTGACTTGAAATTGAGTTGGTCGCACAAGCGTTGAAAACATCCCCCACTACGATCTCACAGACGCCAGCGCCATCGAGTAGTAGTGAGGTCGAAGGAGCATTTCGCCATGCGTAAGGCCCGACCACAGCGTCACTTGAATCGGTGCATCGCGTCCGTCAGCGAGCTGGACACCGCGCTGGAGCAGTGCGTGGACAGTTGGAGCGTCCGTGATTTGGTCTGAGCTCGACAGGAAGATGGACGCAGCCACCGCATGCGTCTCACGATGGCGGGGCAATTCTTCGGGAAACAATATATTGTTGTACCACCAAAAGTGGCGGCGAATGGCGTGCGCAATGTGCAATTCTTGCGACTACACATAACGTTCAGATGCGCTATCACTCGAAGTGTTTGGTACCACAAAGTACCACATGATAACTTGGAGCCCCGTGGCAGGCTCGCGGTACAAAAAGTTGTATGCCACATCCCGTCGACAGAGCAAAAACACCACCGGGTCAATCAACGTGACTTGGGAGACCCTCTGGGGCGCCTCTTTGCACACCCAGCTGCACACGACTGTCCCGAGGGAATGGCCCATCCAGTGAGCCGACTCAACTCGGTGGGCTCGCAGCATGTGTGAAATCGCCCCGAGGGTATCGTCCTGCGACGGGACGGTTGCTTCCAGCTGCATCGAGACATATCGCAGCTCAAACAAAAAGAGCTGCCGTGTCGAGCACTCCGCTGCCAGTTGCAGTAGCATCGGAACATACATGAGCAGCCCTGCACTTTTGGTCACGCTCCAACCGACGAAATCTTTCATGAAGTACCAGATCCAATGCCGTGGACAAACACCACAGGTTCTTGAGGCACGGCTGGGGTGAGGATAGCCGTGCGATGCCAGTAGGTGCAGCCCCTTCCCACCACGTGCCGTTGAAAGCCGAGCTGGGACAGGATCAATCCCGCCAGCACGTCCATGCCTGCCCAACATGTGCATAATTCAAATGCATGTGACGCGTGTGCACGAGATGCGCGACTCGTACCCATTGTAACGACGTATGCAATCAGCGGGCGCTCCATGCACTCAAATGCATCGATGGTGTGGCGAATGCACGGGTTTCTAGCTGCAGTGTCCAGCGACTTGGGACGTTCTCGAACTCCCGCTTGCGCGTAGAGTTGGTCAACCATTGTGTCAATATCTGCCCAGTTGTACTCTACGCAATCGGACGAGACGTCGTGCGAGTACAACACGTACGCAAGCCACCGTCGGAGGTCATGTCTTGTCAGCTGTTCAAATGGCGTGCCGTAAAACCACTAGCCACCAGGAATGAGTTCAAGACACCCACTTAAAGAACCGCATGTGTACCTCCTCCACAAACGCTTTCACGTCTGGAATGTCTGCCATACAACGCTCGAGAAGCCCCACCGATGGCTGTGCATGAGTTGCAAAATTCTTCCGCACTTGTGGAGGATTTGACTGGGTTGCGGCCAACGACATCTTCCAGTGGTGATGGTATAGAGAAAACACAACCTCGGTCGTGCAATACAAGATCAATGGCAACGCCACCCACGGGCTCACTTTTGATGGCCCAAGGCACTGCCACTGGTCCGCCGTAAGAGCCAAGAGCGCGACTGGCGCCAAGTACACGATGCATCTACGAAATCGAGACATGAGTGTGCGCTTACACGTCGGGCGTTAACGTTACCGAACTGGCAAGACCAGGATGGCCAAGAGGACGTAGTAGTCCCATGTCTTGGGTTTCGGGGCATCGAAGGATCTGCGTGTGGGTTTGGTCGTTCTCGACAATATGGCGTGGCGGAATCTCTGGAGTAGCTCCATGCTCGTTCAACAATGTGCTTTGCCCACATCTTTCGCTGTCCGAAAGCCTTCAACTTGCAACGTTGTGACGCGACATAAACAGAATGTACCAGTCACATTGAAGTGGCCAATGGCCTTGCTCAAAACTCGACTGGGCAATTTTGATTGGATATTCGAATTTTTGTCTGACCAATCGTATGGCCGAAATCTCGAGAGAACGCATGATGGGGGGGCACTCCCAGCGAGTGACCTGGAAACCTGGCGCTGTGCCAACACCAGAATGACAAGCCAGCGCACAGCCTGTGGCAGAGGCAGGTAAATATATTATTATAGCAGCCCAGACTTGAGGCCAAACCCGACCCGCATTCCTGTCGAGCTTTTCCTGTTGAATTGGGCAACTGCTTCGTCATACGACACGGTGGTGTCGATACTCAAGTTCAGGATGACCTCTTTTCGCGCGGCGTCCAAGAGGCCCCGGATGGCGTGGAAGGAAGGACGTTGAGACGGATCGGGGTGCCAGCATGCCTTCATCAGGTCGTGCAGCACTGTGGGGATGTGGGCACACAACGGCGGACGCAGGTTCTTGTGCACCACCATGTAGGGCAGATTGATGGGATCTTGGTCCAAGTACGGTTTCTTGAAGCAAAAGAGCTCCCTGGGCAAGCATGATGAATAATTGTCAGCTTCCTCAAGTAAGTACCACAACACTATGCCGTAGGAGTAGATGTCGATTTTCTCCGAGTACACGTCGCCGCGGTAGACTTCGGGGGCCACCCATCGGGGAGTCCCACACACTGTATTGGCAATCGCGTCTTTCTCTAGCGACCTGGACAGGCCGAAGTCGGACAGTTTGCAGCGAAATAATTCCGTGATGAGCAGGTTTTCCGCCTAATTTGTGATGCCACTAAGCAAATATACCAACGACGTTGATGCAAACACACCTTGATATCTCGATGCAGGATAATGGGGTTGAGGGAATGGAGGTAGTTGCATGCAGAAGCGCAGTCGTTGGCAATGTCGAGAGTGAGCCCCCACGTCGCGCGAGCTTTCTTGGATTCCACCAGCTTGAGCAGATCCAAAACCTTCCAATATGACAACAACGCCCACGACGATGAGCCTCGCGATAATTTCGGGATAAATTCGTACCGAGCCTTCACAGAGCTCCGTGATTAAGCAATAGTTGGGGTGTTCCTGCACAGCCCCGAGGAAGTGCACAATGTTGGGGTGGATAAGCTGCGACAGGATGTCCACTTCTTGCGCAAAGTCGACGAGTTCGATCGATTTCTCGCTCGTGTCGCGGAGGTAAATCTTCTTCACGGCCACTCGTTTGCCTTTGCAGTACGCCTCGTACACAACGCCAAAGTTGCCAGCACCAAGCGTCGACCGCACATCGATCTCCTTGAACGGCACATTCAATCCAAAGAAGACTGTGCCGAGCTGGCGAGACTCAGTGATCACATCGTCCCCTTTCGTCTTCAACCTGACGCGCGCCGAGTTGGCCAGCGTCCCAGCTTTATTGGCGTTGACAAACTTGTGCGTTTCGACGGATATTCCTGCAGGTTCCACAGAGGACGCGACGCAGCCCATGGTGCTGGTGGTATGGTCGCGGTCAACACGACGGGAGGCACGGGCCAAGCGCGCGACAATCAAGCGAAAAGTGGACGCTCGGAATAGAGAGCTGCATCCGCCTAAAGATAGCCACACTCAGAATCGACCCGAATACGGCTCGTGATGTATTCCGACGAAACCGCAATCAGTTACATTCACACTTACATTCGTCCGCCATCCATGCGTGGGGCAGGCGACAATCCAAAGACGAACGAGGACACGTCGTCGGTGACTCCGTCGCTCGTATCGGCCTTGATCGACACCGACTTGAATCGAGTGTTTCGATTCCTTCGTGGCTACGCCGCGCGATCGAAACTACGGCGGCTCGAGCGCGAGCTCCAAGTAAAAACACAAGCTATGGCGTCGCATGCTGCAAACGACGCCACGCCCGTGCCACCCGCATGGGGGGAGTTTGCGAACGATGCATACGAAATCATCGAAATCCTCGGCGAGGGCGAAACCGAGCAGTTAGATGCCCTGCGACGGGAGATTCTCGCGGTGACACGCGATGTCGAAGCTGCCAAGGCCGATGGCCCAATTACGGGCAATGACTTGTCGCAGGCTCTCAAAGAAATGAACTTGCCGTTGTCCAAGGTGCGAGCTGAACTACCAGGCGGATGAACATGGCAAGTGAGCTGACGGGTTCGAGACCGTGGTGTAGGCGGAAGTAGAGCACATGATTTGGGAAGTTGACGAGGATATGGACGGATGTGTGAGCATGACCGAATTCAAGAACATGTTTACCCGATGCGTGCACGACTCGCATGGCATCGAGCCAACACAGCTGTATCATGTCGTCCAGTTCCTCATTTATGACCAAGACTTCAGCTTCAATCTCACAGGTGCATTCCTCTGTGTGAAGTCGTGCGACAATGCGGTTCTTGCATCTATTGGTGCGTGCTCATGCGCGTGTAGTTGGGGAGATCGCCCAACGTTCCAACGTTCGGCACAATTCCGAATTGCTCGCGCGACAACTCTCGTCGTTGTTTGGAAAAGAAGCCCCTGAGACCCGCGTTTCATTGCCAACGTACTGGGCAGTTGTAAATACCACGATGCCCAACTTGTTTAATTGAGTCAATCTTACATGACGACAGTCCAAGTCGACCCCCCCTCCACACGATTCTTTAACCTCCCTTCGAGCAAATTACAACTCACTCCACACCCTTCTCCACCTTGGCACTGCTGTCAGTCGCTGCAATGACGCGACGAAGGAGGAGGGCTACACTTAATGCATCGCCTCGCAATCGCGTTGCGCATGAGCAGGTCCTTGCAGAAGTTTTCACACTATTCACGGTTTCAGTTTCATATCCATTGCACACGTAATAGTATATTCATTAAAATAATTCGACTTGCCTGTATTTTTCCCAATCCAAAAATATTTAAATTTTGCTGAATATACATATATTTTTTATTTCTTGACGTTTCAAACACGTAAATAGGAGGTGCTGTGATTTGAAGTTTGAAGGGACACACAAAACCGCGGAAGAATAGCATCTGGCGGGCCGGTTTGTGATAGCATCGTCGCCGCACCTCATGGCGTTCCAGGCGCGGCATCGATGGATCATTCAAAAGATTCAGATTGGCCTGGGTTTCCGTGACGAGGGCCAGGTGGAGGAACTCATGAAGACCAACGACATTATGGACGCTCTGTCGGGGTTCTTCCATCCCGCTGGCCCCACGCGCATCTTTTTCTACTATCAGCCGCGGGTGACGGACCCGGACGGTCGATTGCCCTTGAACTTTGTGGAAACTACATCTGACACCTCTGAGGGCATTCCACACGTCGCTCCCCGATCGCATGCGACACCTTCTGTTGCTGGAGGCGGTCGCGACGACCACGACGCGCCTCCCATCCCCGAATTGTTTATCACAGATGGCCGTGGCGAGCCTCTTCTTGCGCGAGCTGTGTACTTCTTAAAGAAAGTCAAACCACCACATGCGCCCATCGTCCGCACGCGGCATTCCCGGCAACCAGAAGCCGTCGAAGACCAGTCGGCCCTCGTGACAATCAATCCTGCAGTTGCGAACGACGGTTTGCTCGAGTTTGGAGTCCTTGACAAATCTGTGCTCGTAACGATGGAGACCCTGTTTTCCCAGCTCTATCTTCCTCTCTTGAACGTGCGGGACGATTGCGAATGGGGCCAAGCCGACGCGGAATGCAAGCACGAGTTCCTCCACGGGATGAAGTCATTCCTAACAGACATCCAGGGCAGCCTCAAGACAATGAGCGCTGGCCTCGAACTCCGCAAGCCAGACAAGCGATACGATGCGTCCGACTCGCGCAATTTGAATCGCTACGCCAGCGACGAAGCTGCTGTTGCGCACTTTGTCGACTTGGTCCAAGACTGGTGTCGACAGACGGAAGCGTACTTGGACGACAGTGACCAAACGAGGTGGGAGTCGAGCGAGTCGGGCCCTGACACCGAGTTGGAGTACTGGAAAGGTCGGCTCCAACGGCTCACCGGCATCACAGAGCAACTCAAGACGAAGGAGTGCAAGATGGTGATCGGAGCACTCACGATCGTGACCAAACAGCACGACGTCGGGTTGGACAAGCAGAGCGTGTTTGCGCTCCTGCGCCAGTGGAAGCAAATCGACATCAACATCACGGAAGCGACGAACGAAGCGAAAGACAACGTGAAGTATCTCGCGACGCTGGAAAAATTTATCGAGCCACTGTACATTGGGACACCTGCCACCGTCATCGACGCGCTGCCTGCGCTTATGAATGCGGTCAAGATGATCCATACCATCGCGCGGTACTACAACACGACAGAGCGCATGACGAAGCTCTTCATGAAGGTCACAAACCAAATGATCGCACTGTGCAAGGCCAGCATCAACGGTTCAAATCCGCCCGAGTACATCTGGAAGCAGAACCCGGAAACGCTGCTCGAAAGCCTCGAGACATGCTTGCGACTGAACGAGGCGTACCAAGAGCAGTACCGTCTCACAAAGGACAAGCTCCTGACGATGCCAAAGGGGAAGCAGTTTGACTTTAGTGAAACCCAAATTTTCGGCAAGTTCGACCTGTTTTGCCGCCGAGTGATCCGCCTCATCGACATGTTCAGCACGATCCACCAATTTCAGTCTCTGGCCGACCATTCTCTGGAAGGCATGCACGGCCTCATCCAGACCTTCCAGACAATCATCGTAGAGTTCCAGGCAAACAAGCATGATCTATTGGACTTCCACAACAACAAATTTGACCGTGACTACGTCGAATTCAACGTCCGCATCAGCGACTTGGAGCTATCGTTTCAGCACTTTATCAATCAGTCGTTCGAGAGCATCACGAGCATCGAGCAGTCGCTCAACTTGCTCAAGCAATTCCAGACCATCCTCCAGCGCGAGAACCTCCGCAACGACCTCGACTCCAAGTTTACTGTGATTTTCCACAACTACGGCCTCGACTTGACGACGGTGCAGGAAATATACGAAAAATACCGCCACGACCCGCCCATAGCACGCAACTTGCCGCCCGTCGCAGGCAATATCTTGTGGTCGCGCCACTTGCTTCGCCGGATCGAAGAACCCATGCGCAAGTTTGAGAGCAATCCGAGTGTCCTGGCGACGAAAGACTCGAAGAAAGTGATCAAAACGTACGCCTGTCATGACGCGGAATGAATGCATGGCTCACAATCGATCGCTTTGCGGCGGATGTAGGTACAATAAAGTTGCACGAACACTTGTCGCGTTCGAGTACTTGTGGTACGAAGCGTGGTGCCGGTCCATCGAGACGTCCAAGGGCGGGCTGCATGCGACCCTCATCATCCGACATCCCCAAACAGACAAGCTGTATGTGAATTTCGACAAGGAGATTCTCCAGCTCATTCGCGAGGCCAAGTGTTTGGACCGCATGGGGATTGAAGTGCCGGACAATGCCAAAATGGTCATGCTCCAAGAAGACAAATTCAAAATGTACTTTAACGACCTCACGTACACGCTGCGGGAGTACGATCGCGTGACTTCGAAAATCATTCCGATTACAGCGACGCTCCTCAAGCCGCATTTGGACGACCTCCAAGCCAAAATTCGACCTGGCATGGTCACCCTCACGTGGACTAGCATGAACATTGACGCGTACAAGATGCAAGTCCACTTGGGTCTCCAACGTCTCGAAGAGCTGATCAATAGCGTCAACGACATCATTGAAAACCGCGTGGAAAAAAACTTAAAGGTTGGCTGCTTTCCCGTCGTTCGAATAGTCAACGATCGTGTAGGTCGTGTCGAAAGCCGTGCTCGTGAGCCTTCCAACAGATCAATCGTTTGCCCTCGACGATTTCGTGCGGGCCCAGGAGAAGAATGTGATGGCGGTCACGTCGCTCCTCGCGGCCAAGAACACTGAAGTCGAAAACGCCGTCGATGACGTGCTCCGGCTGATCAGCGACTTTAGCTTGGACATTGTCGACGTGGTGGCGACGGGAGGCGCGAATCCGTTGGCGGCCAAGGGCGGTGCAGGCAAACTCGCCAGCGAAGCCGACAGCCAACTCGCGTTTCGAAACCATTACAAGACACTCATGTACCGCGCCCTCGTCAACTGCACAAAAACGTCCCTGAACGCCATCAAGAAACGCGTACGTATAGCACCGATGGGATGATGGTTCAAATGCGTCATCCTTGTCGTATGTAGGTATGCTCGAAAGCAGGCACGGGGTTTTTGTTTTTGGAGCGTCCGTTCTTTGAAGTCGACGTGCAATTGAGTGTGCCGTCCGTGCGGCTCAGCCCGAGCCTGGACGATATCCAGCGCGCCATCAACCGCAGTGCCGTTGCCGTTCTCAAATGTTCCAAGACCCTGTTCACGTGGGGTCAGCAGGATGTGTTTCCAGAGTCGAGCCGCGTGACGTTCTTCGACCATTTGGGATGCGACACGGAGATCATCAAGGTCGCACTGCTTTTGACGGGCGCGCTCCATGGGACCAAGAACCAAGTGCACGACTACCTCGGTGCGTTCAAAAAGTACGACTGGCTGTGGAAGGAAGACATGGAGTTTCGGTACAATCAATTCATCAAGCGGAGCCCGACGATCCAGGACTTTGAGAACGAACTCAAGAACTTTATGGTGGTCGAGGCCGAGATCAACAGCATCGCACCGGTCCACAACATCGCGGCGCTCTCGCTCAACACAAAGAACCTGAAGCTGCAGCTCCGAAACGAGTGCCGTCAGTGGAAGGTCCAGTATTCCGACCGCGTGCACCAACAGGCGCGGCTTGCGCTGACCAACCTCATGGAGTACATGCGTGTCACCAACACCAAGCTCAATCGAGACGTCGAGTCGCTGGATTCGCTTCGGTACGTTGTCCGAGTTTTCACCGCCACGACGTGTCGACTGAGGCCTTGCCTAGGTACGTCATGATGGTCCTCAAGGAGGTGCGCGAGCGCGAGTCGTCAATCGAAATGGAAATCAACCCAATCTTGGATATGTACGAGATGCTCGAGCACTTCTTGCCGGGCGGGTACATGAACAAGGAAGAGATGGACCAGAAAAGCGTGATTCGATCGACGTGGCGGAAGCTCGTCGAGTACGCGGAAGAAGTGACGGACAATCTGAGCGACGTCCAGGGCAAGTTCAAGAAGCAGCTCATGAAAGATGTCAAGGACTTCCAGGCAGACGTGCTGCAGTTCCGCACCGATTACACCGTGAACGGTCCCATGGTGTCCGGGATCAAGCCGACTGAAGCCGTGGAGCGCCTCGCCCGGTTCAAGGACAGCCTCGCGTTGCGCGATCGGAAGCTCGAAGTGTACGCGGCTGGCGAAGAGTTGTTTGGAATGCGCCCCACCGAGTACCCCGAGCTCACAAAGACGCGGAAGGAACTGGCATTACTCGATCAGCTCTACGGGCTGTACATGGACGTCGTGCAAACGATGGAAGGGTACCGCGGAATCTACTGGAACGTTGTACCGTCGATGCTAGACGACATGACAACAAGTTTGCACGTGTTCGATGAGCGGTGCAAGCGTATGCCGAAAAAGCTCTGTGAGTGGGAAGCATATCGGCTGCTGCGTAAGGATATCAGTGACATGGTCGACATGCTGCCGCTCGTCCGGGACCTGAGTGCGGATTGCATCAAGCTGCGCCATTGGCAAGACGTCGTCAAGCTCGCGTCGGTTCCGCTGCCTGTCGAGTCGGAAGCGTTCAAGTTGAAAGATTTGCTGGATGCCAAGCTCCTTGGCCACAAAGACGACATCGAGGCCATTTGCGACAGCGCGCACAAGCAGCTGCAAATCGAAACGAAACTCAAAGACATCAAGGATGCGTGGACGACTGCCGTGTTTGAGTTTGGCGAGTGGAAGTCGCGAACGATTCCCGTGCTCAAAGGATACGGCGGCGTCATTGAAGCGCTCGAAGACGCTCAGCTGCAGCTCCAGGGCATGCTTGGACTGCGCCACGTCGTGCCGTTCAAAGACAGTGTCCAGGCCAAGCTGACGCAGCTCTGCGACACGTCCGACGTCCTTGAGCTGTGGATCAAGGTGCAAACGCTGTGGATGTCTCTCGAGTCGGTGTTCACGGGCGGCGACATTGCCAAGCAAATGCCGCTCGAGGCGAAGAAATTTGCCAAGATCGACAAGGACTGGATCAAGCTGATGGCGAAAGCGAGCGAGACGGGGGTCGTCGTCATCTGCTGTTCAAATGAAATGCTGAAGTCGACGCTGCCCATCTTGTACGGTGAGCTTGAAAAATGCCAAAAGTCCCTCGAGGGCTACCTCGAGCAAAAACGGAACAAGTTTCCCCGCTTCTACTTTGTCTCGAACCCGTTTTTGCTCCAAGTCCTGTCCAAAGGATCGGACCCCATGGCCGTCCAGCCGTATTACGAAAAGATGTTCGATTCGGTCGACCATGTCGTGCACGATCCCGTCGACAAGCGGCGCATCGTCGTGCTCAAGAGTTCTGTCGGGTCGGACGAAGAAAGTATAGCCCTCAAGAATGCAGTCGTAGCGGACGGCAACATCGAGGACTGGCTCACGGCGCTCGAGCATGAGATGTTCACAACGCTCAAGGTCCTGGCCCGTGAATGTGTCACCGACTCCATGACCCTCTCGCTGCGCGAGTTTGTCCTGAAAAGCTGCGGTCAGTTTGCCCTCTTAGGCATCCAGCTCCAGTGGACGGCGCAAAGTCAGGAAGCGCTCCAAAAGTGCAAAACGTCCAAAGGCATCATGACAGAAACCAGCAAGAAGCAAGCCCAACTTCTCTCGGAACTGAGCTCGTGGTGCCTCACCAACCTCGGCACCAAACTCCAACGCGTCAAAGTGGAGACCCTGATCACAATCCAAGTGCATCAACGCGACTGCTTTGCTGACCTTGTCCGGCTGCACAAGGACCGGAAAATCACCGACGCCACCGACTTTGAATGGCTCAAACAAGCTCGCGTGTACTGGCGGCCAGCGCCGGCCCAAGACCGGCTCGGGCCCGAAACTTGCGTCATTCAAATCTGCGACGTCGAATTCAAGTACGCGTACGAGTACCTCGGGTGCAAAGAGCGGTTGGTCATCACGCCTCTGACCGATCGGGCGTATGTGACGCTGTCCCAAGCTCTCGGAATGTACCTCGGAGGGTCGCCCACGGGCCCCGCCGGGACGGGGAAGACAGAGACCGTAAAGGACCTCGGGCGAGCGCTGGGGCTGTATGTCGTCGTGACCAACTGCACCGACCAGCAGCGCTTTCTCGACATGGCCAAGATCTTCAAGGGGCTGTGTCAAGCCGGGTTCTGGGGCTGCTTTGACGAATTCAACCGCATCGAGCTCCCCGTGCTGAGTGTCGTCGCGCAGCAAGTGCTCGCGATCACGAACGCCAAGCGCGTGCAGGGCACCCACTTTTTGTTTCCGGGCGATGCGGCCCCCATCCGCCTCAACATGGACGTCGGGTACTTTATCACGATGAACCCGGGGTACCAAGGCCGTCAGGAGCTGCCAGAGAACCTGAAAGCGCTCTTTCGCGGCGTTGCAATGATGGTGCCAGACCGCGAAATCATTGTCAAAGTCAAGTTGTGCTCTGTCGGGTACGACCAGTTTGCCGACCTCGCGCGCAAGTTCAAGACGCTGTACTCACTGTGCGAGGAGCAACTGTCCAAGCAAAACCATTACGACTTTGGCTTGCGCAACATCTTGTCGGTGCTCCGGACGGCCGGCGAGACGAAGCGGAACCACTTGGACGCCCCGGAAGACCTGTTGCTCATGCGGACGCTGCGCGACATGAACTTGTCCAAGCTCGTCGCGCAGGACACACCGCTGTTCCTGTCGCTATTGCACGACATCTTTCCATCCGTCGAAACGAGCGCAAGCGTAGCCAGCCCCATGCTCCACCAGATCCAAGATGTCCTCACCACCCATCAAAAAGTGCCGACGCCGTCGTTCACGATGAAGATAGTTCAGCTATACGAGACCCTTCTCGTTCGACACGGGATCATGGTCGTGGGCCCCGCCGGCACGGGCAAGTCCGAGATGTTTCGGACTCTGCAAGTTGCTCTGACAACAGCCAAGAACATCCCGCACCGCCAAATCCGCATGAATCCGAAAGCGATTCGACCGGAAGAAATGTTTGGCGAGACTGACAAGCAGTCGGGCGAATGGCTCGACGGCGTGTTTGCGTCCATGTGGTCCAAGTACAACGACAGGAGCCGGCGCGACATGTCGTGGGTTGTGTGCGACGGCCCTGTCGACGCCATTTGGATTGAGAACCTGAACACGGTCTTGGACGATAACAAGTTGCTGACGCTCGCCAACGGCGACCGCATTCCCATGACGGACAACTGCAAGCTCATGTTCGAAGTCGAAGATTTGCGCAATGCGTCCCCGGCCACGGTGTCCCGCGCCGGCATCATCTACGTGAGCGAGCCGGACTTGGGTATCCAGCCGCTCATCGACGCATGGCTCCTCACACGGCCGACGACCGACGCAAGCGCATCGACCAGCCAGCGCGACATCCTTCGAGCGCTGTTTGCAACCTACGTCCACGACGGCCTGTTCAAGTTTTTGTTGAGGCAGTGCCGCGCCGTGGTGTCGTTCCCGCGATGCGGGATGATCGAGTCGTGCTTGACGCTGCTCTCGAGTGTCCTGGCAACGGCCGAGCTGAGTGAGACCGACATGGCGGCCGAGCTCGAACGCGCGTTTGTGTTTTCACTGGCGTGGGCAGTCGGCGGCCTGTACGAAGCCGACGACCGCATCAAGTTCAACGAGTACCTGGCCAATGTGTCGGCGAATTTCATTCCAAAGCAAGCCAAGACGACGGTGTTCGACTACGTGGTCAACCCGGTGTCGATGGATTGGGAGCGGTGGAGCTTGGACACATGGGAGCCTCCCGTAGGCATGGCGGACGTGGACGTAACCAGCGTCACGATTCCCACGGTCGAAACGACGCGAAGCGTGTACCTCATTCAACACGTCGTAGCACACCGACCAGTGCTGCTTGTGGGCGGCACTGGGACGGGAAAGTCGTCGATCGTGCAGCTCTTTTGTGACAAAGGCCGAAGTGACGACATGGTGATGCGCAAGTTAATCTTTTCGAGCGTGAGCTCCCCCGGCGGATTCCAGCTCATGGTCGAAGCCGAATTAGACAAGCGCGGTGGCAAGAACTTTGGCCCGCCGCACGGAAAGAAGATGACGCTGTTCCTGGACGACCTGAGCATGCCTGCGTGCAACACGTGGGGCGACCAGCCGACGTTGGAAGTTGCTCGGCAGCTCATTGAGACGAACGGGCTCTGCTTTCTCGACAAGGACAAGCGCGGCGACCTAAAGGTCATCGAAGACGTTCAGTATGTGGCAGCGATGCAGCACGCGAAAGACGGTAAACAGGATGTCCCGAACCGCCTCAAGCGCCAATTCTTTGCCTGGAACGTTGTCGTGCCCACGATGGACGTCGTGGATTCGATTTACGGCCAGATCCTCAAGTGGCGCGCGGGGTTTCCAAAAGTCGACAAGTCCGTCGCCGACCTCGCGGGCAAACTCACGTCGGCGACGCTGCACGTTTGGGCGTTTTTGCGAAAGGCGATGCTGCCGACGCCGCAAAAGTTTCACTATATGTTTACGATGCGGGACCTCGGACGCATCTTTCAGGGCATCCTGCGTGGGTTCGACGGCGTGCAAATCGATCGCGGCCTGGTCAGGCTCTGGCGCCACGAATGCGAGAGACTCTTTGCCGACCGCCTCACCACGCTGGACGACAAGACTCGCTTAAAAGACGAGCTCCACACAACAATGGACAACTTGCTCCTGAAGCCCGTTGCGCCGCAGCCCGTCAAGGAAGGCAAGAATGGAGGGACCAACAGCTTAGTGACTGGGCAACGCGATGGGTCGCAGCCGTACTTGATTGACATCGCGTCGGGGTGGTTTGTCGACTTTTTGCGAGATGACAAGCGCGACGAAGACGGTGTCCTCATCGAAGAAGCGCCCAAGGTGTACGAGTGCGCCGCATCGATCTCCGTTGTTCGCGCGCGCGTCGAGCACTTGGTGGAGCTCTACAACCGGGACAACCCGAGCCGCAAGGTCAACTTGATTCTTTTCGACGACGCGCTTTTCCATGTCCTTCGCATCGTTAGGGCGCTAGGGATGCCACGGAGCCACATGATGCTTGTTGGGGTCGGCGGGTCGGGAAAGCAAAGTCTGACAAAGCTCGCGGCCGTGCTCGGGCGCATGCAGCTTGTCCAAATCACCCCCACGAAAGCCTACAACACGGCATCGTTCCTCGACGACTGGCGCACGCTGTTCAAACTGGCGGGGCAACTCAACAAGGGCGTTGTGTTTCTCTGCACGGATAACGAAATCAAGGACGATTCCTTCCTCGAAGTCCTCAACGGCGTTCTGTCGACGGGCGAAGTGCCCAACCTGTTTCCAAAAGACGAGCTCAACTTCATCGTATCTGACCTCCGCGCTGCCATGCTCAAGGCCCGTCCCACCGAAGTGGACTCGTTCGAGAACCTCGTCAAGTTCTTCCTCGCCCGCGTCAAGGCTAACCTCCACGTTGTCTTGTCCATGTCGCCCGTGGACCGTCGCTTCGCCGAAAGATGCCGCAAGTTCCCGGCCCTCGTGTCCGGGTGCACTTTGGATTGGTACTTGAGCTGGCCGCAAGATGCCCTCGTCGCGGTGAGCAAAGGCTTCATGGACGACTTTCCGCTCGAGTGTGCATCACAGGTCAAGGAACAGCTCGTCGTCCACATGGGCTTGATCCACGACACGGTGGTCGATGTGTGCGGCGAGTACTTTGAGAAGCGGAGGCGGCACGTGTACCAAACGCCCAAGTCGTTTCTGTCCTACTTGGGGCTGTACAAGACTGTGTACAAGACAAAGCTAAACGAGATCCACCGCAGTGAAAGCAGCATCAACACGGGGCTGCAAAAGCTCGTCCAGGGCGCGGCGGACGTTGAAAAGATGAAGGGTTTGCTAAAGGGGGAAGAGCAGAAGCTGATTGTCGCGGAAGCTGCCGCCAACACGATGCTCGAGAATCTCCAGGTGAAATCGATGGAAGCCAAAAAGGAAAACGACGTTGTGACCAAGATCAAAGAGCGGTGCGAAGTCGACGCGGCGCTCATTCGCCGCGAAAAGGAAGACGCTGAAGAGGACTTGGCCAAAGCCCAGCCGTTCCTGGACGAGGCCGAGCGGGCAGTGTCCGGAATTAAACCGAACGACCTGAACGAGCTCAAGAAGCTCGCGAAACCCGGCGACATCATCAAACTCATCTTTGACTGCGTTTCGATCCTGCAAATGTACCCCGTCGGAAAGGTTGAGAAGTCGCAGGTCACCATCAACAAAAAAGCGATGGACTTTCTTCTCGATTCGTACGGGATGGCCAAGCAGGGCATGTTGAGCGATACGCGGTTCCTCCAGCACGTGTTTCACTTTTCCAAGTTTGAAAAGGATCATATCAACGACGAAACGATCGAGCTCCTCATGCCGTACTTGGAACTCGAAGGATTCAGTCCGGTCGTGGCCAAGAACGCGTCCAAAGCGGCCGAAGGCTTGTGCACGTGGGTGATCGCCATGACCAAGTACCATCACGCTTCCAAGGTAGTCAAGCCAAAATTGGAGACCCTCCGTGTTGCGGAAGGTCGCCTCGAAGCCGCGCAAGGTGGTCTCCGCGCCGCCGAAGACAAGCTAGCAGTGTGCCAGACCATCCTGGACAACTTGCAACGAGACTTTGAGCTTCAGATGGCCGAGAAAGCCCGTGTCGAAGAGAATGCGAGCTCCACACGGAAAAAAATGGAGCAAGCGACCGCGTTGATCCAAGGCTTGGCAGGCGAAAAGAAGCGGTGGACAGAAGAGAGCAATCGGTTCGCGGACCGGAAGCTCCGACTCGTCGGCGATTGCGCCGTCGCGTGCGAGTTTGTCAGCTATTGTGGCCCGTTCAACAAGGAATACCGCGACATTTTGTGCAAACTCAAGTTTGCCAAAGACTTGCGGGACCGCCAAGTACCCGTGACACACGACTTGGCACTCACAACGTTCATGGTGGACGTCGGGACGGTGGCGGATTGGAACTTGGAAGGCCTTCCGTCCGATCCGTTGTCGATTCAAAACGGGATCTTGGTCACGATGAGCTCCAAGTACCCGCTCTTGATCGATCCCCAAGGACAAGGTCTGGCGTGGATTCTGTCGCGAGAAGCAGCCCGCATGCCGTCGACTGGCGTCCTGTCGATGAACCACCCGAAACTCCGCGACCAGCTCGAGTTTTGCATCAGCGAAGGGAAAGCGCTGGTGCTGGACGGCGTCGAACAGGAGCTCGATCCGTCGATGAACGCCATCCTGGAGAAAAACATCGTCGTGAAAGCCAAGTCCAAGTACATGATGCTCGGGGACAAATTGTGCGAGTACAACGACCAATTCATGTTGTACATGACGACGAGGCTGCCGAATCCGCACTTTGCACCCGAAGTGCAAGCGAAAACGATGCTCGTGGACTTTACAGTAACCCAAGAAGGCCTCGAGGATCAGCTCTTGGCCAAAGTCATTCAAAAGGAGCAAAAGTCACTCGAGGAGCAGCTCATTCGCGTCCAATTCGACGTCAACATGAACACGAAGGCGCTGTTGGGCCTCGATGCACTGTTGCTGGAGCGACTCGCGTCCAACGCCGGGAACCTCCTCGACGACCTCGACCTGATCGGCGTCCTCGCGTCCACAAAAGCCAAAGCGACAGAAGTGAATGACAAACTCATGGCCGCCGCAGACATGAAGCTCGGCATCGACGAAAAAAGGGAGCAGTATCGACCCGTGGCGACCCGCGGGTCGGTACTCTACTTTTCGCTTGTCGACTTTTCGCTCGTCAACTGCATGTACCAGTCGTCGTTGGATCAGTTCCTCCTGCTGTTCAAGAAAGCGATGGACGTTGCCGACCGCGCGAACCTGTCGTCCAAGCGCGTGCACAACATCTTGGACTCGATGACGTACCTCGTGTACCGCGCGACGAACCGTGGGCTGTACGAGAAGGACAAGCTCGCGTTTGTGATGGTGATGGCACTCAAGATCCTCGTGACTGCTGACACACTGGATGCGGGCGACATAGCGCTCTTTTTGAAAGCTGGCGCGGCTCGACAACAAACCAGTGCGTCGGACAAGCCCAAGCCGTTTGCGTGGCTCAGCGCTGCCGCGTGGTCGAACGTCCAGCAGCTCAGCCAAGAGAAACCTGAGTTTCGGAACCTCGTCGCGGACATCGAACGAAACGAAGCCCCGTGGCGGCGTTGGTACGAGGACAACGAGCCGGAGAAGTTGCCTGTTCCAGATTACGAGTCCTTGCTGTTTCACCCGGACGCTGCGAATGCCAAGACGCACTTTCTCCGCCTCCTTCTCGTGCGGTGCCTTCGAGACGACCGCACGTTGTTGGCGGCGCAGGACTTTATCAAGTTGGTTGACACCGTCGACACGAAAGCGGGCCGATTGCCGTGCTTGGGCCTGCGGTACATCGAGCCCGTGACCGACACGGCGGACAACATTTGGAGCGAAATGACGCATGAGACGCCTGTGATCTACTTGCTCAGTCTCGGCGCGGATCCGACCGAGTCGATTGAGGTACTGGCGCGGAAAAAACGCGTCAACATTCAGTGCATTTCCATGGGCGAAGGTCAGGATGTCGTGGCGGCCAAAGCGATGGCAGCAGCGATGCTCAACGGGACATGGCTCTTGCTGCAGAATTGCCACTTGGGCCTCGATTTCATGGAGAGTTTGCCCGAGATCCTGACAAAAGCGACGTCGTCGTCGTCGCCCGACTTTCGTCTCTTTCTCACGTCCGAGCCGCACCCATCGTTCTCGATCGCGTTGCTCCATCGCAGCATCAAAGTCACAAACGAGCCGCCGGCGGGGCTGCGTGCGGGCATGCTGCGCAGCTTCACGGTACTCGTGGACCAGGACAAGTTGGAGCGCATCGAAACGGTGCAGTGGCGGCGATTGCTGTACGCTTTATCGTTTTTGCATTCAATCGTTCAGGAACGGCGCAAGTTTGGTCCGTTGGGCTTTTCGATCCCGTACGAGTTCAACGCGTCCGATTTGACGGCGTCGATGGTATTCCTGGAAAGGCACCTGTACGCGGGGGCGCTCAGCTGGCCGACGCTGCAGTACATGATTGCCGAGGTGCATTACGGCGGTCGGATCACGGACGAACTCGACCGGCGGCTTTTCAAAGCGTACTGCGAAGAATGGCTAAGTTCAGGCACCCTCGCACCGAGTTTTACATTCAACCCAGAGGCGCTGGTCGGTCGACTGCCCCAGGACTTTGTTTATGGCATCCCTGACGGCACCGACATGGACGAGCTGCACAAGATCGTCGGGTCGTTTCCAAAAGTGGACTCACCCGAGATCTTTGGCCTCCACCCAAATGCCGACCTCACGTTCCGTGTGAAAGAAGTCGGCGCGTTGCTCACGACCTTGAGCGAAACCCAACCCAAGGCGCAGTCGTCCGTGCGGGGCGGCGCGACCCGTGAAGCTGTCGTGCTGGACAAATGCGAAGAGCTTCTCGCCAAATTGCCCAAAGAGTTCCTCGACGAACCGACCTTGGAACTCATCTCGACCAAACTCGGCGGGCTCCACGTTCCTCTGAATGTGTTTTTGTGGCAAGAACTACAGCAACTCCAAGCCGTGCTCACCATCGTCCGGCGCGTCCTTCATGAAACACAAGCCGCAATCAAGGGCGAGCTCGTAGTCACACCCGACATTGCCATGTCCATCCATGCGATCTTCGACGCGAAAGTGCCGCGGCTGTGGCTGTATCGAGGCGCGGAAGAGCTGTCTTGGTTCGCGCCGACGCTTGGGCTGTGGTTCACGGGGCTGCTGGAGCGTCACAAGCAGCTTGAAGGATGGCTCGAGCGGGCAAAGCCGTACTGCTTCTGGCTACCAGGATTTTACAATCCGCAGGGATTTCTCACGGCCATGCGGCAAGAGGTGGCCAGGCATCACATCGCGGACAAGTGGGCCCTCGACGACGTCGTGTACCACACCGAAGTGACAGAGTACGAAAAGCTCGAGCAGATTCGCCAGCCGCCGAAAGAAGGAGTGCTCGTGCATGGGCTCTTCCTGGAAGGAGCGGCATGGCATAAAGCGAACGCGACGTTAGTCGAGTCGGAGCCAAAGAAATTGTTTGCCCCGCTGCCTGTGCTGTACGTCACTGCAACGACCAAGCTGCTCAAGAAGAACCGGAGCGGCGACTACGGGCCGTACGGAGGATTTGACTGTCCTGTGTACAAGTACCCCGTCCGAACTGACAGATATCTTCTCTTCACCGTCACGATGCCATCGAGAGAGCATCGGCCGGTCCATTGGACCCTCCGAGGTGTCGCTTTGCTCTGCGCCACCGAATAGGGCCACACTCGTGTAAAAAAAATCTCAATCAATTCTCACGCCACATGTGTATGATACAATCTATCGTGTGGGGAGGCTACGAGGCGAGCGTCGGCCGCTTCACGCCACACATGGCGCAGAACCGCATCAACTGGGACTCGAACGTGTGGTTGCAATTGGGGCATGTCGGAGCTAACACAGGCGCGCTACGGTTGAATACTGTGGCTTTGTTCGCTTGGCCAGCGCGGTACATCGAGTGGTAGTAGTCCATGCGCTCGAGTTCTTCCTTGGCATCCTGGAGGAGGATATTGAGTGCTTGCGTATCTCGAACATGCATCTTTTCACGAAACTTCAAGCGGACGTAGGCACGCATGGTCTCGCGGTGAATGTGCTGTGGGCACTTGGCTGCAGAAACCAGGCACGCCTTGTACACTTGCAGGACTTGGCGCCGAAGGTCGCTCATCCGATGCCGACGGAATGCTCAATGTTTCCGATTGGTCAGTCTAACGAATTGTATTGCATGCAAATATCAAGAAAATTAATTTAATTTGACTGAAAATTTATCAAGCAAAAATCGGGCCGGTCAGTTTGGATCATGGGCGATCGGAACCAAGTACTCGAGGAACTGCAGTGCATCATCTGCCACGATTGCCTGTACAAGGTGAGCCCTGCTGCATGACGATGCCCTCGCTGTGTGTGTTGCTGACAATGTAGTGATTCCGTGCGTGTACCGTTAGCCCTTGAGCTTGGGGTGCGGGCATACGTTCTGGTACGAGAGCGCTGCGCGTTGCCCTTGTTCGCTTCGTCAATGAATGCATTTCCGACATGGATAGTCGGTTGTGCTTGCTGCAGGCATGTGAAGCGCAAGGTCCCGGCGTCCAATGTTCGTGTCCAGTGTGTCGCGAGCAGATTTGCGGCTGTATCCGCGCCCTCAACGTCAACCTCACGCTATGGAATGTCATTCGCATCGTGTACCCCAACGGGAAATCCGAGGCAGACGAAGAGGCAGCGTTTCAATGTGCCAAAAATTCGTTTGAGCTGCACCAGCAACTCCGTCGCTTGATGCTTCCACCAGCGTCTGAAAGCGCAGATGCCGTCAACGACAACCGTGATGCGTGGGGGAATAACCAAGATCGGCGGCAACTTCGCGTTGAAATCAGCGATCACGAAGAAGCGATGGCGCTGCTTGCAAGTGATTCCGATACCTTCGCGAGCGACAACGACGATGATGGCGACGACAATACCAGTCCGTGGGTCGTGCGCGTAGAGAATCTCGAGGCCGACGAGCTTCGCATCCGCCGCAATGTTGTCGTCGACCAAGATGACATCAACACGGACGGCAACCCCACGATGCGGTACGTCGTCGCCACCACTGCATGACGACCTATATCGTCACTTGTTCAGGAACGCGTTTGGCATTGTCGAGTTTCCGAGCGTCTTGGAAGCGTACGCGGATGGCCAGGACTGCCAAATTGCGCTGCTCCAACTGGAAGAGGTACACTATTGATGGCGTCCATGGAAGGTTATCGAATTGGCCGATTTGGATCGTGCTTGATGGATCGTCGTTGGGATTGCCATCACGATGTGAGGTCGCGCGTGGTTAGGACGAGGAGCAGACAGAAGGATTTCCCGTTTTTATGGCAGAAAGCGGCGACGACGACCGCCTCGTGTTTCCGCAGTACTTTAGCGACGTCCGGCTCACGGTGAGCCCGATGGACGATCCCGGTCAGCCCGTCTTAGTGCGAACGGTGAGTGCGAGCCACGGCATGGTCGAGTTCAGGAATCTTCGGCTGCATGTCCCTCCCGGTAAGTCATCTAGTTGTCCCCATCGGACGCTCCCCCTCTGCCCACGTTTAGTGGAGTGCCGTGGCACACTCACGACGTCGTTGCAGGACACTATTTGTTTCGAATGGAAGACATGGAGCGGGAATTGTTTATTGAAATCAGAACCCACATTGCGGACGGCGGACGGCCCGACGCTCCACGCAACGCGTCGCCACACCGGATGCCGCATCGACCGCGACATGATGTGTGGCGCTTGGCGGACAGCGGCATGCATCGCCCTCAGGCATTGACTCTTCATCGACATGGAAGCGACGAGTTCTCCGACGACGAGATCATGTATGAAAGTGCGAACGAGTACGACAGCGACGATTCGTTCCTGGCGTCCGAAGACGAAGATAGCAGGCGTCGGCAGAGACAGCGGTCGCTCGAGTCCGTCTACAGTGATGAGGACGGGAGCGACGGAGAACACGTACCCGTTGAACCTGCCGCGCAGGATGACGTGGATGCGCCCATGCATGAACAAGAAGATGAACACGATGATGAAGAGGACCACGACCCCATCGTAGTTCGAGCTCCGGCTTCCCGAAAACGCAGCCGACGCCAAGTTACGTCGTCGGAGGAAGAAGACGACGAAGACATGCCTCTGAATCGGCTTGCATTCAAGCGGCGGCAACGTGCCATTGCAAACGAAGACGAAGACAGCGACGATATCTAAGCTCACCTGCGGTGGCTCCAACCGCCACCACCACCACCTCAACATTCCTCAAGGCCTCTGCCTGTCAGCAACGGCGCCGGGAAGGCAGACTGACTTGCGTGCGAAAGGCTGCTTGCATCGCGACCACCACGTCCCCGATCTCCTTCTCTATTTAACAAGCGCGGAGGCAAAGGCAATTGGTAGGAGCGCTCGACTTGTAGAGGGCACCTTTGAACACAGAGAAACCATTCCAATTCATACGATCTTGTCTCCATCCAGTTCGTTTGACCATGTGCATTCGAGGCCGTGTGTCGCAGGGCTTCCTGTCCAGATCATGGCCACATTATTAGCTGACCAAAGTCGTCGCGGCTAGAAATTCGCGTGACGGAACAAAGCTTCCATCCATTGGAACAGTCGGCAGCCTGTCCATGGCTTCCATTACAAGTAACTCGGGGTGAGATCGGCGTCGTAGACAACGCCAAGGTCTCGCCTGATCGTGTCCATGAGGCCAGCGAGGAAGAGCGACTCGGATAGCGGGTACTCGGCGCATTCGGTCGCATGGTCGATGCGAATCGCTTTTCCGACCGCCGCCGCTTCGTAGCTCAGGCCGACGGACCCTCCAAAGTTGAACGCGCTAGACGATGGTGCTGGCGTCGGCAGCGGAAATTCAACTGTTTCGACATCTGACCCACGGTCAAGACGCACCCGCGTCGGGGTGTGCGCCGGGGCATCGATGACCAGCCGACCTTTCGACCCCAAAATCGTCACTTCTTCGCGAAAGTCGGCCAGGCATGAGTACTGGATCGTGCCATATCGGTGGCGCGAGTACTGCAGCGTCACAACGGCGAAAACATCGACGCCATCGTCGGACAGACTGCCGACGGTGTGGACATTGATGGGCGCTTCGTCGGGGAAGACCATCGACACAAAAGCCAGCGGGTAGATGCCTTGACAGTCGATGAAGAATGAACAAGACGAGGGGGATCGTTGGAGGCGGGTCAACGTACCAATGTCCAAGAGACCGCCGCCGCCCAAGTCGCGCTTCCAGATGCGGTCGGCCGAGCTCGGGAATGCAAAGCCCATGTCAGCATGAACAGCATGGACGTAGCCAATCACACCGTCCGCGAGAAGTGATCGGACGTGTTGGATGGCAGGAAAGAATCGCGTCCACATGGCTTCCATGAGGAATAGACCCTTGGCTTTCGCAAGGGACACCATGTCCGCCGCGTCGCGGCGATTCAGTGCCATTGGCTTCTCCACCAGCACGTGCTTGTTGTGCGAGAGCGCAAGCATCGTGTGGGGGTGGTGGTGCGTATGCAGCGTGCCAACGTACACAACATCTACTTGTGGATCTCTGCACAGGGCGTCGTACGAGCCATACCACGTCGGGATGCCTGAACGCTTTGGCCGTTATGCGCAACTGAAGTGAGGCGCAAGTCGTACCGTGGAGTGTGCCAAACGCGACGGCTGCGTCGAGGGACCGGGAGGCACACGCGACTACCTGGGCATTGGCAACGAGGGCCAGCCCCATGACGAAGTCGTTACTGATCTTTCCGCATCCCAAGATGCCCCATCGCAATGGCGCCGTCGACATCGTGTAGAGCCACCAACCGTGCCACTCACGTGATTCGTCACATTGCCAAAACGCGCGAATGTCGACAAAAGTGGAATGTAGAATCCCTTCGATTGTTTACGCAAAAACACTTCTGGTCTTGACGTTCCAGTCGAGACAGCACTCTGGTTCTGTCAACGGTTATGCTCTCACTTCAAAACTCCTTGGGGATGCATGGCCATCGCCGCTACCAAATGCGGCATTTCTTGGTTGGGTTCAGCGGGGCGTTGGCAGGGCAATTGAACACTCTTGCAAAGTCGTCGTTGTTCATGACAGCGCCATGAACGCGCTGCTTGCCAGGGGGATGCACGTCGTTTAGCGACACCTGCACCATCCCACCACGACATCACGCCCCGTACAGTCGATTCAGACTGTTCGTACATGTAGATGCTCATCGGTGGCTTTCTGACACCACGCCTGCGCAAAGCTCAAGAAGAACAACTGGTCGAGTGTGTCGCTGGCGGTCTACCACGCACGTACGATCAAAGTCTGGCCACATGTCGTGGCGGATTCGAACGTACATAAGTTTTGCCGTTCAACGACGCCTTCTTCATCCGCACGGCATACGCTTGAAACGCGACGGCAAGGCCACCAACGTCCGCGATTGTCTCGCCCAGCGTGAGCTCCCCATTTACCATCCCAAGCAGTGTCGTGTGGTCGTTGCCGTAGACTGGCATTTGCGCGTACTGGTCCACCATGCATTTCGCCTTGTCCTCGAAGGCCGCGGCGGTGTCGTTGCTCCACCACGGCTTGAGAAGCCCATCGCCGTTGAAGTTGCGTCCTTGATCGTCGAAGCCATGGGTGATTTCGTGGCTACGAATGCAAGCGACAATCGCCATACCATCACACTAGAGACGAACAGTACCCGATGACCATTCCAATCGCGCCGTAATTCATCGCCGCATCCGCGTCGGCATCAAAAAATGGCGGCTGCAATATTCCTGCCGGAAACACAATCTGGTTGAACGTCGGGTTGTAGTACGCATTGACAGCATGCGCATGCATGCTCCACTTGGTTTTGTCGACCGTGGTGTTGAGCAAAGAAATGGCGCGCATGTGATCCATCTGGGCCAGCACTTGGACGTTGCCAAAGTAGTCGCCGCGATCGAGCACGACAGGGTAGTCGTCTCGAGTTTGGGGGTATCTGCCAGCCAACAAGTGCATGCGTGAGCCAGCGGCCAGAGAACCAAGGGACACTTGCGTCACAGCCGTGTACACACCCGACGAGTTGCGTCATGGCATCCAACTTGGACAAGGCTGCGGCGCGCGTGTTGTCGTCCATCCAACGATTCCGCTCGAGGCGGCCGCGAAATGTACTGCGAATGTCGCCGACGAGGTCTTCGATGCTTCCTAACGAAGCGCGGTTGAACGCGCGCTGGATGAAGTACCTAAGGTGCATCATTGTTTAGCCAATTCCTTCGTGGAGTTGTACACACGCTCCATGCAACAGCTCGCCACTCAACAACCCAACGTGGTCGAATCCGTACCGGGCCATGAGCTCCCCGAGATGAGCGTTTACTTTGTCGGTGCACTGCTGGTGGCGCGGTCGCATGGTCTGCAGGCCAAAGAGGGTCTTTCCAAAGAAATCAAACGTCGCGTTGCGAAACGACGCCGCCAAGCCACCGCTCGTGGCGAGCACAAGCTGAAAGGCCACGACGGTTTGCAAGTCGTCCAGCGGCGTTTGCGTCACCAGCGCTTCCGCCGCTTGGAAGAATGCGGGAGTCGCCACAATGACGCGCGTCGTGTCGTCGAGAAGGATCTTTGCGCCTCGGAAGACTCGATCCATGCTCGGAAACGTCCCCGATATGTTGGACATGGGATTATACGTGGCTTGGGGATTGCGCAGTGCTGCTTTCGGCACCATCGCCTGCGCAATCTTGGTTTCAAACGGGACGACGACGTCCGCTGCGCTCTTGGGCTCTGGCCACCCCGCCAACGTCATCAACTTTGTGATCATCGATCGATACGGAACGTCAAGCTTTGCAAAGCGAGTCGCGTTCACGTAGTCGTCGCGATCGGGTAACGTAATCCCGCCTACAACACCGTGGAGCAACGATCGGACATCGTGGGTGCCGGACGGACCTTGTTCGACATGCAACACCATCGTCTGGCCGCGCTGTTCGTCAACGTCAATGTAGGCTGGGAACAAAAAGTTGGTTGGGCTTTTCATCGACAACGCCCCGATGAGTGCAAGCAATTCGTCCTTCGTTTTGGTCGCGCGAATGGCATCCAGGTCGGGACGGAGCGGCGCCGCGCCCAACATGTCCAACATCGTCGTGTTCATGCACGAGTCGAACAGCTCCGACACGAGCGGCCACTTCTCGTCGAGGATCGATCGAATGAGCTCGTCGTTCTGGTCCTGGATGGCCGTGAACGACCGAGCGTACGATGAGCGATCGGGTGGGAGCGACGTGTTGGCGAGCCATCCCCCGCAAGCGTACTCGTAAAAGTCGGTGCATGGCAACACGTTTGTGTTCATGAGTGCAGCCACTGAAGGTGGCAGGTTGGGATCCACGCGGATGCTGTCCGTTTCAGCGAAACTCACCACGAGCACGACAAAGAGAACGCCCAGAATCAATGCCACGACTAGGACGCCCATGCGCGTCCGGGTCGGTGAAAGCGCATTCGCAGCCTTGGACGCGAGGCCGTTGGAGCTCTCGATGTCCATCGCTTCGAATCCTTTCGTCCCCATCGAGGAATCGTCAAGGTCGTCCGAGTGGCGATGTTTCCTTGCGTCTCTAGTGCGGTGGAGGACCGGGCTTGGCGGGAGCTGCGGTGCAAAGCGATGCGTGATCGCGGCCGACGACGACGGTTCTCTCGGTCCGTGGTTCCTTGTGAATTCGGACACGAAGTTCGAAGCGTCGAGCGTAACGGCCGGTCTTTCGAAGTTGGGCCATGCCGCGCCATGGCACACTGGCGAGCCCAGGACGACTGCCGCTGGTCATGTTGGTCGCACGCTCGTCACCAGCATGCGTTCATGCATGTCGTCGCATGAGGTGGCATTGAGAAAGGACTGCCCCAGTCGAGCCTTGCGGGAAGCCACGCTGTCTACTCTAGGCGAGTACCTCTAGCCGACGACGGCAACGTGACGGGGTGGCATGCTCGCGATGTTGTTGTGCAGGGGAGCCACGTGGACGGCGTCCGACAATTGCCTACTTCACGTGTACAGAAGAGCCCTGGGCATGGAGGACAGACTGCATGTACGTCGTCGTGCCAAAGCCATCGGACAGAATTGCATGCGGCGGCGTCGTCCCTGCCTCCAGGACAAGTGCCGTCATCTTACGCCTGACTTTGTGTCCGAAGAATGGGGCCACAACGCATCTCGCACGCCATTGCACGAAGCCCGCGGCAATATTTGTGCGTGCCGAGTAGTAAAACACCAACTCGCGAACGACTAAAATCTCGAGCAGAGTGGGGGGGGGTTGGCGGCAAACCCATCTTATCTAGCACTTGAGGGGGACGGACTTGTACCCATGCTTCCGCATCGCAAATTCATGCAATACTGGGGGACATGGGCAGTGTTCTGAGGTGCCATGGGGGGCAAGGCCGCTGGCGTCGCAACAGCGACGGGACGTAGTATTGCGTTTACCATTTGCATGCGCACTTGAAGCTATCACGATGACTAGCCCAAGACGTGGATGCGTTCCAGTTGTGGTCAGCAGCGTGCGCGACGCACTGCGATGTGCCTTGGCTCGTCACGTTAGGCCAAACATCAAACCGGAGTACAAGAGTGGAGCGGGACCATGTCTCGTTGGCCATCTCATGCACAACAGGTTTCAGTTCATCTAGCGAACGACCGGGGGGAGGCACCAGGCGTCGTTGGCGAGGACTCGCGCCGAGGCCGCCGAGGTGGACCGACGGGTTGCCGATTCGTCTTGGTTGCCCTTGGAATAGATCCAATTCGGTGGCTGCATGGTGTGTTGGAGTCGGAAATCTCAGACAAAACCGCGGCCCGCACCCGCTTCCTGACATCCAATTGCGACCTTACATGGATAGACGTCGAAATCGTCTGGGGACCTTTCGCCGAGACAACAAGGTGCTTCGACGACCCCCCCGACAAACTCTGTCGCGGATGCTGCGACCCTGTTTGTTTCGGCGACGATGTAATGGGATGGTCGAGGGCCCCCCGTCGACCATCGACCGGACAGGGGTACCGTAGAACTGCAACGTTGTGTCCGAGCAAGCAATCGCTTGCGTGTGTTGATCGGCCTCGACGCCGACGACACCATTACGTCGCTCGTGATCGGAACTGAGTCACTGCACGACAGGCCAGGAGTCAGTAAGCGGACCAGAGGCACTCGCCCGTGTTTTTTGAAGAGGCCGCGACTCGCTCCAACGGACGGCCGCCGCCATGTCAAGCAGTAACAGCCCTTCCGACGCTTGGGGGCTACTCGACTGGTTGGTCCAGCAAGTACAACACACCGCGTCGGCCGCCAAGCAACGACACGAGCAGCTACTGCATGGTCAAACACGGACGGTCCCAGGAGAAACGTCTCGGCCGCGACGGCCTTTGACGTGGCGATGCCTCACGACACATACGTTGTTTGCCGCTGCACTTATGCTGCTAGAGGGTGCGGGGAACGAGCGAGGAGGGGGGGCTGGACTGGGCCCAAACCGACGCGGTGCGCATCGTTCGTCTGTGGCGCCAACAGGCCGGCGTCGTTTCTGTACCAAGATCGTCGTCACCACTCTACGAGCCACACACGGCTGATGACGCAGATGGGAATAAGCAACCCCGTCCATCGCGACTGAACGTCGAACAAATTTACCACCAAAAGAACAAACTGGACCGAACGCATACACCATACCGCTCAGCTGGCGGGGGGGAAAGGGCCGCCTGTCGCGGCCCCAAGACCAACATGATGTGGTCGACCGAAGGAACACGTTATCCAGGACGATGGGAGGCGGCGCGGCCGGGGGTCGCCGAGACAAGTGCAAAGTGACGTTGGGGGGGCGGGGGCAATGTGCACATGCAACGCGAACGTGGTGGCGCGCCATGCGATGGCTGGGGGGCAATGCGGTGCCATGGCGGTCGCGACCGTGCGGTGCATGGCAGGGTGGTCCATGCCAGCTGGTGCACCAGAAGTGGCCTCGTTCGTGAAGCTAACTTCAACGATTTGCTCCTCTGATCAAATCCCACGACGACACTTCATGGTCACTTTGGAATTTCCCGCACCATGACTACAACTCGGAAGGCAGCCCAGGCGTCGCCGCCAAAAATGGCCGCCTCGACTCAAGAAGGCGAAGGTCCGTGGACCCGTGCCGAGCACGAGCGGTTCCTCGCTGCGTCCAAGATGCACCCGCTCGGGCCGTGGAAGGTCATTGCGGCCCACGTGGGCACGCGCAACGTTCGACAGACCCAAACCCATGCCCAAAAGTACAAAGAGAAGCTCGCGCGGTGGAATCGCGGCCTCAGTCGCCGGCGAAAGATCTCGTTCGACTCGGAGGACGGACATCGACCCAAGTACATCGAACGCCCCGACAAGAAGTCTGCCAAGAGGAAAACCGCGCGTCGCCGAAAGACCCACGACAAGGCCGACGTCGTCCAGGTCGACGATCTTGAACCGCTCGCGTTCACGTCGCAGAATCCGTTCAAGGCCTTGGTCGACACAAGCCCTTCGCCGTGCCAAGTCGACTCGTTGCCGTCCCTTGGGGAATCCCTCGACTACTTCATGGAGATGTTTGACCTTCTCCATGAGTAAGTGGTGTCTGTCGGTGTCGTCGGTGAAGCTATTTAATATATATATGCATGGAAGATTGTCTGACAACGACCTCGATGGGGCTTGTGCAATGCGGCAGAGCATGTGGACGGTGGGGGAGGCTGCGGAGAGCGGGGGGGGGTGCTGCTGGAGAGAGAAGGCATCGTCGACGGCAGGCACTTCATCCACGTGGTGCCCCCCCCCCTTGACCGATACACACATCTTTGCAAACCTCGAGTGTCGCCTCTGTCGCCGACTTTGGGAAGGCACAGTGTGACCAGTGTGGACGACGACGAATGCCCAAAGCGATTTTTTTCAATCAGATGCACAGGGTCATGGCTCTCGATTTCACCAGGATGATGGCACCCTTGCGAGAACATTCAGCGGTTCTTCCGCAATCTTGGTCAGAAAATGATACAAGACAGGCCACCGATGTGCACGTGCTTCGTCCGACGGCCCTTCTAGTCGCAGCATCACGTCGTCGACGGTCCCACGTACTGTGGTGTCTATCTAGGAACACCACAGCACGAGAGATCCGCCACCGTTTGGAATGTATTTGCGTGCACCGTGTACAGCAACAACGTCGTGCAGCCGATTCCAAAACGAGTAAACCACTTCAACCAGCCAATCCCCCAAATGAACCATCACGCCGGCCACGAACCGCCTCCTCTGCCGAAACAAGCTGGCGAGGTCGTTTCTACCCATCTTCACACGCGTGAGAATGATTCCAGAACAACTTGCCCAGAGACCATCCCAACTCGTGTCCCTAGCACATGGTGGCGGGCTCGCCACCTGTCCCGGCCATGAGACAACGCCTGTGTCCCTCCCGTACAGATTTGTTCACAGGGGTGGCCAACAAAGACTCGCCGTGCTGGTCGACTCGCCACGATGGTTCCCCACATGGCAACGTTGCGGGTGCATATCCGTGGTCCGGCCGTGTTGCGCTGAACCATCGGAACTGCCCTGCGAACGAATCTGCGGACGGCCGATCTTGATACCTGGATCGACGTCGACAGGGGCACTCCCGCTTGATGTTGAGCCCATGCTCGTTGAAGTAGCTGGCCGTGGTGGTGGCATGTGCTGTCGCTCTTGGTTCAACGATATTCAACTGCGGTCGCGCGGCGGGTGCACAGAGACGCGGGTGGCGGCCTCGACCTTGGAAGCTCACCCGCCGTGGCCACCAAGGATGGTCCCGCTGTTGTCCGTGGGCCAGTGCCGTTTGTGTGGTGGCTGACGGCGCCGCTCGACGGTCGCACGAATGACGACATGACGACGGCGTATATTGGCCGTCAAACGACGTCTACTTCTGCTGTGGTTGCGATCGCATTGCTGCCGCGAGGGAACACAGCTTCGCATTCTCACCAACTGCTTTCATATTCATGTGTGGTTGATCTGTGTGTGTGTGTGGCATGGACGGCGCTTGCTCGGTTCACATGACGAGGCACACGCCGGATCGGATGTCGTCCAGTCCCTTGCCCAACATCCCAGCCAGTTTCAAATCGGGTGTCCGCCGACGTCGACCGACGGCTTTGCACGTCTCCTGAGCCTCACTCGCGCCGTCGGGATGTTTTGCCTAGTGCGGATGTCCCTTGAGCTAGAACCACGGAGCGGCACGAACCTCGACGACCGCTGGAGGCGATTGCTGCGTCGTATCGTTGGTCTCATGCAGCTTGGCGACGTCGATTTGAGCTCGGCACCGCCGCAACTCCGCTTCGCGCGTGTGCAGTTGGCTTTCGAGGGACCCGACCTTTTCCTGCAGCCCTTGGACAACGGCATGCATTGCCTTGGCTTCCATTTCCATCCAAAACATCTACCACATACAACGTCTTGGTTGATCGAGCCCGTTTGGATCCGTCGCACCCCTTACTTCATCCCGTTTCTTCTGCGGCCCCGCCACAACGTGATCGCCTCGATACCCAAACACCTACCGCCTCCCGTGACATTGGGGCTCGACATGCCGCGCGAGAACGCACCTGGAATTCGAGCGCTGTCATTGCCACGTACTGGCAAAATTCGTCCGTGATGAGCACATGATGCATAAACGCTTGCTCGATCACGGGATGCCTCGATTTACACGCGCTCGGACTTGTTGTGTTGGCCGCGCTGTCCTCGAAAAAGACGTACTCGACAAAGACATTGCTCGTGACTTGGGGCGGGAGCCCCCGCGCGCCTCGAATGTTGACTCGATACGCCACCGTCACGTCCATCCCAATCGCGTCCCGCAGCTCTTCCTCGTGATCCACGTCGTGGTTGACGCGATGGATAAACTGCACCCTGTCGGGTCGGACCGCGTGGACGTCCGTGTGGGCCACATGGGGCTGGATCTGCACCATCAAATGGCCCACGACTTGGCCGGCGTCGCTTACGATCGGCAGCGCGTCGTCGACGTCAAAATAGTAGGCAAGTTTGCCCAAGTGCACCCTCGCAACCCCAATCCGCTCTTCCGTCGACGTGAGGTGGAGGGGATCGCCGTCGCCTGTGCCGGCAGCGACTCGGGGGGAAAGCGCGATTCCAGTCTTCGTCGACGGGGCACCGACGGGTCGTTTGACTTGGTGCTGCTGAAACAACACGCGCAACAACGCGAGGCGGATCTCAAAGTCCGCTGGTCGCAAGATTATGCGCTCACGTGCGTTGGATGGATTCGATAGGACTACCCAAATGTCCGTCGACAGCTACGGAATCCATGGATTGCCCGTGACGTGCCAGGTGCGAATTTCAAGCAACGTACTTGGTCGCGGTCGATGGGGTCGTCGTCGTTCGTCATGGCGGCATGGTTCACCATCGGCACCGCACGGACGTCGATCGGTGTGCAGAGCTCTTGGCACATCGCTGCGAACTCGTCGACTGCATCTAGGAGGCGCATCGTGTCCCGCGAATATATCCGAGACTCGAGAGCGTTCATTTCCGCGATCGCGGCGGTCGAGAGGCGCTTGATGGTGTCGGGGCGTACACGTGTTGCCATGTACTTTGGCGGTGGCGCGGCGCCTCGCTATTCAAGGTTGTGCAAAAGTTGGGGGAATAGCGAGACGAACCTGGAGCATCACGTCGTGCACATCGCGCTCGTCGTCAACGTCCACGACGCTCTGTGCAAACATTGTTCGAATCGACGCAATGCGGTCGAGAATCGAAGTCAGAGCGGCATGGCACCGGCGCTGCGCTTCGTCATGCGTCAGTGTATTCGCCAGGGGGTGTCGGTACGTCTGGAGCACCGCCCCTCGATCGAGCCACGCGTCCCGATATGTCTTGACATGTTGAATGTCATCACGGGAAGACGGGTGGATGGTTTCGTCGGGATGCACGACTCGAAACACATTGCGTGAGCCGCATGTGAGGGTGTCTCCATGGACTAGTGCCCGCGGCGCCGCCCCAGCTGCAAGGGGACGCCCATTGACTAAGCAAACTACACTTGGCGCTCCGACAACCACCACCTCGACAGTCCCAGGGACTGGTACGTGCAACTCGCAGTGTGCGGCAGAGACGCAAGTGCCCCCGCCAACGAGGACGATGTCAGCAGTGCTGTCGCGGCTCATCTTGCTGTCGGCAGCTGCCACGTGATACGCAATGACCCCGCTAAAAAGTCGGTCGTCGTGGAGCCGCACGAGATGCAAGTGGTGGATCGTGCGGTCGCTCGCCACGACCTTTGACCCGAGTTTCGTTTCGTCGTTGTCGACCCGTCGTTTGAACTTGAGCCAGTCGTCGGCGCGTTCCAATGCAGATTTCTACCGACCCTCGCTCAGGGCACACGCATCCGAGGAAACGACGTACTTGAAAGGCATGGACGACCGACTCGAGGGCCTTGATCTTGGTCCGCGCGCTTTGGTGGTCCACCTCGACACTGTCCTGATGCAGCGACTTGGACGCAGCACTGCTTAGCTGGCGCTTCACCTTGTCCAAGTGGTCGCGTTCGCCTTGCACGTCACCTTCGATTTGCGACACGATGTAGGCGGCGCCATACGCATTTGGCTCGACGACGTTTCGAATGCCTCGAAGGAGCATGGCGAGCCGAAGGGTACCAAGGTTCTCCTACGCATACTTGCGATCAATCGCCCAGCGCAACACTACATATACGTCATTGTGCAAGGCGGATTGAATCACGTGAGCAATCACAAACGTCTTGCACCGCCCGCCGAGTGTGTGGCTGACTAGCGTCACCTGCGACAGGTCAAGATCACGTGGCAGGGAAAGCAGCGATGTCTCGTACGAGCGACGACGCTCCCTGTAATGGCACCTTGTCCACCGGCACGTCGTCCGCTAAGAGTTTGGCACACTCGATCAAGTTCATTGGACCCTGTCGCGACAGTCCGTGAGCGATTCTTTGTTTGCCAAACAAACCATACCTGTTCCAGTCGATACCCCACGTCGCCTGGAACGAGGGGGCGGCGTGCATTGCCGGGGGCCGCCATATCGACAAAGTCAACGCGGGACCAGCGCTTGCCGTCCATGGAGGTCACATGCAGCGTCACGACGCGGCTGGACTTGGTCGTGGTTTTGTTGGTCACAATTGCGTCAATGGCCATGGCCCGAATGCCTAATCGCAGCACCTAGTCGACGAAATATGCCCCGTCACGGCATGCTAGAGCTTGCGGTACGAACTTGCACGAGCATGGCGACATCCGGCACATCGATGCGAGCAACGTCGGCGCCGTAGCCACCGATCAAGGGATGGTATTGCGGTCGAAACACATGGGCATTGCCGTGGAGCACGTCGGTGGCCATGTCGCCGTAGATTTCAACGAGGCTGAGGGCCACGGAGCACTGTGCAACAAGCAATCCCTTGGCGACGTAGGCAATGATGCCGTCGGGGCCAAAGAGTGTTGTCGACTTGCCTGATCCTTGCTACGGCCGTCGTGACACACCAACGACATGGGAAGCGATCACGTACTTGGCCGATGGCGAATACGGCCGTGTTCATCCCAGCAGCAGCGGCAACGACCATGTCGCCCCCGACAACGTCCGTGGGGGACTCGTTGGCGTCGACCACACGGTTGAACACAAACTGCTTCTCCTCCGCGTGATGTATCCAAGTGAGCGTCGAGTCACACACGCCCAGGCCGTCGGGCACGTCGCCGCCCGTGTCGGCCAGCGCGTGGACGCGCCCGATCACCGCGATCGGTTCCATTCGAGTCGCCGTGACCGTTTCAAGTCGCCGGTTGAACACGTCATCGCGTCAATGAGTGGCCCGCGATGGCGCCGGTTGTCATCGCGTCAACGAGCGAGTGGGACGCCGCCGCCCATGTGCAAGCAATCACGGCGCGGTCGCAACGCGGTGGCGTACTGTAGATCGGGAAGATTCGGCCATGTGTTGGATCGATCACACAGCGTGGCCCACTCTACAACGACGCACGTGGCACCGTCGGTCGTCGCCGTCGGCTAGGTTTGGCAAAGCCCCTTCGACTTGCACCGTTGAGGCTCGGGCCCCCAGGGAGCACGCGGAGGTTTTCGGGTACACCCGAGGACGTCGTCGTTCGCATGTCGTGCTGGCGCCATACGCATCAAAGGACGCGGCACGGACGCAACTCTATGGATTCGGAGGTTCGATCCTGGGGGAACGTGGACCGTGCCACGTAGTCCGTTTAAAGGTTGGCCGTGCCAACCTGCCGACGGCGTCCCACGCAGCCGGGATTCTTGAAGCACAGCGATCCACGACCACCGAATAGGACCCTGTGCCGTGTGCCATAGACACGGACATGCGAGTACCAGCCCGGCGCAGTGGGCAACTCGCCCCAAAGATGGATGACCGCGCTGAACGCAACAAGGACCTGTCGAATGCCGTCCTGTGGACCTGTGTATGCTCTTGCCCAATATTTCCTGTCATGTGCCATTCGCTCGAGCATTCGAGTCAAGGACATCTGGAATCGGACATGACGAGATCGAACGGCGCCGGATGTTCGTGGGTCGGCCCATGCCGTAAACTAAATGAGCTCACGCGGTTTCAAACAACACACGAAAGAACCAGGCTTTCCATGCGAGAACTAGTTGTGTCCACATTTATAACTTGGCTGCGTAGTCGCGCAGCTTTTCGAGGCTGCGGTACCGGTGCGAGATCGTGTTCTTGGTGGACTTGTCCAATTCGCCAAAAGTCTGGTCAAACCCGTCGGGCTGGAACACGGCATCCCAACCAAAGTCCGTGCTACCCCGCGCCTGGACAATCTTGCCGTGTGTGCGACCAACAAACAACACGGGTTCGTTCACAGGCTTTCCTTGGTGGAAATCTTGGAATGCAAAGATGCACTGCGCGTACGCCGATTTGTCTGGGTATGCCGCCAACAAATTGTTCAAGCCGTCGTGGCCAGTCTTTTCCAAGAACCACTTAATGTACACGCCAGGGAGACCTCCGAGGGCGTTGAAGCACAGCGACGTGTCTTCGATCAATACCGGTCCGTTCACTTGGGCGGCAGCGAGGCGGCACTTTTCCGCTGACACGTACTCAGGTTCGCCTTGCAGCTCAGGAAGGTCTAACGACACATTGCGCACCTCAAAGGGGAAGTCAGTGCCGAGGATGGCCACCACTTCTTCGAGCTTCTTCTTGTTCCCGGTCACGAAGGTCACAACACGCTTCGCCATCCTCGTGCGCTGTCGGTGGTCCCGAAAGAATCGACTTGTCCGGATGCGTTCCATCGTATCCGGTTGATTTCACACCATGTACATGTCCTTTCCGACCACTTGCGAACTCGTTCGCTACCGATCGCGACACCCGACGAAGGTCCATCGGCGAGCACTACGCAATGAAAGGATGCGACGTCACAGATGCAGCAACGCGCTTCGAAGTTGTGAAGCATTACGTGAGCAACGTCTTGACTGCGTACATGTGTAGAACACAAAAAGGTCATGGGCGGCGCGGTCGGAGTACGCGGCGCTTCCTCGTGTCGACTGGACCAAGTGCCTTGGTGAGAAAGGCTCGACGTTCTCGTCCATCTGGTGTTATAACAGCGAGGACGGTGTAAACGCGCGCGTTGACGAAGAGGATAGAGAGAACCATGAGTATGTCACCCTGCTGCCGGACGAAGTTGACATGGTGTGGATTCGCATGTAGGTGCAACCAAACGAACCACAATACCAGTTATACGTTCAACGATGGCAACATCATCGACAACCAAGACGAAGAGTTGGCTTGGATCGTGAACCACACTCGAGACATCCACGTCGCGCCGCCAACGAGAAAATACTTTGCGTTGCCGCCTTTCCTCGAGCCCCAACAGGATTCCCTCCTCCAGTGCACATGGAGTTGTCACCTCTGGTGCACCTGATTTGAACTATCTAGACTCCCCACCCTGGCGCCAAGCAACAACGCCGAAGACAATTCGCTGTCTCCACTGGAGCCCCCAGTAAGTCTTAAGGTATCAACATTGTCACCTCCTTTCCCGCTTTAGAGAGCACAAAAGAAGCGCAAAGCAAACACAATCTGGTGGCCGGTACGATGGCCTCAGCTATCGCCCATTGAACGAACGCACTGTGCAGGGCGATTGGAAGTGCAGTCGCTGTGGTGGGGCGAAGGATGTGCCACCCGCTTCCCGCTGCTGATGCTGTTGTGGGCGTAGGCAACCACGTACAACACAGTCGTTCTATGTGTTTTGATGTGCGAATGGTCAAAGCACTAACGATGTCGCCTTCCACGTCTGCCAGAACTTTTCATACAGGTAGTCGTCTCGGCATGTTCGACTATACGTGATCGAATGCACATGCCCAGAGACCAGTGCAAGCGGTGCAAGTATGGCAAGTGCGACGCGACTAGTGATCTTGCTGCGCCTGCATTCACGACGCACCTGTGGCACCGCGACACGTCCTCTGGCAACTTTTCCATTTTTCGCCCTCGTTTTCCTTGCACCATGTCGCTTCATGCCTGTTTAGGTCATCGCTTGTCCAAGATCTGGAAAGCAGCACACACTGCATGCGATCACCACCATGCACCCCGCGCTCGTTCTTTCCACCAGAGCTCGTTGGTGACAACCAAACGATGGCTGGCTCGTTCGACGAATGTAGCTGCACGTCAACCGAGTCCGAGCCGTCGTTTGAGCTGGACGACGCGTCCGTCGTGGAAAGGACCTTCGATTGATCTTTGTACCTGTTAACATACATAGCTGCATGTTTGATCTCTTTACATCCGTCGAGCGTACTCTCGTCATACTCCACGTCGTGAGCTCGATGTTTGCCCCATAAACTTCTACGGATCACCGTCGTCATCTGCCTTTCGCGCGGGTAGATTTTGCTTGACGGCGGCTTCCAGCGTTGGCACGTTGACACCGATAATGTCCGCAACAATCTTCTTGTCCTGTACGCCACCCCATGACCTTCGTAACAGCACGACAAGTGCCGGCGTACCCGATACAACACAAAGCGCGGTTTACAGCACTTGTTGTCGGCAATGTTTTCCACCGTTAACGTAGCAGATACCTACAAGAACCTGAGGCGCTGCACGGGGCATGTGCTGTCGTCGTCCTACCGATGCAAACAGCAACCTCGAGTCGGCGCCAGGGATGTCGGTAAAGATTCGTTTATATGTCGGTTCCAACACGCGGCACGGGCCACACCAGTCTTGGTACACATCGATCACTATTCCTCGCGCGCGATGACCGCCTGGCGAATGTCGACACGGCGCTTACCTAGCAATTTGTCCGGGTTCGTTTCCTTCACATGCGTCCACTGCTCGACGTCCTTGATCGCCACGGCCATCGACATGGTGGCTTGGAATTTGTCAACCTGCCGACGACTGGTCCAACCGTCGCGATCGTTACACTTGTGCAATCTGCCATGGACCCTGCGGCTGCGCAAGATAAAGCCGCCCGACCGAACCAGCAAGACGATGGGGAGGCCGCCCCCGACACGATTGGAACGCTGGCAACAACCCAGACTAAAACAAAACTCAACAAAATGATGAGTGCGTTTGCGTCGTTCGACGACAACATGCGCATTGGCACACGGGTACTGTTCTGTCGAGCCCTTGGCCACCCTGCTATCGTCAGCCCCTTGCATGTCTTGACGTCGTTCTCGTAGCAACGACGGGAGCGAGATGAGCATCGCCTCGCCGAAATGCGCGCCGACATGTCCCGGCTCGAGAAGGCGCTGAATGCAGAAACCAAACGACGGTTCGAAATGAACAAGTCCCTTCAAGCGTTGTGTGACGACAGTGTTGCTGCCATGACGGCCAAGTTTGACGCGCTTCTGGCCGACTGGATGGCCAAAGTCGACGGACGACTGCAAGCACTTGCCGATAAAATCCAGGCCCTTGAAGCCCAGTTCGAGTACGAAAAAGTGCACATTCCACAAGTACCATCCAACCCATCGATCGAAATCTCTATCGTGACGACATGATCGGCGTAGGTGATTGAAGCCCGAACAAACGAGCTAACAGCCAAGCTGAGCAACTTTATGGACGCGTTCGAAGCCGAACGGACGCGGCGGCTGGAGCGGGAAGCCGAGATTCTGAAGCGACTGTCGGACCACGAACAGCTCGTCGCCGACCAGTTCTCCAAAGAGCGGCGCGACCGCGAAGTCAAGGCAACGGAGCTCAAGGAATCCCTCGACATGTACACCAAGACGCGGCTGCGGGGGGACGGCAAGTTCCAGCACTTGGCACAAGAAGAAATCGCCAAGATCCAAAACCTCCTTGTCCAGGAGTCCCAAACACGGGAGCGTGAAGACGACGAGATCATTGATGCGCTCAACCGCTACACCGCAAAGCTACAAGACAGCCTCAAGTTAATCAATAGCACTGAAGCCTAGCCTCTAGACTCGCAGACTCCCGTCGTCCTAGAATCCATACATCCCGCACCTCTGCCGACACTCTTCCCTCGAACAGTATACGGAGCTACTTGTCGTTTTCGTGGTTTGAATCGCGGTGAAGGCACAGTCTGGTTGTGCTCGATGATGCAGCCATGAACCTTGACATGACAGAAGGACTCGCTACGGCGCAAACTCCGGCGCGTTACCTGACGCAAACGTGACGGCATTGCAGGAAAATGAACAAAATAGCGAAGTTCTGGTCTGGGAGAGTATCGCCAAGGTCATGTGAAACTTAACAGGTCGTACTTTCTTCCACGATGGTGTTAGAACAACCGACGGCCTTTCATGGGAACGTCCCCCACGTCTTCTGCTGCGTCGCCATGCTCGTCTTCCAGCGATGACGCACGGCGTTTTCGCCCACGTTCTGGAGGTGTCACCATCGGCAGAAGCGCTGCATCCAATGCAAGCGGTGATTCGGCAAAGAATGGATGGGCGAGGGCATCAGCCGCTGATATGCGCGCAGTTGGATCGAGGCGAAGGAGCTTGGAGAGGAGATCGATGCCAGTCGCAGGCAGAGTTGGAAACTGGGTAACAAGCGAAGGGGGCGACGTGGGTGCGAATTCGAGGAAGAACGGCAATGTCTTGGCGGCCTAGGATCCATCAGCATCGATGGCACAGCAGGGACGAATATCTTACGCTCCAATGCTGCTCGTCAGGCGACCCCAACGCGCGAAAGATGCGGTTGAGTTGGTCGATGTCGGATGCACCATCAAACCAAACTCGACGCAGGAAGAGTTCACCAAACAGACACCCCACCGCCCACATGTCGACACTCGTGTCATATTGTTTCAGACCAAAGAGCAGTTCCGGGGCACGGTATGCGCGCGTGACGACTTGAAAACTCAGCGTCCACGTCGACGTTGCACGTGCAGCAAGTTCTGGAACCACGACGGCCATTCCAAAGTCCGCGAGCATTGCATTGCCATTCGAGCCAAGGAGAATGTTGTTCGGTTTGACATCGCGATGGATAATGTGGCGTGCATGACACTCTGCAAGTCCTTGAATTGTCATGCGAAGGTAACTCTTGATCTGTGGAAGGGACAGTTGTGGGAGGGCATCGGTAGCCCTGATGACAGTTTCCAGGTCACTCTCCATGAACTCCGACACGATGAACGTCGTAGGTTCGTGCTGATATTGCTCGTGGAGAACTTCTTGAAGCTGTAAGATATGTGGCGCCCCCGCGAGTCGCTGCATCACTCCAACTTCGTCGGATGAACTTGCATCGTGTCTGGGAAGCAGTCGTTTGATGGCCACCTTGTTCCCACTAACGTTGTGCCTTGCTTCATACACGACGCCATACGTTCCCCGGCCAATTTCCTCATGCAACGTATAATGCCCCACAACAGCTTGCTCCTCGTCGTCAGAATCGAACTCGCCCATGGTGCCGCAGTGCGCCGTGGAGGATTGCACTTTGCTTCGCTGTAGAATTCATTCGACCAAGTACGTAAATAGTGTTAGTGAAAATCAAATAATGCATGGGCATGGACATATATAGTGTTAGGGCTGGTGGGCACGTGGGCAAATGCGAGCGACCTTCTTGTGTCTACTCTGGGCAGCGCCGGCGTTGCTCAGTGGCGTTGTCGTAGCGAGTGAAGTTGGGGACACTTCTGCGTCTGATCACTTCATTGAAGACTACTTTTACTCGGAGAACTCTACGTTGGTCACGCCCTCCGATGCCATGACGCCTGGTGTGTTTGTCGGCGACGCTGTGATCCTTTCCATTGAAGAAGCTCCCAAGTACAAAGAATTTGTGCTCCATGAAGGTCGCACCCAAGACGTCATCGTCTTCATGTCGACATCTCTCGATGCGAAACTGGTGTTTGAGCGCGCCGTGCGTCGTCTGGACAATGAGGCGCCGTTGCCCACGCGATTCTTTGCGCTGCCACTGCCACCGCCTTCTGCAACGCCGCCCAAACCAAACGAAGAAGTAGATTTTGACGACACCATTGTCTCGTTCAAGACCCTGCACAACCTTCCGAACATTCCAGAGGCGGGTCTCCATATCCTTGTTTCGTATCCTGCGACTGGTTCTCGGTCACTGGCCGTCCATGCCAACAACGCCAAGATGGTGCAGGTGTCGACTTCAGAAGATGGATGGGTGTCTCGACTCCAGGAGCATCTCGTGTCGTCCGCCGCGGCTTCCGAACCGACATCTTCTTCGTCCAGCAGCTTCCCTGGAATCCTCCCCATTGCCGTGTTGCTATATGTAGTCGTGATATTGATTCCAAGCATCGCAGCACATTGGCAGTGGTGGGTAGCTCTGGTTCAGTCAAAACGGCTCTGGTTTGGCTTGAGTCTTCTCGGATTGTACCTGTCACTTTCAGGTACCCTACGCTCGACCACCGGTGCCTAATGCCATTCGATACAGGCTCATTCTACTCGCTCATCCACGGAGCACCGCTCTTCCATCTGTCTGGCCAGGGTACCCACCTTACGACTGAATCATGCTGACCCTGCGCGGTCTTTGATGCAACTACTCTTCCATGACGTAGGGTTTGCATTGCTCCATCCACAAGCTCAGCGGCAATTTACCCTGGAAGGAATGTTTGGTGGCATGCTCCCGTTTGCGATCTCCGCCGCTCTCTTGACCATCACCCACGGCATGCCGTACCTCCTCAACCCGGAGCATCGTTTCCACTCGGTCCTTATGTGTGGTATGGTCATCAGCATGGCGTTCTTCTTCGAGCATGCTCTCTTCACCGCCAAGAATCGATGGTATGGGCTCTTTTTTTAATCGCGTGCTAAAATCAAGTCTCCCCTGCACTTCGCGCAATTTGTTCGTCGTCGCTCGCTGGACCATTGCGAAAGGGTACTCGCCATCGCAGGCAAATCTATCTAGCATGAAGCGAAGCATGTGTGCATTGTACAAAGAGCAGCTCCATTGCAGCGCCGGCGGCAAAATTTATAGCTCTTGCCCGTAAACTTGACGGGCACTGCAGTGTGATGCAAGACCTTCATGTACATTCCGTCGACATTATTTGACGTGAGTACGGCATCGTCATCTAGTCGAGTGAGCAGAATGAGGGCGCTGTGCCTGATATGTCCATGGCGTCGACTGGACCGCTTGCGCCGTGGGACGATTTGCGTGGTCCGTGTTATGTTTCCATGGCCTTTTGCTGGGCTTCGACGATCTTCTCCATGAAGGCAGACACGGCGTCGATCTTTTCCTGGCAAATGTTGCGCACTTGATCGCAGTACGCAATCGCATCGGCAGACGACGCAATTGCCGCGCTCTTTTGGAACACGTCCAAGTGATCCATTTCGACGTTCAGGTTGAGAAACATGAAGTCGAGAAACCCTCGCTGCGCATCCAGCATGGAATCCAACAGCTTCTTCAGCGGTGGTTCATCGTCGTCCTCGCGTGGACCAGCCACGAGGGTATCGTCTTCGGCCTCGGCCTCTTCGCACCGCACTCCAGACGACTCATCCCCATCGCCTTCTTCCTGGATGGCATAGCCATCGTCCGCTTTATCGTCGACTTGATCGAACGAGACATGTCTACTCACCACACGTTCAATTCAATCCGACACAAAACGACCGTGGCATGCAACAGCTAAACAAGCGCCATGAGCCAGCCAAAACGGGCCGGGCGGAAAAGGTATCTCGCCCACGGCATCGACAAAAGCAGCCTTTAGTCACTTTGGAATGGCTGCAGACAAACGAGGTCAGGTGCCCACGTGCCCGAGCGAGACCTGGGGCACACGATCGCCCACAAATCCCGCTCTACTACTCCCCAGCCATCCCTCCAAACCCTTTGTCAACCACATACCGTTTCGTGAGAAAAATCTACAGAGCGATGCTTGATCATGAGTTCTGGTTGATGCCAATACGGTCGACAGACCTGACTCGGACGTACAAATACGCCGTGCTTTGGTTTGCATCGAAAGTAGTATTGCCCCTGGTGTACCGACCCTCCACTCGTTCAGGTTGGGCATACCGACGTGATGTCGTACCTTGATGCTACCGTCGTTTTTACCGTCAGCGTGATCCAGTTGAATGCCAACCCATGGCCCTGTGAAGCCAGCCACGTCGCCTACCCGAGTCATGAAATCATCAGTAAAACACTTGATACGCACTGCCATCGAGTGCACGATCTCAACACGATATTTTTTCAACATGTTGACATGTCGATGCCGCTGAACACGACGCGTCTTACCGATGTATCGCACATGGCCAAATAATTCTTTTTCGGAAATGCACACGCGGTCTCCAATCTCGACGTCGCCATCGGCTTCGGCGATCCTGACGTTGTCGTCATCATCTTGTCGTTGGCGCACACCGGTATCGTGGCGACTATCGTTATCAAACGCATCGCCGTCCATTGAATTGCTCTATGAGGCCAACGACACAAGGTGCTTTGGGTCATTTCGCCCACAGAAGGCTCCAGCTTGACTAAAATTTCATAGAGCAGATGCACGACGGCTCGCCCCCGGCACATTCGCAACACAAACGAATATGCCACGGAACGCAATAATATCCTGAATGTCTGTGGGCACGTACGTTCGATCGAGGTAAGAACGCTTGTGGGGTCGTTGTCGTCGCGCTGTCTTGAAGCAAAGGGAGCGATTCGAGACGCCTCTGGACTTTGAAGTCGACCGTCGTGAGCAGCAGCGCCGCTCGCTTCGAGAACTTTTGCTGAAATCGCTGGAAAAACGTGAGCGACGCCGACCGACACGTCGAACTCGCGTCGTACAACGCGCTCTTCATTCCGACTTCGATCTGTTGCACGTCGCTTTTGTCGAGGACAGTGCTCCAGTGCACCAGCACTAGTGTGAGGGCGCCAATACAGCACGCTCGGATTCCTTTATTCTTGCTCTCGACGACCGCGTCGACCAGGTATCGCAACGTCGGTCCTTTGGTCACAACTGTCGATACGAGTACTTCGACGCATTCGCCGCAATAGGCGCCGCAGACTTTGTTGCCACCGCCCCGCACTTCCACCAAAACGGGGAGGAGATCTCGAACCAGTGGCGACATCGAGTCTCGCGCAACCTACAAGGAATTCCCACAACTTCAATTGTAAGCGCGGAGTGCAAGCAGACACACCTTGCTCATGAGGGCGAGCGTTGCGCAAACCTCCTTGACAATCTGGGATCGTAAGTCTTGGATCATGTCCTTTAGTGGCTTGAGGACGCGCCATGTGTCCACCGGCACTGTGATCGTCGTGTTTTCAATCGATTGGAATTGTTTTTGGATCTCCTGCAGCGCGATGAGTCGCTTCTGCCAGTCGTCCGAGTACTTCTTGATGGAATCCATCGCATCGGACACCGCCGCTGCAAACTATAGGCGTCAAGCACAATACATTGGTCAGCTCTTCAGGCCCATCAACACATCGACTACCGCGATGGCGCTCATGGCCGGTTGCAAAATCCTCGAAAAACCGCTGCCGCCACAAATTCCGGTTAATTGGGATATCCGGATGCAACATCGGGTTGGTTAAAATAGAATTCATTTGGCGTCGCTGATTCGTTGCATTCATAATCGTCAGACAACGAATCCCGCTCACCTGTCACTGCATTCCAGGAAATGACACGCACGTTTGGGCTCCGTGCAGTGGGCTCCATGGTGATGCAAGATGCGCGGGAAATGGCAGTGCTTGAGTGAAGCAACTACTATGGTGTCGACAAGCGAACAGCACAAACCTTGGAATTGGGTGATCTAAAAAAGATTGAGAGAAATTTAAAGTGCCACGACAGCCTCGACGAATAATACTTGCCTGGTATTAAAAGAAAATTGGATGGAATTTTAATAAAAGTCAACTCCCTGTAAGAAACATTGCAAACAAAGTAGTCTATCGACACGACGCTGCATTTCATATCGGGCATCCCTCCCCGGTCGCGTTGCACGTGCGACGATGGAACCCGGAGACCTGCGCAGCATCTTCTCCAAAGGCGTTGACGAGCATCGACAGCAAGAAGCAAATCGACTGCATCACTCGCATCGTTCGACTGGCCCGCTCCAGATCTCGTTGAATGATCACCAGCGCACGTTGAGCGCAAGCCGCAGTCGCAGCCACCGTGACATGTCCTCGTCTCGTCCGGCGCAAACACCGTCCTCTGCTACGGTATATGTCATGGAGGACAGTGACAACGACTTTGACGATGACCATGGAACGTACGATTTGACAAACTCCGGGCGAACAAGGTCGCAGCGGCACACTGCCAATGCAGGTGCACGGCGAACGCAATCAAACGCGATCCATCGGCAAATGAGCATGCCACAGGGTCCTTCTGGCGGAAACGGACCGCCGTCCTCGATGATGGGCGGGGGTGGCAACCTTATCTACAGCGGGTGGCTCGTTAAACAGGGCAAGATCTGGAAGAGCTGGAAGAAGCGGTACTTTGTGCTGCTGACGCGATCGAACACGACGACGGGCGAGCCGTACTCAACTCTTCAGTACTACAAAAGCCATCGATTCGCGCAGCTAAAGGGGGAGATCGCGCTAGACGACCCGAACACGACGGTGCGGTACATGGACATCCGCAAGTCAAAGCGAGAGCACTGCTTTGAGCTCATCCGGGGCTTCAATTCGCTCGTGTGCCAGGCCAAGGACGATGATGACTGCAAGCAGTGGGTCGAGCACCTAAGTCGCGTGCTCGAAGGCAGCACGAATCGAGGGCTGTTGGATATGACCAAATCGTCGTCCGGTATTCCGTCGGTGGGAGCGGCAGCCGTCATGACGCGATCCATATCTGCCGCGAACGTCCTGTCGACGGCACCGCAGCAACAACAGCTCCAATACCATCCGTGGAATCGGCATTCGGCTCTTCACGCCGACCCCATAACGCGCCTTGCCAACGAACTCCGCAAGATCTTGGTACGACTTGATCGGGGCTTGACGCACCTGACTTGGTTTTTCTTCCTCCCACTCCAGAGCAGCGACTACGCCAAGACGTCCCCCGAGGCCAACAAGTGCCTTCATTTTGTTAAGCACTTTGACAGCCGCTCGACGCACGCTTTCTCGACGTTGCAGGAGTTTATCAGCACCATGTGCGCCCAAGTGCAAGCCAAGTACGGGGTTGCTTTGCGCGCGTGCGTCGACGACGGCGATGACGACCTCGACGACCTCGACGATGACGTCGAGGACCGAGATATGATGCTGGTACGTACTGTGGCATGTGAGCTCGGATTTTGAACCGGGTGACAATGGCCGAGACCTTGTCTCATGGTGCTTGGTCTGGGTAGGCCCAACTCGTGGACAACTGCATCCACCGCCAAGTTGAGCAAGCGCTGTTCCTGCCGCTTCATGATGGTCTCTACAGCGCCATCCGCCGCCAAGTGAACGGGGAGCTTGAGGCCAGTCTGAACAAGAAACTTCGATGGCTGCAAGGCAAAGACCAAGCGTTCTTTGACATTTCTCCGCATCAACTGTCTCCTTCCGAGTGGCGCGACGGTGCGTTGCCACCATATTCCTCCGCCATCGTCTACTCGCAGGGGTCCCCGATCTCATGGGTGATGCACTTTTAGCGTGCAAACTCCTTGGCCACCTCGGGTCGTACTCGCTCCCCATCGACAAGTACAACGCGCTCGTGGAAGCCGTGGACGAGATTCAAGCCACGTACAGCGATGAACACCCCATGTCCGAGTTTGTGTACCAAGTGACGAGCGATGGCCTCGGGTTCAACTCGCTCGTCCCAACGTCGACGTCGCAGTCGACGCTCGACACTGACGACTTGATTCCAATCTTTACCTTTATGCTGGTGAATTCCGGGCTAGAGAACTTGCTCACACTCAAGCACTTGCTCACGGCGATGCAACCCAAGCACGAGAAGAAGCAGCACCCGAGTGGAACCAGCATCAACGTGCTCGGCATCCTCGGCGCCGCGATGGAGTTTGTCCAGAATGTGACGATCCCGGCCGTTCTCGAAGACATCTTCAAGGAACAAATCGCGTTCTCGATCGATGGTGACTGGCGCCTTGGCCTCGGCTTTGAGGCCGAGTCTACGTACCGATGTGGCGCCATGGTCAAGAACATCACGGCGCATGGCCAAGCCGCGCTCGGGGGCATCGTGTCCAAGGGCCACGTCCTCGTCACCCTCAACGGCACGAACGTCGTCCTCTGGTATGTGCTGTGCGCCATGGATCCCGGCGTTCTTTATGTGGGAAATCAGGCCGTACAACGACGTGGTCTCTCTGCTCAACATGTCAACCCCTCCCCATCGCATGGCGTTCATTTCCAATCCAAACTATGTCAAGATTCTTGGAAGCAACAAGTCGCTGTGGAACGTCGCCCTCCTGCAGGCGTGTCAGCGAGGGGCGGTTGGGTCGGTTCAAATGTTGCTCGCCAACGGAGCCGAAGTACGTCTCGATCTGTACTCGCTGTGCACGTCGCTTGCGATGCCGACCGTGCCTTTCGTTTAGGTCAACTACATTTCCGACAATGACCTGACCCCGCTGTCCGTGGCCGTGAGCTACTTTCACGTAAATGTGGTTTCATACTTGCTCCAACACGGCGCCAAGACCAAACAGCTCACGGCTCTCGGGCGCGGCCCCCTCCACTTGCTCGGTGCACCGCTTTCCATCGACACCCAACAGCCCACCAGCAAGCAAACTCAAGCGCCGCCTGTCGCGTGGCCAGACAAAGTCCGGCAGATCATCCACAAACTAGTTCGCCATGGTGCTGTCATCGACGGAGTCGATCACTTTGGGTATACGCCATTGATGCTCCTCGCGTCGACGGGGTGCCTTGAAGGCGTTGACACCCTCATGGAGTTGTCCAAAACGATCAACATCGACCTAAGGGGGTGGCACACAGGGTGCAGCGCCTTGGCCTGTGCAGCCAAGGAAGGACAGTCCGAGGTCGCGACCGCCCTGTTGGACTACGGCGCTGATCCGAGTGTCAAGGCGCTGCGAGGCGAGACACCGCTCCATTACGCCGCCAGCGCCGCGGACCTTCAAACATGTGCCGTGTTATTGTCCGAAGGCAAAGCCGACGTAAACGCGCGCACGTTGGACGGGTGGACGCCATTGATGCTCGCGGTATCGCGCGGCGCGCTGATCCAAGGTCAGGTAGTTCAGAAAGACACGGCCGCCGTCCTCGACACCGTCCGGCTCTTGATCAACGAACAAGCGAACCCGCGCGACATTTGCAACGTGTACCGTCAAGCCATCCACTACGCGGCCTTGTACGGAGGACCCGAAGTGTACGGGTACTTGGTCACACATCCCGACGTGGACGTGCACGCGCCAGACCTCAGCGGAAAGTCCGCGCGCCAATTGTTTGAAGCCCAGCACTCGACAGCGCCACCTTTGTCGGCGGCAGCCAACCCCATGTTGAAGCAGGAGAGCAACACCAACCTCAACGTGTCGCCATCCAACGCCGGGATGGTCATGTTGGATTCGGCCCTCGCCATGTCGTCGTCGTCATCGTCGTCTTCCATGAGTACGTTGAATGGTCTTGCATATGAATCGATGTCGTCGGCCCTGAAGTTGTCTTGCCCCGCGAGTTTTGTCTGCTTGCGTTGTCATGTGAAGACGGATGACCGTTGTGGTGTTTGTAGTTCTGTCCGAGTCCCCCGACTTTCACGCAGCCGTCCATCGCCATCCGACCCACGACGATGTGATCGGAGCTCCAGAGGCGACCCCACCCAACGACACGTCCATGTCAACAGGCGACTGCAAAGACATCGAAGCAGTCGCGGCGCCTGACTTGCTGCCGACATTTCTCCACTACCGCAATACTTCTGTCGAAGACATTGAAGCATTCTTTTGGTCGGGCCACCTCCACGTCGACAAGGCCGACATCCTCGCGTTCTTTCGGGTACATTCCACGTCATGATTGTCGTGCGTGCACAGTTTTGGATTTCCTGGCACCTCGGCTACGTTTCAAGCAGTCTTCCCGTCCTTTCCACGTGCACATCGGGCTCATGTTGTCCACACATGATGGTAGTATTTTGTGTCGGACGCCCCGTCGACGCATGTTCAGTATGCACGCCGCGTTGTCCTGTGGTGCCTTGACGTTTGGATCCAGCTCCTGCAAGAGTCGTCGTCGCCCCCCATGGACGTGTGCTTTGAGATTTCAAACCTCGTGATCCAGATGCTGCCTTCGATTGTCGATTCGGATGCAGTTGTGCTGCAATGGCTCACCACGCGTAACATCGCGCCGTTCGTGAAAGCGTGCCAGATGCGCCAGCCGTTTTCGCCCCACGGTCACTGCGACGCCGAGTATGCTGCACTGGCGGCATACTTTGACCACGCCCGGCCGCTCGCTTTCTTGTCCGATTCCTCGTCCACACCTTCTTCCAGCGCGCCGCCCAACCCCAGCGTCCGCGATCGGCTCGCATTCGCCAGCACATCGACCGCAGACACGCGGAACGGACTACCACAACCACCTCCGGTGGTCGTTGCACAAGCCAAGCGTCGGTTTTCCATCTTGGACCGCGTGGCTCGACTCTGGTATGATGCTGCCTTGATTTCGCGGTTTGTGACGCGTTGTAGGCAACTCGACATCGACCCCGGCCTCATGGCGTCGCAAATCACGCTGCTCCAACATTGGTTTTTCCAAAAGATCCCTGGTACGTGAGATGTTCCTCCGCCACGATGGGGATTCCTTTTGGGCAATGGCATGGGGTGCTAACGGTTTCCACGACAGTATCGCAATTGATGGCGTCCAAAAAGTCGGCCGTGTTGACGCCTGCGTACGACAAGTCGCGGATGCTGCACAACCACTTGTCTCTGTGGGTGATCAACCAAATTCTTGCTCGGGAAGACGTGGTCGACCGCGGCCAAATATTGAGCTACTACGTCAAGGTACCCCGGTGCCGATGGTGGACGTGAACCCTCCCTTGGCTCAGTTGTCGAGTGTTCAGGTCGCTGGCAAATGCTTGACGCCCCTGCGCAACTTTGATGGGTTCGTCGCGATCATGTATGCGCTGAACGACTCGTCGATCTTCCGGTTGAAGAAGACATGGGGTCGGCTCCCGCCGCCGGTGCGAACGCTGTGGCAAGAGCTCAAGCAATGGACCGAGAAGGGAGCACGGTACCTCTCTTCAACCCATTCGTGGTCGACATCGCCTCTTGACGCTGTTGTCGTCTAGACCGCTGCACAAGCTCATGAAGGAAGGCGCGTTGCCGTCGATCCCATACCTCGGTTTGATTGCACAGCAGTTTATCGTGGCGCAAGAGTACCCGGACTTTGTCCAGAACGACCTGGTCAACCTCAAGAAGATGCGGCTGCGCGGGAACGTCGTCCGTCTCGTGCTGCCGTGCCAAAAGACGCCGTACATCTTCACGCCAGACAAGCGCCTCCTGGTACGTTACGCACGCAGCTCATCCGTCTCGTGATGGTGCTGACTGTGTTGTAGGATCACATGTGCGCGCCCTTGCAGCTGTCCACCAAGGACTTATGCTTCAATCGGTCCCTTGAAGTAGAGCCGCGGCTCGCTGATGTCGAGTGAACGCCAGTCGTCGTGTCGTAGTTTGTCGAGAGCGCAATCTTAATGTACACATGCAATTTCTTGGATCGTTGGGGCGTCCGGATAACCACGGTGATCGCTCGAATATATCCGGACAACTTGCACAGTTTGTCGAGATTTGGCCGAGATGGACGCGACGAATGCGGCGGACACGACAGGTACGCCAACATTTCGCGAAGAAGGTTGCATGGGAAACGACTGGATTGATGGAGGTGTGTGCGCTAGAGGAACAAGAGGCAGGAAAGGGCGGCCGAGGAAACTATCGGTGCAGTCGATGCGGCGAGCCCAAGAAGGGCCACGTGTGTCCGTACCAGCCTGGCAACTACAAGTGCGTTTTGTGTGGACAAATCAAGAAGAACTGCACGTGTGGGGCGCCGTTGACACGAACGATTGGAGTGCAATGCGAGATGGACGAAGACATGACAACACGGGTTCTCGATTTGCGAATGCAGGTTCGTTTGCCATCCATTCATCATGACATCGCTGACCACATCTCCTTGGCAGGGTGTGTTGGACCTGCCATTGCCACAATTTAACATATAAACCGTTACCACATCAAACATGAAGGGACAACTCAAGATATTCGCTTGTCAAGGACACATCTCGAGAAAGGGTCGGGCATGGAATCTCGCGACAGTCACATGGCACATCCATCGCATTCGTGTCACCCGTGACACCATCCTCACGTGTGTTTCTTGCATGCTGCCTCTGTCCTTCTTCCTTGTGTTCCATGCCCAGCCTTAGGTTGTCCGTTGAGTTGAGTTGATGGGCGCATGGACGTCTTAACATCGAGATCATTGCATGTTCCGCAATAGACAATACTTATCCGGATATATCCGGGAAATCCTGGTTAAAGTGGAATTTTAAATGTTGATCGTTGCAGTACTTTGATTTTGCATACTGAGGTGGCGTGCGCGGTGTTTTTATTGCATTGTTTTGCAAACGTTGAATGAGCCAATCAGAGACGATGATTTGAGCATGTGAAGTTGTTACGAGTAAAAAAAGTCGGCAGTTCCCTCGATCATGGACTCGCTGTGGACTGACGGCACGACGCCTGCCCCCGCCGTCGAACGCGGAATAATGAAAGGTGGAATAGCTGTAGTGGAGAAGGCTGACTCTCCTTCGGTGCGGAAAAGCATGAAGCGCAAAGCAGCAGACAGCCAGAACGAGGATCATACTATGTGGAAGTACTTTCGCGGTCTGGTTCCGCGTGTCTTTCGAGTACGGCAAGTCGTGTCGAGCAAATGATCTGGGATATGACAAGTATATGCTCTATGTTCTAGCCTATCGTGCATGCGACGACCTCCGCCGGCTGCTTGGACCCCATGTGGGTGTGCCACGATGTCGTCGAGGACGCACATGAAGACGAAGACGCCGTCGTATCCATTCCTCGACCACTGAGCCGCATTCGGAACATTCCATCACATGTCCGAGGGGAACCGATCCAAATCGGGTTTGGCGGGTGTGGTGGCTTCTACAATTACCTTCTCGGCGTGGCATCAATCGTCCAGGTCTGTCAGGCCGTGTTGTTTCAAGATTTCCTCACCCTCTTACTCACAGGAAAGGTTCGACTTGACAGACGCTGTGTTCTCTGGAGCGTCGGCCGGATGCTTCCCTGCGCTCGTTCTCGCCATGAACAAAAACGTGAACGACTTCTTCCATGGGGCCAACTTGACACTGATCCGCGACGCTGACAAGAAGACATTCATGGGATGGCGCGATTGGATCCCACTCACCAAGCAACACACGCTTGCGCAGCTCGAACCCGACACGTATTTGAAGCTCGATAAGAAGTTCTACTGCAGCATCACGCGCGTCCCGAGTCTTGAGAACGAGCTCGTTACGTCGTGGAGAGACAACGAGGACATGGTTGACTGCATGCTCACGTCTGGTCACGTGCCGCTGTACCACCCCGACTACCTCCGGACGTTCCGTGGCAACAAGTACATTGACGGCAGCATGTCCAACAATGACCCGATGCCGCTCGGGAACGTCGCACCGTCGCATGTGTTTCACTTTTGGAAATGGCGCAAGATCTTGCCCCACTGGATCCTCGTCTCGACGAATGCAAACTGGGCAAACCAGCAGTTCGAATGGGGTCGCGCCGACGCCCTCGCGCACCTCCATGAAATCGAGACGATTTTGCATTACAAGGATGATGACGATGAACCGTAATTTAGTGTATTCATGCATGAGTGTCCTGGCAGTATTGTCGCGATCGAGACATCAATCAAATCCCCAAGTTGTCGGTCAAGGTTGCTGATGTGTTCAGGAGCCATCATAGTAGCTCTCATGCCATCGATTGTTGCGCGAAAGGGGCTATCTACCCTCTGCATCCTCCTCACATTGCGTTTGAACGCGGCGTCGCCTAGTGACGACAAGTAGTTTCAAATTTTGCTAACCCAATGTACCGCAATATACACACCGACATTTTCTAATGTGCACGTCTATTTACCAAAAGAACGTTAAACGAAGTACAGGCAATTTTAAGTGCACGATTCCAAGTCTATACAAAAAGTAGGTTATATTATTCGCAAGTGGCGTCCATCACGCACAGTTTAACACCAAGCATCATGAGCTTCTCGTTTGGGTCTGCTCCCGCGGCGGGTGGTGCTTCGGCGCCTACTGGTGGGTTCACGTTTGGCAGTGCCGCGCCAGCAGCACCTGCCGCAGCTCCTTCTACAGGTTTCAGTTTTGGCGGTGCGTCTGCTACCCCTACATCCACCACAGCTGCACCGTCAACGGGTTTTTCGTTTGGTGGAAGTGCAGCTCCTACTGCTGCTTCGACGACAACTCCTGCAACCACCGGTTTTTCGTTCGGAGGAGCTGCTGCTCCTGCTGCTGCTGCGACGACCACCCCATCCACAACTGGTTTCTCCTTTGGTGGAGCTGCAGCTCCTGCAAGTTCTGCGACGACATCCACCGCTGCACCTGCAACGACTGGGTTTTCCTTCGGCGGCGCTGCAGCTCCTACAAGTTCTGCGACAACAACCCCGGCCACAACAGGGTTCAGCTTTGGCGCGCCAGCGACATCTACCGCCCCGGCAACCACAGAGGCGGCACCTGCAGCTGGGAGTAAAGGATTTTCGTTTGGCGGAGCAAAAACGTCGAGCACTCCCGCGGCAACAACTACTGCTGCCACTCCTTCGAGCACTGGGTTTTCGTTCGGAGGTAATGCGGCTGCAACCCCAGCAGCCACTGCTTCAGCAACCACCGCGCCAGCGTTTTCGTTGGGCGGAACGACTGCGACTTCCACCACCCCTTCGACTGGGTTTTCGTTTGGAGGGGCTACCAAACCAGCAGACTCGACAACTGCTGCCGCCACCACTACCAGCACCACTCCTGCAACGGACAAACCCGCTGCGACTACATTCAGTTTTGGTGGAGCAGCCACAGGTACCGGTGCGACTTCGATGCCTTCTACAACGACACCCGCAACCGGGTCGGCGTTTTCCCTTCCTGCTTCTTCCACCGGAGGAGCTGGCGCATCAACTACAGGAGCAGGTACCCCGCCGTCTCCCACTTGTGTGACTTTATAACTTCGTCGGTGCAGCTGCTGCGACGCCGCAAGACAAGCCACCGGCCGAATACATGGACAAGAAAGTTGAAGACATCATCAACATGTGGAGCGAGCAATTGGAAAGCCACGCAACGACGTTTACGAACGAAGCGGTTCGAGGTTTGTAGCGACACCATGTCATTTCGCGCTTGAATTGGTTTTGGTGCGCAGTTAGCCATTGGGACACGGAATTGATGCAAAACCAAACGAAGCTGGGCGAACTCGCCATCGACGTGCGCCGCTTGCAAGTGGCGCAGAAGGAGCTCAACGCCAACTTGGACACAATCACCTCCTACCAGACAGAACTCGAATCGACGCTCGAGGTAGTGTGTCCGTGAACGCACGCGGGCTGACATGCCCGTAGCAATTGGAATCAAGTGTGGACAAAATGTTCGAGTCGAACCGGCAGATCCCCGACGCCGCCGACCTCGAGCGCGAAGCGACGCTGCAGCTCTCGGTCGACATCGACACGCAGCTCAACATGATGTCGACGGCGCTCAAGGAAACCATCGAACGCCTCAACCAGACGTCGCTAGCGGCCAATGGCGGCGACGACAACGACGACTTGCACCAGCCGATTGCACAGATCCTCAAGGTGCTCAATGTCCACCACAACTCGTTGCTGTGGATCGACGAAAACGCGTCCAAGTTGACACACGACATGGGCGAAATTGCGCAAAAGATCAGCCGTCCGTGAGGCAGCACTTTAAGAGGACGAAACGTTGAGGAGGGTGTTCGTTGATATATATATACTGGGTGAAAGAACCGTGAGGGGCTGTGGCATCTGAGGACTCGAACGGTGTCGACTACGACGCTGCCGACCCTTCGACGAAGGACCGAATCGACTCGTGAAAGTCAGTGACACCCTGCGCGCTGCGATCGAGCCGAGCGACTGTCATGTGCTCGTCCATCGCGCACTGAATCTCGATGTTGCTCTTCTGGGGTGCCCCGCACGTACAAGACCGCTTCAGGTTGCCACACTTGCTGCACTTGTAGTTGGCGGGTTGGTATGGACACACGTGGCCTTTCTTGGGTTCGCCGCATCGACTGCATCGGTAATTACCACGGTTGAAGCTACTGTTACCGCTGGAGTTCGCGGCGCTGCCCATGGCGGACGTGGAAGGCGGGGTCAACCCAGCACCATCGCCAGTGTTCGTGCCAAAACTGCTCATGTGCACATTCATACTCGCGCCGTCGGTCGAGGCGCCGGGTGAATTCATCATAAACCCCATGTTGAAATTCATGGCAGCCGCGTTCGGGATTCCGGGGTCACCAGCTCCCCCCATGAAGTATGGTCCGACGCCGCCGCTTCCTGCTGCGTTCATTCGCCTGTCAGTCGAACTTACTCGCGTTCCTGTCTGCCAATGTCTTGTTCGCTTCGATATTTTTACGGCCGTTCGAAGAGGGAGGTTGAAAACTAAAATAAATATACTTAAGTAGGGAACTAAGAAGGGGGACTAATATATATGTTCGAACGGCTCAGAACCATTATGCCTCGTTCGAAACATCGAAACGGACACTCGCCGCCAACCGTGTATATACATTCGGTTGATCACGCACAGAAATTGCCGCGCGCGTCCCATGCCGCCGCACCCTACTCTCTTCCGCCGGGCGGCTCCCATCAGCGGATGCAAACGTTCGAAAGGAGGGTCCTTCGTCCTTTCTGGGATTAGAGAGGTGTGCGTGTCTGGATGCAACTTCCACAGCCAAATGTGATGGACACAGACGATTCGATTTAGAGTGAAACAACGCTGACGACGACACAATTAGGGATTCAAAATGAACGATAGCAGCAGCTTCGGATCGGCATTTGTGCTACGACGGCTTGCACATGTGTTCTCCTTGATGACTGCGTAGCGTCGTTGGAGCTGTCGACGACGCGCCGTCGTCTTGTCCAAGGCTGTGGGTTCGTTGCATTCGTGGAGCTTGGTCATGACTTCGTCCATGTACCGCATTTGACGGTCGATCTTGGCGAGCTGTCGATATGGCCATTTTGCAATGTCGTGTCGTCGACATGCTCGGATGAGCGCGCCTTCGTAGGTCCCGAGCAACATGGCCGCCTTCTTGAGCGGCATGTGAAAGTACTCCTCGAGTTGCTGCACCGTAAACGCTTCGTGTTGTGGCATTGACCTGGGATCGAGTGGATGGTGGGTGGGAAATTCAACTGTGATGGGGTCGAGCGAGGACTTGTCGAGGGACCAGAGTGCTAAGGTGGCCACGAAGGTTGTCGTTCCACTTGACGGAGCAACGACCAAAAACCACAACCAGCGCAACTTTCAGCTTTCTCCTGTCAAAATGCACCGCAGTAGCTTTGAAACCAACCCCCACAATGTCGCCGCATGCCACGATGTCGATCCCGACTTGCGATCCCCCCGCGTCCTCATCCTATCCACGACCGCAAAGGATACGTCGTCTGGGGTTGATGCGCCTGCTGCAGCCTTTGGGAATCGACCAAGACAGTCGTCGGCAGCATGTTAAACGAGCCCATGTTCACCCGGTGGCCTTTTCTACTCCAACGAACGCTGTGTTGATGACCCATCAAGAATTTGTCGCCAAATTCTTGGATTGGAACACTTCAAAATTACAAAATATTCAATATGCTCAAACATTATGTTGCAAAGGGTCACGAGTGGTTATTTTACCCAGGGAATTGGGGTATGTTCATGTCAATATTCTCAAAGGCTACTGAAAGAGAGAGGTTTTCCTGTCGTGCATACGTGGCCAAAGTTGAAAGTGCCGACTGAGTATGCCATGCGATGCCACCCATGCGCAGGTTGGGGCTGGCTGTACTGCATTCAGGGAGAGGTGCGCATGGCTTGAAGCGGTCAAGTAAGTGCAGAATCTACTGGATTGTCCGCGAAAGCCATGGACTCGATTCGACAATGGACAGCGTACAGGTCGTGGTTGTCGTTGCCCTTGGACGTCACCCACCAAAACGTACGTGCGTCATGGTCGAGAACGTCACAACGGTCCACACGAGTACAGTGAGTGCGTTTCGACCCGGCACGAGGGAGCCATTCTTGTAACATTGCACGGGAACGATCCAAGCTCGAAAAGGTGTTGCGTTTGCAAACGTCATCCACGACGGTGGTCCTTGTGCACGGTGCAGGAACGAGCAGTTGCTGCTGTATGGGCAAAGGTGCTATTCATCCAAGGGTAAAGCAACGTGAGAGCGCAAGCATGCCAAGCCAGGCTCAACGTTTGGGTGGGCTAACTAAACTTTATAAGCACGGACGCTGACTCGGTTGGATGATGGATTTGTTAGCCGGGATACTGTACAACGTCAGCCTCTTCCGTGGACTGGGCACACGACAGTCCCAAGACGCGAGAACTTTCCGCGACGACCCTTCACAGCAATCCACACGACCCCAAGTATTGACTCGTGCCGCGCCTCCTCCAACGGCGACGCTTTGGCGGGGCGGCCTTTGCTCTGCCGCACGCGGCGAAGCTCGAAAAAACAGTGGACTGAAAGGATCCTTGTTGGGGGTATAGCATACAATTCGACTTCGTCGGAAACGCGCGACACTCGCGAAAGGCTGCGGCTTGATCCTGGGCGAGGTCATTCTCGCAGGAGCGGTCCGTTGCGGACGTGGCCGAGCCCCGCCAAGTCATCACATCCGGTTTCGGGGTCATCATGGACAGATCTGTACGTTGATTGGCTATTTCGTCAAATAGTGTGATGCTATTGGATACATTTACCCTAGCCCTATCCTGGAGACATTTGACACTTGTGAAACGGGCGCAGGAGGCAATGTGGCCATTTGATCATGCCGAGCTAGCGGTATCTCTGGCAACGACGAGCAAGTCGCAGCGCCCTATCGCGCTGGTGGAAAGGCGGCATGATTGATATGTACTTCGTGTGCTCACGGCAGCCAATACCGCTTTACGTAGGTGGGGCTGGCCAAGGTTTCCCTTATGCCGGATTACCCTTTTTACAAATTACTTGCAGCAATAGGGCGTATGAAGTGCGTGAGGGCAACGAGTTGAGGCAAGGGATTGAGAGACTTCGATGGCGCTCGTGGATCGTTGTCGAAGGCATTTTTGACCACCCGCCGATTCTCAATGGCAGGGCTTCCAGTTGGTTTATACTTTATCATAAACTCACAAATTCGCCATTCTGTAGCGGTTCAGTTGTCGAGCGACTGGCTCAAATCTAGTCTGACGACCACATGGGGAGGCAACCTGTAGCTTGCAAGTTGGGTAGCTATCGTGCTGGCGTACAGTGGGTTTGCCAACGTCGATTGAGCCAAATACGCAAGAGTTATGGCATGATGGGCTTCAGTAAAACGGACGAGAAGCGTCTGGTGCAGGGTGTAAAGCCGTCCGAGGAGACTCGTTGTCACGACACAGAATGGCATGAAGAACGTCATGGCATATTGCATCCCGAGTGCTATGTATGCCTTCTTCTCTGCCTCCATCGCATCCACATACGTCTCGATCAGAGCGACGAGTTGGCGCAGCACAGAGTCGACCTTCGTCTTGAAGTCGCCGCTGCACAGAACTTTCCACGACACGTGATGCATGCTCGCATCCTTCACTTTCAGGGCATCCAAAACCTGGAGAATCGACTTGATCGTATGTTTTGTTTTGTCTGGTTTCACAGCGCGATGGAGTCGTTTGACCTACGAGTGTCAAATGACCTCTCCTGTTACAGGAAGGATGACCACGGGAATGGTGCGTACATGAACGAGGTATTGAAAGTAGTTGGCTCGACGGTGCTGGTTTGTATTCTTGTAGATAATCTTTCGGAGCACGTTCAACTCGGCATGCAGTGCGTCCATAGCTTCCACGCATGACTCGATGTGCCCATTGACCTCGTCCAGGTCCATCTCCATCGTGCTCCAACGGCCACGAACTCGAACTTTATGTAGGTACCGTACCTAATAGAGTCGAACTGCGTTTTGATGCAGTAAAGTGGCAGTGAAATTTGAATAACATTTGTTATATAAATTTATTGCACGAGTATTCACAATTTGACTACTCTTATATTATAACAAAGTTACGAACTCGAGTCAGGTTTCGAGGAATATTGCATTCTTGACGCAGTGCAAGGATGGCCAAGGACTGGATCTGCGAGGAATGCGAGCAAGACAACGCTGCCGACGAAGTCGAGTGCGTGGCGTGTGAAGCGCCACGTCCGGCGGGCTCCAGTGCAAGTCGCTTCACTGGCTACAAGATTGCGCGTGTCGTGTCCGTGGAAGCAATTCCCAAAACGAAATTGCGCGCTGTGAAGGTACAAGTGGACGTCGACGGCAGTGAGGAGTTGACCATTGTGACCAACGCCCGCGTGGACGATGGTGAAACAAGGTATATCGTTGTGGCGACAGTGGGGTCCATCGTGTCCATCGACGGAGAGGACGTCGAGGTGAAGAAAGCAACGGTTGGCGGACGCAAGTCTGAAGGCATGGTGTGCGACTCGCCCATGCTTGGATGGAAAGGTGGTGCGGCTGGAGCTGCAGTGTTCCTGCCCAGCACGTACACGGTTGGCGACGAACCTCCTGCTACACGGCCATGAGCATGCTTTGTACCCATTCAAGCTTAAAAAGACATCTCTGCTCACCATGGCATTCGGTGCACAAATATGAATTCACTTCCCGTTCCTCCTCCTCACAACGGCATATGCGACGCAACGCGAGCTCACCTGACATACCATGCTCCATTCTCACACCATCGTCCATGCTGGGAGATCCTTAATGAGGCCTCTAGAATTTGTTGTCCAAGTCGCTTTCTTGGGCCAGCTCTGTCGTGTGTACGTGCAACCTGGACAAACCCATGATGTTTCAACTAACATGCACCTCAGCACTTCCACATGATCAAAGTACCATGCGTGCCACGTGCATGCCTTGAAGGATGACCGGTGTCATGCAGCTCCGTTTGCTTCGCACGTCCCTCGCAGCTTCCGTGTCCTTGGGGGACTGTCATTCGATAATGGAAAAATACAATTCTCTGGACCATAAATATCTTGCTCTTTGTATGTAATTTTAAACAACACAAAAGAGAAACCCCGAAGCAACAGTTACCCGTTACAAAAACGACCAATGAAATGATGGAAAATTAGATCTACCATATTCCATCGGCATGGCGGAGGCGCAACCCGAGATGAGCGAGGCGCGGTTAACGCGTCTGATGCGACAAAAAGATGTGGTGCAACGTGATGGAATGAAGAAGGTTATTCAGCCCAAGCTCGACGAAATGGACCGTGTGTCCACCGACTCGTCGGACGACAACCAGGACGAAGTAGAAGAAGCCGATGGTGTCGACGACGGCGAGGGTGTCACGATGGAAGACAAGTACATGTCCGAGCTGCAGTTCCTGCGCAACCAAGTACAGGACCTTCAAGGAGCATTGAAGGCGCGTGACATGGAGCTGTTCCAGCTGCGCGAACGCTATGATCTTCTCTTGGTTGCAGTCGAACAACAAGACGAAACGATTGCAGCGATCTATGCCACGACAAACACGGCGTCGTCCGACGCGCACTTGCAACAATACTCGGCGCTGCGGGAATCGTCCATGCTGTCGTCGGCACCATCACCTCCTTGCGTCAAACGAACGGCAAAGGAAATGCTTTTGGGTCACTTAGACAGTATGGGGTTCGATGCCGACAGCGTCGGCTTGGTCCTAGAGGCATTCCACGACACCACGGTGCCACCAGCATCACCTTCCACGAGATCATCAGCGGTTGGCTCTGGGGCCACCGACTTGGCGGCTCTTAATTCGGCGCTGGATCAACTCTTGAACACGGATGCCACCTCGGGCAGCCAGGTCCAGCAGTCATCATCGTCAGCAACAACAATTATGCCAGCCTATGCGAACAAGTCTGGCTTTCTCCGTCCCGCGGTTCGACGACACAGCAGTAAACGACTCAGTGTCAGTGACTTTGGGCTATTTAATCACGAATCCGCTGAGGACATCCTGCAGCCGACGGAGGAGCGCCGCCAGTCCGATCCGCTCTTTGCCGGTATGGACGAATACGCCGACACGAGCAACCAGCCTCTTGTGCAAGCCAAAATCAAACGAGTACAAACCAGAGAATTGCCGTCCCTGAGATGTTTAACCATTCCCGACTAGGACAAGCAGGACGAGGAGTTGGAAGAGCTGTCCTACTCGGTGTTTTTGGAGCGGCTAAGCTTGCCTGGCTCCAAGGACATAGTCGAGGCAATTCGGCGATTCGTTGGGTCAGTTCTCGGACCCCGTGGCGATGGCTGGTATGCTCCACCTTTGCCAAGTTGCTTTAGAGGTTTACTTGGGTTTTGCATGGTTAGCCCTCCAACGTCCGCCCACTTTGTCGATTACATCTTTTACGGTCATGAGTCGTTTCAGCAGCGATGCGAGGAGTTTTTCCGATCGATTGACGAAACCTTGGCGACCCATCCCGCATGGCGCCACGCCCCCGAGCGGATACTGCGTCACGCTCGCGACGGCATTGAAAAGTACGTCATGGACAAGTTGGCCGACGTGCCGTTGCACAAATTGCGAGAAAGCGCAGCGTGGAAAGCCGAAGATGCCGCGCTCTGGCGGCGGATGCAAGTGCTATCGCAGTTTGTCACACCCGATATGCTCGATATCAAGCCCAGCATGCGCAACGAGGTCGTGTGGAGCATTGCCCAAGACGAGCTCCGGCACATCAACGAGTACCGGTCTCCTGGCGACAAGATCAATTGCATCGTGCGGTGCTGCAGCATCATCTTTAGCGTCCTCAACCTCGCGCGCGGCAGCGACGTCATGAGCCGACCAGGTGTGCATTCCTTCGCCGTCCGTGCATGTTTCAACTGACGTAGGCGCGGACGACTTTTTGCCCGTGTTCATCTACCTTGTGCTCCATTCGCAAGTCCCAAGCTTGGTGTCGAACGCCGAGTACATTGCTGCGTACCGAAACCCGGCCGATCTTATGTCCAAGTAGAGTGTTGCGATGCATCTGTAGACCGTCGGTGACTTTTGGTGGTAGGGCGGGGTACTGCTTTGTCAACCTGCGCAGTGCAATTGAATTTATCTTGGTGCTGGACGCCAGCATGCTCTCGATCGACGAAACGGAGTTCAACAGGTACGAAGCTGATTCGTCACCATATCGAGTGTAAGGGCAATGTCTCGAATCGCGTTATAGTCGTTTCGCCGCGGCGGAAGCTACTGTGTCGAGCTCATCGGCGACTCCCCCGTCTCGGCTAACCGATGAAGCCACCGTCAAGTTTGACTGATCCCAAGAAAGGATTCAGTCCATTGTGCTTGTTGAGCGTCGACGATACGTCGAGTTACGGACGGTCTGCCTTCGTGACCGCTTCGAGTTCCCCACCATTGCCGGAACACGACTGGCAACTCCTGCTCCGTGATGAATAATCGAGGGTCGACTTGAAACCTAGTCTTTGCCCATATTCTCGACACTGACCTGCTGGAACACTGGGTGGCTGCACCGTGCCAAACCACAGTCGCTTGACGCATTGCAGTGTAAGCTAGTCGTCGAGTGCAGCAGTACCATGGCTGGCACGAAGATCATTCCCGAGTGCCAAGAGGAGGGCCATCCAAGCGCATTCACACATGGCGATGCTCAATAACGAGTCACTCTTGTCGACGCTCGTTTGCGTAGAAAACGAACGTGATAAAGTATTTCATGTTGACGACGTATGTTGACGATCACGTCCGTGATGAAGGGACCGCACCACTAAAACACAACCTGAGCGAACCTGTGTCTGTGAGATGGGCTCATCACACGGTTGGTCATCGGGGACGTTTACTTGACGGGTTTCACTGGCGACGGCGCCGCACTTGCCGCCTCCGTCGTGGAAGTCCGTTGCTTGGCGACGACAGAGGACCAGAACCACCCTGTCGTCAGCATCATGGTGATGGCGAGGGCAAACGTAATGTACACGATCGTCCCTGCGCCAAAGCCCGATCCCGAGTAGTCGCCCATAAAAAATCCCATCAGCACGGGAATAAAGGCTTCGCCGCAAAAGCACCCAAACACGAGCAGCGACGATACGCGGGCCAATAGGTCAGGGTTCACCACGTTGGTCAGGCCTTGGATCGTGCCAGTGAAGAGCGGCGAGATGAACACGGCAAAAAGCACGAGGTGGAACGTTAGGGCGGCGACAACGTACTCGGGGCCAAACAAATTCTGACCAAAGATGACCCCCGCCATCGTACACACACACAGGACGTTCAGGAAAAAGAGCCACCCTAAGCTCTTCATGTTTTCAAAAAAGCACGACGTAAACAGCGAGTACGACAGCGCCAACGACAGCCAAAACACGCACATGATGCCACAGCAGATCGAGTGCAGGTTGGCGCCGTACCCCAGCGCCATCACGAACTCCAAGTACTGGAACAAGAATGCTGCGAGGCCCATTTGGATGCCATAGTACAGCGTTGCAATGATCATCACAAGCAGTACGATGAAGTTTGCTTCCGGGTCGTACGAATCTATCGAACGAGCAACGATGAAACGATTGATAGGGCGACAAGATCGGGTGTACCTGGGTTCAGGTTGGAAGAGCCCAAGTCGTGCTTGACATGCAAAAAGACACTGCCCGAGATGGGGCTAGGCAGGACGGGCGGCACACTTCGCAAGTCTTCTTCATAGCTACAACGAGGTTGTGCGTCTTGATCAGCGGTTGGAACAGGTATTCGTACCCAAGCAACGAAGCGGATTCTTCGCCCGACGGATGCGGACAGTCCGTGAAGTAAATGAAGAACGCTGCGATCAGCGTCAACGACCCAACCATGACGAAGAGGTATTCGAGCTCAAGCTTGGCTTGACGTTGAAGGATTCCAAGAATTGGACCCTATGAAAGTTCGGCACCCATGGTAAGACGCGCAGGGATGGAAATGGGACGGAGAGGTTGAACATACCACGACGGTGCCAACGGCGAATGCGCCATTCAACGAGTTCACAACACGGCGCGTGGTCGCTTCGTTGCCGGACGCGGTCCACGCCGCGCACTTGTTAATGGTGACGTTGACAATCGCAACGACGCACCCCTTGACGAAGAAGAAGCATGACGCCCACTCTGACCCGCCCCATTGGTTTACCCACGGCAAACACACATACCATGCCGTGAGCGCGATGGACATCGTCCCCAGCATGATGTGCAGACCAGTGCGACCGAGAAAAGAACTCAAGCACGCTTGAACCAACACTTCGGACAAGAAACCCGCCGACAATATCGATCCGAGTGCGTGCCACGCAAACGCAGGATTGTAACTCGACACGGCATTACCTTGATACGACATTTCCTGCAGCGCAGGGCCCAGGGCACCAAGGAAAGCACCTTGAGAGAGGTAGATCAGCCAGTATCCGATCATCTGCCCCTTCCATCTGAACGCAGCGATTGCCCTGACAAATTGCAGCATCGTGGGCAGCAGCGGCAACTACCGGCGCGGTAATCGAGAGCGAAGCAACTGACTTCGTTGACTATGGTCGCCGTATCCGTCAGCTACGTACAAGAGTTATAGCCAATGACATCTCATTATTTTACCTTTACACCAATCAAAACCCTCCATTCCACGGAGAAGGAATAAATGTACAAATTTATCCAATCAAAAGGCTTCTGCAAATTCTACTGCAAGACATATTTTGGCGACGCTTCAGGCGTTTCGAACGGTGCCGGTTCCGGATAAATGTGTATTCGGCCAATGCGTTTCGTGCATGATTCCGGATAGGCATCGAGACGTTTCAAAAACTATACTGACGAAACCGACTTGCAAATTCGAACACCACTCTTCTACTGACCTGTGATCTTGTCCTTGACGTATACTCCGCACTGCCACAGCAGGACGGGAGGCAGAACCGCCAGCACAACGCCTGTGCCTGCAACGGCAATTCCCGCTGCCACGCCGGCAAAGACGGTCTTGGTAACGAGTCGGACGGGGACCGTGCGGCCAAAGTAACGATGCTTCGATCGAACGTACGCAAGCGGGTAACACTTGACCTTACTGTGAGTGGACCAGTCTTGGTGGCAGTACCAGCAGAACTCGAACGAGCACCGGGTGCACGACATGTGCTTGCACCCGCCAGACTTCTCGATTGCCCAAGTACAGTTTGGACACGTTTGAACATGGTTATTCCGGCACCATGACTTGTAAGTGCGATCCCCGCACATGGGAATCGGATGGTAGTCCGAGCCGCACTTGAAGCACGATTCTTTCTCGCACGCGTGGCAGTACACGCGTCGGCTGTGATTTTTCTTGGCAGACGACTTTGGCAAGACCTGACCGCACTCGGGACGAGGGCAGTATCGAGCGCCTTGGAGCACCTGCTGCTGCAACTCGAGAAAGTCGATGTACTTCTGGAAGGTTACATCCGACATGTTGTGACGCAGTGTTCGCTTGGTCAGTGGCAGACGGCACACACCAGGACACACAAGTTGGTTCGCGCGAACTTCACCATTGACAACCTTGTGGCGTATGTATTCCCGGAAGCATGGGTAGCAATAGATCGCCGGGCAAGCGGCGCACCGACCAATGTCTTCTTCGTACAGGTCTAAGTCGACAGTGGGTCGGTTCTCTTCCATGATAGACCGTCGCTTTTCAGCATTCCGCACAATATCTGTTGTTGATTCCAAGCAAATCATGCAGTGCTCCACTCTGGTCGCTCCGCCTGTTGTCGACGACGACGCTGACGATGGATAGAAGTCGACAATGTCGCTGTCGCTGATGTAGCCGTCGTTGTTATTAGGGAGTAGGACGACGCCCGAGTCTGGACGAGTCATAGTCAGCGGAGTCCGTTGACGTGGGTGCAGTTGTCTCTCCATGGTGACCATCGATGCGGCTGCCATGAAACTCTTCTTTCCGAATGAATGAACTACATGCTTTGACGATCGGTCGATTTCGAAGAAAAGAACAAGATCACACATTGCCGCGTATCCGGATAACGAAATAAGGGAATTTCGTTCTACATGAATCCCGAGCGATGGCACGCTTTGGCAATCAACCCGACGTACAACATGCCATTTCTTCGCGTTTCCTCACAGGTGTAGAGATGTGATGACAGGTCCGATTACCGCAGGTTACCTCGGTTCTAAACATTGTACCATTGTGCCTGCATGCACTGACTTCTGCATACAAGTTGTCTGCTACTTTGAGCCAGCAAATCGTCCTTGCTGAAAATCACGCTTCTTCAACAAAGCCCGGGTGCACGGTATTGTCAGCAACTCTAACGTGCTTGCAGTATTGATTCACCAGCAGCTTGCGCAGGAAATCACGGAGCCAGAGATCTAAGGCTTCGCAAACAAACTTGTTGACAAGAGAGACGCAGCGGACGTGTTATCATCCAATCAAAAGGCGTACGAAAAGGAATATCCTTAATTAAGTACTTTTGAAATTTCGGACGACCAAAGGACATGCACCTAGAATGTTGGTATCTCATCCACCTCATTTACAAACTTTGAAAGTTGACAAAACGACGGCAGTGCCTGCGCGAATGGCTGTGAGATCATGTTGGCGATATCGCTAGCCGAGCCGTGCAAAGGCATGCTTCGATTGCTTGGGGCGTGATGTAGACCTTGTGGATCCGAACGACGAAGCTTAATAGCCGCATTTCTGACTGGTTGTTGGCGAAGTTGTGATTGACTGTGAGGTGTTGTGAGCAAGCTAATCTAAGACTTGGACAGCAATTTTTCAGTACCTTCTCACCTCTGTTTCCGAAGACAGAGGTGTGTTGTCACAACGAGGGCTGGCATGGCTGCATGATCGACTTTTTTCCGCGCTTGCTCATCAAAGACGTCGGTGACATGCGCTGACAATTCCTTGCAACAACAATTACCTTGGACGACTGCATTTAAATACACTGCTTGAGCGGGCTACAGCAGACGCGACAGCAACCCGGAGGGATGGTTTTGAGTCATTCGCGATCCTTGAATTTCTTTGCAAGTTAAGATGTGCTTGTCCTCCCCAATTCTGAGCGCAGCCTCGTTGACAATCGAGCTAGCACCTCCTTCGGTGGTTGCGTTGAGCAGAGGTTCAGCATTGCCACAACAGATTGAGTTGAACATTTTGATGAACTTCGATGGCCACGCCTGCGAAGCTACACGAAGAGAGCGCCAACGTGCGGAGGTGGCTCGCCATCGGCATCGCTGCAGCAAGCGGCGGCACCCCCATGTTGATCGTTGCCGCTCAAAACCAGCATTTTCACGCGAGAATGGTCAAGCTCTTGTGCCAGGCTGGTGTTGTTTGTGTCACTGAGCCCACAAACCGACAGTTCCAGCTCGGCCATGGCCAAAGGGACCTTGAAATCATGCATGTCCACGTGGGGCAAGTAAGTGTCGCGACACAACGCCGACGACGACCGCAGAGTGCAGTGGAAGCTCAAGACCCGGTGCCTCCACATTCCATCGCCCGGGTTGCCGTTTGAGCCAAGATAGAAGGCACCACATGCCATGTGTTCGTCATCGCAGGTCTGTAGAAAATGCCATCGTCCAAGTTAGTCGGGGAAAGGTGGCGCAAAGGCGCAAACTAAACTCGAAAGGCACTGCGACGATGCAATGTGGTCGAAGATGCAGTTGGCACTCGGAACGATACCTCCATGAAGATCGGAAGTTTCAGAGTGTGAAAAAAGTAGGGCAGAGCAGTAAGGACACAATCTTCCACGGCTGAGTTCTTCCCAGACCAAAGTAACGACGGGCAGCTCAGCAAGGCGACTGTGCCATATTCATACTACAGGGGTAGCTTGACGTTGGACGCGCTCGGACATCACTCAATTCGTTGCCGAGTGATGTGGTTGTGTGGCATCGGAGGAACAAGTCGTATAGTCGTGCATGTGCACGACCGAGAATTTCCGCGTAACATGGACGTAGTTACTGGAACAAGAAGTTCATCGTGACAAGCTCGCAAGTGGAATTGTGACTAGAGATTGGAAAGTGCGACCATTGCAAGTGTGGTGAATAATTCTATGCCGCCTAACATGTCGATTCCGTCGAGCGCATCAACATCCTTGACGAAGGTCTCGCTGTCTGGAAGGTAGGACACGATTTGATGGATAATCTCTGAGGGCATCCGCATGTATCTCATCGTGTCAAACACTCCACGGGAGTCATTGCAATTGTGTTCGAGTCCGACGCGATAAGCGGCGGGTGTGTCGGCGTTCCGGCAACGGCGTGGCGGCCGTTTCAATCGCGATCTAAAATTATAGCCAATCCGATGTCGTCAAACTTCTTTTAGCAATTTTGATTGGAGTAATTTCGTCACCAGCATTCATGGACAATCCAATTGCTCCGTTGCGGGGTCGCATGAGAAGCACATCGTGTGCGTCGACAAAGGTTTCGCTGACCGAGCACGACCAGCACAGAGAAGACGTCGGTTCAAATGGCCGCAATTTTGCGCTTGTCTGGATGTCTGTCGCGTACTAGTAAAGTGTACCGCGGATGCTCTTGACATCAGGCACAACACACGACAGGCGGCTCGAATTTGGATAGGGCAATTCCACGCGCCTGGTGTTCCACATGCATTTCGCGCACACTTACTGTAAAGCAGGGTGAGGGCTATGCGGCGGTAGTCGCGACTGTTTTCCTCCACTCCTTCAGCACAATGTGCAGGCCGACGTATTCGTCCAGCTCATGAGGTCTTTCGGGGCTTTTTTAGTGCGATGTCGTGCATTTTTAGCATGGTCTGGCGGTCGTCGTCAGTGAGCCAGTTCGTGTGCGCGAGCGAATTGCGTCGGTATACCGTACAGGCTTCCCAGCTCTCTGCGACGGGTGTGCTAAACCTCCCAATTCCGGAACTCGACATACCCCGAGAGGCGGGGACTTGAATGTGGGGAATTATTCCTGAACCTTCCCTCGTTCATGTCCCCATCGTTTCCTTCCACCGACGCGAACAGGATCGCCAACGACCCGAACGCACAAAACGAGGGCACGGGGCTTGCCCCCCTACTGTATCGAGTATTTGGGGACGATTGCTGCAGCCAGTTGGGATCAACGGGCCACCCCATCTCTACCATGCCGCCAACAACCCCCCTGCCTTTATGCCAATGACGCCACCAAAATGCGCTCTCTGGTCAATGTACCGTAATTTGGCCGAGGGAGGCTGCAGTTCCAGTATTGGGTACCGTACTGTACACGGCGACGGCCTTTCGTTCGCTCTGGACAGGCCTACAGCATCTTCACAAATGGGGTGGGCCTCTCTTCCAAGAGCGCGCATCGCACCCGCATTTGGAGCCGACGGTTTGCGTCTTTGGAACAAAACACTCGCCAAATCCACGACGTTGACCGGAGCGGCGGGGGGTTGGCCTTGTGATTTGTGTACACGCGCGGGGCATGGCCACTTGGTCAAGTTGAAGCGGGCCATGCCAGCTTGAACCTTCGTTGTTGGACTGTGGGACTAGATTCTGTCGCCACTCATTGTTTAGAGTGGCTCGAGAAATGTCAATTTGGAATGGACCAATCACGGAGCAATTTCGGGGATCTTAGCTACTAAGCGCACCTCAGCCGAAAACTATTCCAGGGTACACGATGGCGCACTTAATCGTCCCAATTATTCAAACGTAAAAGGGGCAATGTATCCATGGATGCGTTTTCAGCCCATGCTGTGGTTTGACGAGAGCGCGTGAGGCTCGATGGGCCTGATCCAAAAGTACCTACGGTTCAGTCCAGTGCCGTGGCGACGAAGGCACCGTAGGTACTGTACGGGACACAACTACACCATGGCCCAGCCGCCCTCTCGCTACAATTCTAGCGGCGAGGAGATTTGCAATCTCGTTGTCGTGGACAAGAAAAGATGTGTTGCACAGAGGTTTGATCGAGATGCGTGTCCTTGGGGAGTTTTAAGGATGATTGCGAGGGTGTGCCACGACGACGCGAAAAGTACGGTCAGATGTCTTGGTGGACCCACGTTGTAGGGCAACCACCATGGCTGACTCGACCCAGAGAGCAAGCTGCTGGTGAAAATGGAATCCAATGGGGCCGCGCGAGGAAGCTGTCCATGTGGCGGTCAAACCAAAAATTTTCGGTTATTTGTACATCTCGGCGAAAATGGCCTTGCGTTCGAAAGGTCGCACGTCGACTTTGGTTTGAAATGCATCGAATAATGTGAAGGGAACTCACGACAAAGCTCCGACCGCTGTCGACGCCGTTTGTAAAACGTCCGAAGTGTCGCCGAACTGGACAAAATGTCCATGGACCGTGTCTCGGCCGCAATCCACACCCACGCATGGGCTGTTGGGGCGTCATTCAACGCGGCAGTGAGTCGTCCGGGCGGGTTTTCAGAACAGTCGCACGCGAGATCAGTATTTTACCGCCACGTGATAAAGGTCAATATTTTAAAAGACATGAAATGCATCTCGACAATTCTCTTCCTTTCAGTATAAACGCGCATCCATTTTAATCTATGGGAAGATCAGAATTTTATTATTTTGTGCCTGCTCCGATCGTCGTCACCAGGAGGTACGAGGTAGGTGTCACTCTCCAATTAAGTACACGATAAAATACCCGACCAGGTCCATATTATTCAACATAAAAAATACCAAGCCAAAATGTTCCAAATTGACGCCGAACCCACATAAAAATGCACTATTTTTAGAATTACTGCTGTAGGTTTTTCGCACTTAACACGTCTGCAACGCATGTACTACGGTGTAACCTCTTTTTCACGGCCGAAAATGCTGTTGTGATGCGATGATGAGCTGCTCATTTCCGCAAACACCGCGTCGGAGACGGACCCGCCGCCATGGCTTTTACGACGATGACCGCTCCCGATCAACACGTGTTGTCTCTCTTACCGTACGAGCCCGTAAAGGCGTCTTCGCCTGACGAGTCCCCTGAGCAGGACACGGTCGAACCACTGAAAAAAGCTGCGCCGCCGCTCGTGATGGCCACCATGAACGTCGTCCTCATCACGCCGGAGCTGTCAACGGCGCCTCCGAAACCAATGCCAGCCCTCAATGCGCTCGTTCCGTCGGCTGATATCAACTCCCAGCCGCGAGAATGTGCCATTTGCTTTGAAAAGTCGCAGGCGAAGAACTTGTGCGGCAGCACCACGTGCGGGTCCTTCTTCTGCAATGGCTGCGTACAAATGTACCTTCAAATTAAGATCCAAGACGGACAAGTGCGTCGAATTCGGTGCCCTGGTCTTGGCTGCACTGCTATACTGTCCTCCCACCACATTCACGGACACGTCACTACGGACCACTTTCAGCGATATCTTGAATTGAAGGAGAAGGTCCGCTCCGGTCGCGTCTGCCCTCCTTGTGGACAGCCTGTGACCTCCACAGGTCGCAAGATTCACTGCCAAGCCTGCACCGCGACGACTTGTGGTGACTGCGGGGAGCCTTACCACTTGTTTGGGTGCAAGGATGTATCATACAAGACTTGGCGCCAACAAACTGAACACGACGTCCGATCGTGTCCCAACTGCCACGTCGACATTGAAAAGCACGGCGGATGCACCCACATGGTGTGCACGCACTGCGAGTTTGAGTTTTGCTGGTTGTGCCGTGTATCGTGGGACCGCCACACCGATGCCATGTGCAAGCCGTTGGCCTTCCTCGAGTCCGAATCCACATCCCTCGGTCCGAACGCGCCGATCCGAGCCGTCACCAAATCCATCGTGGTGGTTGCAGCCACAGGTGTAGCTGCCGTCAGTGTCGGCATTGCCGCGGCCATCGCGCCTCCTGTCTTGCTCTACAACGGAGTCAAGTCTCTCTTACACCGCCGAAAGCAGGCCAAGGCCATCAAGAAGCTCGAGTCGTTGCGCAAGCTGCAAGCAGCTGCGTAGTCGCGGGCTACTCGTTGCCCCTATTTATTCTTTGAATCTAATTTATTCGCATTTTTCAAATAAACGTGCTAGACCGCTACAGGATGTTTAGTCAACTTTCTTTTTGTACTTACCGTATGGCATGGATGCCCATCGTGTTCAAGAGAGGCCACTCCGCCGCGTCCAAATCTCGGTTCACGCGGCAGCCGAAGCTTATGAAATCAGGGATGCTGCCTAGGGGTACCTCCGCCGCACCTGGTAACTGCGTCGTGCGGCATGGTTACCCCTCGCACCGAGCATGCCGCCGCATGCCACGCTTTTCGATGCATGGCGTCAGGTCGATCCACGACTCCATGATGCCAATGGCGCATCTTGCCTACGCCTACGGTCGTTGCCGTTGTGTGGCGACACACGGTCCCGACTCAATTGGACTCCCCGATCCTGATGATGATGCGTTGAGTCCCAGGAGAACGTGGGTTGAAGATACATGAAGCTGTGTGAGAGTGGGCTTCATCGAGGACATCCCACGCGTGCGTTGCCAGGTCACGACCCAATAAGCTATGATCACCCTCAGGCCCAGCGCCACCAGGAAACCGTGTCGAGGCGTGCAGGGTTGGTATTGCCCATTCAAAGGTCTGATGTCGCGAAGATGTGCCCAGCAGCATCGCGGACCCATGTAGACGACCCCAATCGATCTCGCTGTACATCATGGCAGGGCGTGTGAGCCATGCATGAGAGGCTGCCCAATGCTTCACGCGAGGCTGCTACTCCACCCACGAGAATGCGACTTGTCACAGACTCATGCAAAGCATGAAGCCCCCATCAACCACCTGGCAAGCGATGGAGATCAGGACACGATGCCATGAAAGACACTCTGGTCGCCTCACTCCCACCAGAGCGATCCAGCTCAATTGAATTGCTCTGCCCATGAGAAATTCTATTGTTGACATCGCGTGGAGTAGCTACAATGCCCCAAGTGAGCTGCACGTAGAAGGCACCTACGAGAAGCACGCAGCTCCTTTGCGTAAGGCCCATTTCAAATGTTATGAGTGACGAATATGTCGGACAACGAATGAGGCAAGTCAGTGTCCAGGGAAGCAATAGGAAGAGGACGGAGCGTCTCTGCACCTGGTAACCTGCCGTCGGGTCCTCGAGGGAAGTCTACAAGGTTCCTGTGGACATGGACGAGTCGTCGACTCGGCTGTGTGTGGGAAGGAGACCGCGTCAAACTCGGTTATATGAAATACGTTCAGCTGTCGTTCTACCTTGCCCTCTCTTGCTCAATCACGCGGCGAAGGGCGTTCATTCGTTGGGTGGGTTCGATGTCGAGATTTACGCAGCAACTTTGAACGCTTCATGGGCCTTCTTGATCGAGTCAATGTCGACGCGCGTGCCGCGTTCTCCGTTGGCCCACTTCCACGCGGCAAAGTCGACATCACTGCGAGACGCGATTTTGCTCTTCAAAGGTTCCTTGGTGGCGGCACGCACGACCATGGCGGCCTTGTTCACGTATTGAAGGTAGGACAGGCCCGCCGAGCGCCACAACGAAGTTCCTCCAGGTGCCATGATGTCACAGAGTTGCAAGTCCGTTCAAAAGTAAACGACCTCTCCACCACTCGCACCGAAGTGAGGTGGCGGTATAGTATTTCACAGGTCCCCTGTACGATTCGATGACGTTATAAAATGCATCGCTTCCACCAACACTCTACATATTATAACGTGGCATAATGACCTCTATATAGACATATCGTACCTTGCGAGACACATACAAAACATAGAGGTTAGTCAATTCGCACTTTAGACGATCTGCTACAGAAGCGTTTGGATTGGTCCAAATGAACTCGCAACGGGATTTTTGACTGGTGACGACGGAAAAGGTTCAACTTCAGCGGATCATCCAAGATGCTCGTGGTCAAGCCATCGACGCTGGCGGCGGCGGCGACGCTAGCCGTCGTGTCGGCCTCCATTGCCTATGTGCTGTGGAAGCAACGTCGGCACGAGAATGCCTCATCCAAAGCTCAATCTCGCAAAGCGTCGACTGGGTGCTGCACCAACAACACGACTGAGACGTCCACAGGATGCTGTCAGAATAACAGCAGTGGCCACAACGGCGACGACGCTGAAGAGAGCAACAAACCTGTTGCAGTGCGCATCTTGTACGGGACGCACACGGGCACGGCCAAAGGTAATGTGTCCTGCTTCTCGTCCATGCGAATTCACGCTCGGTCGACATCCAGGATATGCCGTGGCATTGCAAAAAAAGCTGTTTGCACTCAATGTAGCCGGGTATGCGTTCGAGCCGTCCGTCGTGGACATGAAGGATTACGACCAAGTACGCAAGTTCAAGCGAACCGACGGCGCTAACACAACTTCCCTAGGACAACTTGGAACATGAGCAGGTGCTGATCGCGATCTTGTCAACGTGGACGGGCGGTGTTCCACCCGAATCGGCGATGGTATTTTGCAATTGGGTGCAGGACATGGCGCAGGACTTTCGTGTGTCCAAGACATGGCTCAAGCACGTCCATGTGGCTGTGTACGGACTGGGTAATTCGGAATACGACGAAAACTTTGGCAAGGCATCCAAGGCATTGAGCAAGCACTTCAGCACTCTCGGTGCCTCGCGCCTGTGCCCTCGCGGTGTCGGCGACGACAACCACGACCAGACCGCGCAGTTTGACACATGGAGCGACCACTTGATTGCGTCTTTGTGCGAGCAGTACGTCATTTTGCAAAAGCCTGCGACGGCCGACGCGGATGCACGCAACAGCAAGGTGGCGGGGTGGAAGTCGCAGAACGAATTCCGCCGTCAAAAGCGCAAGGAGAAAGCAGCGGCGAACGGCGAAGACAACGAAGAAGCCATGTGGACTGCGGAAGATCAAATGAACGAGATTGTGCTCGAGTTGGACCAGGGCGACGATAGCGACGAGGACGGTCCTTCACGACGCACCAAGGGCAACGGGGTCGTCGACGTTGAAGACATTGGCGTCGTGATGAAGGAGTCGGAAGCAGCCGCGTTGTCGCGAGAAATGGTCACGCCGTTACAGCGCAAAGCCTTGACAAAGGAAGGGTACAAGATCATCGGGACCCACAGTGCGGTCAAACTATGCCGCTGGACCAAGCATCAGCTGCGAGGGCGCGGTGGATGTTACAAGCACACGTTCTACGGGATCACGAGCTACCAGTGCATGGAGACAACGCCATCTCTCGCGTGTGCAAACAAGTGCGTGTTCTGCTGGCGTCACCACAAAAATCCAGTTGGCCGCGAGTGGCGGTGGAAGACGGACGACGCGAAGGAGCTCGTGGAAGGCGCAATCTCTCGCCATCAAACGATGATTAAGGAAGTCAAGGGGCTACCTGGTTTAATCCAGAGCCGGTGGGAGGAAGCGTTTACGGTCCGGCACTGCGCACTCAGTTTGGTCGGCGAACCGATTATGTACCCGCACATCAATGAGTTTTGCCGCGAGCTGCATGCCCGTCAAATCAGTTCGTTCTTGGTCACGAATGCGCAGTTCCCCGAGAAAATTGCCGCGCTCGAACCCATCACGCAACTTTATGTGAGTGTCGACGCCGCCACCAAGGACTCGCTCAAGGCGATCGATCGCCCGTTGTTTAAAGATTTCTGGGAGCGATTCCTTAGCTGCCTGACCCAGCTCAAAGCCAAGGGCCAGCGCACGGTATACCATGCATGCGATGGCTGGGAGCGATGTCACGGGAGACGTGTCTGTAGGTGTATCGCATGACGTTGGTCAAGGAGCACAACATGAAAGAGATCGACAACTACGTCGAACTCATCCACATGGGCGAGCCAGATTTGATCGAAATCAAAGCTGTCACGTACTGCGGCAAGAGCGACGCGTCCGACTTGACCATGCAAAACGTGCCGTACCACCAAGAAGTGCGCGACTTTTGCGAACTCCTGTGCGCCAAACTCGGCTGCGGGTATGCGCTCGCAACCGAACACGCCCACTCGAACTGCGTCCTGATCGCCAAAACGGCCTTCAAGATCGATGGTCAGTGGCACACATGGATTGACTACGACAAGTTCCACTCGCTCATCCAAGCGTACGTAACCACACTGCTTCGCCGTCGGTGAATGCGACATGGATCTCTCATGATGGTTGTGTAGGTACTACAAGGACGGCACGCCGTTCACGACGATGGATTACATCGCGCCGACGCCGGCGTGGGCCGTGTACAACGCCCCGGAAGCAGGATTTGACCCGATCGAGACGCGCTTTCGGCGTACGAAGGAAGGCAAAGTCGTCGAAATCGAGTACACTGCAACCGATTCGGGCTGTGGTTAGAGTGCTTGGATGAGTTGTCTGTCACGGCAAGACCCCCACACGGGGGCGGTGACGTCGCCAGAACGATGGGATTGAGATTTTGTACGCTGATTTGACGAGTATGTTCAGTAACTGGGGTCGCATTTGGGCTCATTACGCAAGCACTCGAAAGAAGAACTGAGTCTCGAGCCCGCCGTCTTCGGGACAATCCGTGCAGTGCACGGCATTCTGCATGTTGGTGTGCCCAAACACGGCGCGAAGGGTCGTGGGGGCCAATTCCCTCGCGACTTGTACGTCAAACGGCCCACAAAATTCTTGAAAACGATTCACCACGTCGTTGCCGCGGACTTCGACGGCCACCAACGGCCCACTCGACATGTACTTGACCAGTTCCTAGAAAGGTCGTTCTGCCGACGACGCGGGCAAAGGAGCGTTCTAGGTCGTACGTGATATTGACGCGTCACGGGCTTGTAGATTGCGAGAAATGCGTCGATGGCTGCGACGGGAACATGCACGAGCTTAAGCGCCGAGATCTCAAAACCTGCCGTCAGTATTTTATCGACGACAGCGCCACATTGACCTACGAATGAGCGCGAAGGCTTGGAGAGAGAGAACATTTGGAAGCTAAAGTACCGGCCTTGACCACTCGAGGTCGAATGAGGCAGAGCGTCGAGCAGTCGTCCATCGCGGCAGTCGTGGGAAATGCATTTGCATCAAAGAAGTACGGAGATGCACGGCCTGTTACAATGAAGGCTCGAGCAGACCCTGCATGCCAAATTCAGTAACACCACAACAGGATCTTCCATTATACCAAGCTGTCGAAGGGCGTCGGAGACAGCGGCTGGGCCGCCGACGGACACCTCGATCGCGACAGAAAAGTCGCGGGTCCATTCTTGTGAGCTCTCCCTATCCAAGCGGACCATAAGAAAGGACGAACTTATAGGTGCAACGCACGGTGATGGATCCATCCCGTCGACATGTTTGCAGACGATAGCCAAGTCGTTCGGTTTGATATGAATCATGCGCAATTTCACGAGGGAGAGATGGCATGCTTCAAGTGCCGATATGATGCATCCAATGGACCGATATCCCGCGGGATTGATGAGGAAGAGCGTGTTCGCGCCGCGTGACGCGAGGAGGGTTCGTGTGTACTCGTTGGCACAGTCGACGAGGTTGATTTGACGGGAATACCTGCAACATCACACACGTGACCAAGGACGGAGAGTTGAATCGGTGTGCATCGTACACAGACACGCAAGCACCAACAAACAGATCGACAACTTTTAAGCCGGGAAACTTGATTCTCTTCAGGAACGGCTTGAGTGACTTCTTGTCTACCTGGCTCATGTTGTCAAGATCACGGAGCCGTGCTTGGCAGGCAGGTGGATACCATTTCAAGGGACCCGTCGTTGGCATAGTACGTGAGAAGGAAGGACCTTGCTACTTCGGCCTGCGGATCGAACCATTCCGCCACGAACGAATACACCTCCCCGTCCGCCATGGTGCTGCCGCCCAAGTTGAAGAGTCGGCAGCAAACGTTTCAACAAGGCATCCCGGATAACGCCAGAATATCCGGATTCTCAAGTTTGCGCGCTATTGCAAATTCAGGCGATCTGAGTCCCAGACATGATAGCTCAAGTCGACGATGCCATGCAGAAGACGCCCTCCCCGCGGGTTATCTCCTCTTGATACGCAGAATTTCATGGTGGCCCCTGGAGGGACAGACAGGATCGCTTGAATCCTATCGGTTATCCCATGCAACGAGTTACGTTTCGCGTGTATTTTTGGTACGAACCGAGCTGCGCCGACGACTTTTCTGCAAGGGAGCTGGTGTGTTTGTCGATGCAGGAGTAGAAGACAACACGCCACCGAAATCGTCACCAAGCTGCCACCGATTGAGAGCTACACCACCCAGCGTTCACGAGCTCCATGGACGACTTCTTTTTCAGCGAGAAGGAAGCGGAGGGATGCTTTGACGGCGAAATGGTACGTCGTCATCGTACGACAACGACCCATTTTATGATGGACAGAGTGCTTCCGACTTGGAAAAACTCGAAGTGGAAGAAGACATGCCCGAGGTACCGCGGGCGAACATGCTACTTCGTACAGGGCTCAAGCAGCAGAAGCTGAGCGTGCTCGTGTCCATTCCCAAGATCCTCGCGGCCACCAATTCGAAGGAAAACCTCTCCACGATTCTCGAAGCGATCAAGGTATGTTCCAGCTGGCTGATGGCACGGTGTTCGTATGCTTGTGATGGCATGCACGATTATCTCGTGTTGCTCACGTTGTCCTGCGATGGTGCCGCGAATATAGCATACTTGGAAGAAGGGGGAGACGGACAATGACGTGGAAGTTATCAACGAAGTGTTCACGTGCATCCAGAACTTGGCCAGCGTCACCGCTGATGGCAAAATCATCACATACCCGATGACGTCGTTGTTTGAAGAGTTCGATGCGTCGTTGCGGCAATACAACGATGAGAAGGTGACTGCTGTCTTCTTGTTGACGGAAGACCAAGTAACCAAGCAATTGCTGCCACTTGTGCTCGAATTTGTGCATGAACTGCAGCTCAAAGACCATGCGGAGGTTGCGAGTCATTGCGTGGCTGCCATGATTCCACGCCTGTCGGGGTCGCTGAAAAAGACTCAAGTGCGTTTCCTTTAGACCAAAACGAGTGACGTTATCATGGCAATGTAGATCATTCGTATCGGCATCGAAAAAGGCGACGTGTCCCAAGGCGCGGGGTCCCGGCTGATCTGCTGTCTCATCCTTGGCGTCCTCACAGCATCCACTCTCCTGTCGGAACAAGATATTGATGGGCTTTTCTTCCAAAAGGTACGCCAGCGGCATCACTACTCGTCAGCAACCCTTACAACTGCGCTGGAACATAGATGATGGCGCTGTGTCAGGACACTGATGCTGAAGTCCGAAGGTGTATGTGCATGCAGCTGGACGCTCTGGCTCGGGCAATCGGGTAAGATTTCCTGTCAACTCGATGTCCACGATGTTTACCTGACAATTTATTCAGGCAACACAAAGCCAGTGCCGAGTTGCTCCCCGAGTTGCTGGAATTGCTTCAAGACGAAGAGGAACAAGTAAGACCGACCACGCGGTCCATAGCGCGTGTTACAAAGCGCTGCGTAGGTGAAAGTTATGGCATTTCGTACATTGCTGTCGTTGTACGATTACTTTCCTGCGCGTGACCGCCGCGACGTGATTCTCCCAGTGCTGTCTGAGATCTTGGAGCACCCGCCGTGCTATTTAATTTTGCCCCTTGCGACGCAATTTGGTCGCCTCGTCTTCAAGCTGTTCTCGCTCGGAGATTTTACCACCGATCACACTGCAACCTTCCAAGCGTGCTACACATCACTGAGTCGCAACGACTGTCCCGGCGTTCGACTCGAATGCGCGCGAAACTTTCCTGCTGTTGTCCAAGCGTTTGGCCCAGCCCAGTACTCTCCCCACCTCGATGACCTCCTCCAAGTGTTCCTCCAAGATTCGTCCGAGCCAGTATGTGTGCCATCAAACTGTCAAGCATGCTTGCGTTGGCTTGCCAATTGCTAACTTGATTGTTGACAGGTTCGTCAAAGTGTAGTGTCCGGCCTACACGAAATCGCGACTCTTCTCGGTCCGCAGCGCGCCCAGCGTTACCTCAAGGCCACGTCTCTATCTGTCTTCAAGGACGAGTCGCCAACAGTCCAAGGCCACCTCATCGCTTGCCTTCCTTCCCTCGTTCCGACGATTTGCACAGGTGTCGACGACGACTCCAAGGTACAAAGTAGTCAGGAATTCAAATCCGTCGTCGGGGCTCAATGGGTTCTCGTGGTTGTAGAGTTCGTATATTGACGCCGTCTTGAAAGCGATTTTACACCATCACACGATCATCGCACCGGGGCGGTGGCGGGAGCAACTGGCTGTCGTCGAGTCGCTGCAGCAATTTCCCTCGTTCGTATCGTCCACACAGCTCTTTGAACGCGTGTGCCCATTGCTCTTTGAGCTGATGAATGCGGTACGTGTTTGGCATGGCAGCACTTTAGTCTGACCAGTGCGCGCGATGCAGGGAGCTCGACCAGTTCAAGTCGAAGCGGCCCGAGTCCTTGTGGCTGTGAATCGTGAGAACAAAATCACTGCAAACCGTGTCAACGTCCTCCTGCGATTGAGAAAAGAGTATGCTCTCGGCAAGAACTTTTGGCAGCGCACTCTGTATTTGGACGCGTGCAACTTTGCGTGCGACTATTACAGCCACCACTACTTTCGGTGCAACTACCTCGATCCAGCGATCGATTTACTCGAGGTACGACTCAAGTCCCAAAGTTGCAACATCCACGAAGGCAGCATGATTGCCGACTCCCCCGAGCCTTTTTTTTTATCGTGCATCAATAACGCTGGATGATGCTTTTGTCCAGGACCCGGTGCCGAACGTTCGGCTGAAAGCGTTTGCACTTTTGCCCAAGTGGAAGCCCGTGCTGAATGTGCTAAACACGGGCGACGATAAGGTCATTGGGCGCATTCGAAGCTTGTTGGAGGCAACCCACGAGCCCGATCGAGACGTGCTTTACACGGTGCACGACGTGCGAGAAGCGTGGTTTCACGACAAAGAGGATAAAGCACTGCAGGACCTGGCGATGGACAAACAGAAGGCAGCGATGGAGGAGGCAGCGAGTTTGAACGGCGACCATGAAATGTACTCGTCCGAGGCCAAGTGGAGCGAAATGCTAGAGTATACGTTGATTGTGGGCAAAGATGGACAAGTCGTCCGTCGCGCACGTGTGAAATCCATCGACATTGTCAACAAACTTCGCCAACAAACCAAGGACATGACGTCTGCGCGAGGGACCGCGTCAAGTGCCAGTAGTGGCGGCAACCTCCGCTCCACGACCAATGCCGCCATGGCGAAAGCTGCGGCAGAAAAACCCACAACCAAGCTCCCCACAACGTCCCCGTCTTCCATGAAGCAACAACCTGCGCCACTGTCAACTTTGCCAACATGCACACCAGGGTTCTCTCAGCTGAATGCGTCAGCAGCTGCGAAGATGCCAAGCGCAAGTGGGTCGTTGTCGGCTCGAGAGGGCAAGGGTGCAAACCCCACGACAAACGCGACCTCACTCAAGCAGCTGGCGGATGCCAAGGCCGCGATCCGACTCAACCCGACAAAGGCCGCGGTGGCGCCTGGAAGTAGTTGTGGGGGGCGTCCTGCAAAGGTACACCATCGTGGTAGCAGAACAACATGGTTGACATGCGTGTGGACACGGATAGGACAAAAAGGAAGAGACAACTCTGACTAAGATCCCTAACATTCCCGTGCCGACGCGACCCGCCGCAGCGCCACCGGCGAAGCGTGTGCAGAGTCCATCCACAACAAAATCCACAGCGTTGAACTCGACAAATGGCAGTCGAACGGCGTCGGGATCTGCATCTGTGTCAACGGCAAATGTCAAGGTCACACCACTGGCCAAGCGCTGACCAGTTGAGCTGTCGTTACTAGGGCTGAACATAACACCTTCTCCTTTCACGCATCTTTCATCACCGCCATCGCCAGTCTTACTCGGTGCCATCGCCGCGAGCCTTTGTCGGGTTTCTTCAACTACGAGCACGGGACCCGTGAAATTTAATTTTTTCAGTTTTGCACGTATCGGTGTCGCAAATTCAATGCGACATTCTGGGGCTGAGGGACAGTCGTCATGCAACCCAGTCGAGTGATATGCAGCAGATACGCTGTCGGCCAGGCACCCAACTTAGCTTAACTCGTCGAACCCATCGCCACAGACGCAAGTTTTTTTGTCGATTCCAGGAACGTCCACGTCGTTCCCCCTCGCTGGATACTGGAGAGGGATTGTCACCGCCTTTTTCCTGCAAATACCAATTTTCGTGCAAGCTTCGCATCATGTCTGCATGGCGCGAGGCCAATCAAAAAGCTCCAATACCTCTATACCATGTTTGATTGGCTGAGACAAGTGGTTGCCGTCGGCGTCGTTTGCTCGGAGCCAATCAAATCACCGCAAAGGTTAACTGCGCGTTATTTCATTGGCGGAGATACTATACAGTTTGGGAGGATTTTGTCGAGCACCCAAGTCCAAAAAGAAACAACATTTGCAGTCGGCCCAGAACCGCCCATCCAGAACTCGAGCTTCACTTCCTGAATGTTGCCGACCAAGCTCGCAGTTCGCCGATCCATGAGCTCCTTGACGAAGAAGACCATCAACCCTCGCGTCGTCGAAGCCGAGTATGCTGTCCGCGGTCCGCTGGTTCTCAAGTCGATCGAACTTCAGAAGCGCTTGAGCGCTGGGGAGAAACTCCCTTTCGACAAGATCATTTCGTGCAACATCGGGAACCCCCAATCGCTTGGCCAGAAACCGATTCAATTCCACCGCGAAGTCTTGGCCTTGGTCAACATGCCTGGCTTGGTGGACCACCCGTCCGCGCCGTCCATTTTCAAACCTGACGCGATCGCCCGCGCCAAGCGCTACCTTCAACGCATTCCTGGTGGCACTGGTGCCTATGGTCATTCTAAAGGCGCTGATGTTGTTCGCGAAGAAGTCGCCCAGTTCCTCTATGAACGCGATGGGTACAAAGCGGATCCTGAATCCATTTTCTTGACCGATGGTGCCTCCCAAGCTGTGCAATCGATTTTGTTGGCGTGCATTCGCGACGAAAATGACTCGATCCTGGTCCCCATTCCCCAATACCCGTTGTACTCTGCTGCGATTGCCATCAACGGCGGCACTTTGAGCGGTTACTATCTCGACGAGTCGACTGGCTGGAGCATGAGCATCCCCGAGCTCAAGCGCACGATTGGCGAAGCCCGTGCCAAAGGCAAGACCCCGCGCGCTTTGGTCGTGATCAACCCCGGCAATCCGACTGGTCAAATCTTGAGTGAAGACAACATGCGTGACATCATCACGTTTTGCAAGGAAGAAAAGCTCGTGCTCATGGCAGATGAAGTGTACCAAGAGAACGTATACGCGTCCGACAAGCACTTCGTCTCGTTCAAGAAGGTTCTCCGTGACATGAACAGCGACGTGGAACTTGCGAGCTTCCACTCGACGTCCAAGGGGTTCACCGGCGAGTGCGGCCGCCGCGGAGGCTACATGGAGCTTGTCAACTTTGACCACGACGTGATGGAAGAACTGTACAAGCTCGTGTCGATCAACTTGTGCTCGAACATTGAAGGACAGCTCATGGTCGCGCTCATGACGAACCCTCCCAAGCCCGGCGACGCATCGTACGACCTGTACGTCTCCCAACGCGACGAAATCGTGAACTCGTTGAAGCGCCGCGCGCTCAAATTGGTTGCGTCCTTCAACGAGTTGGAAGGCGTGACTTGCAATGCGACGGAAGGTGCGATGTACACGTTCCCTCGCATTACGGTCCCTGCCAAGGCCGTCGCTGAAGCGAAGAAGGTCGGCCAAGCCCCCGATGCATTCTACGCGTTTGCCCTTTTGAACGCTACGGGCATTGTTGTCGTTCCCGGCTCTGGGTTCGGCCAGGAAGATGGTACGTTCCACTTCCGATCGACGATCTTGCCGCCTGAAGAAGCCATCGACGAAGTGATCGCGAAGACCGCCAAGTTCCACGCCGACTTCATGAACAAGTACCGATAAAGAATCCAAAAAGTGTTGCAAATTTTGGTGAAAAATACACCAATTTGATGTGGATTTTTCCATTCTTTTTGCATATCTTGGCAATTCCCGACACGCCTCTTGATTGGGAAATGAAGAGCCAATGAACGACAAGGATTGGCGCTTCTCGTTATTGGTTGCGTGGAATTGGCGAGGTCAACCAAGATGGCACGCCGACGAGCGCCGGAGGTTGACATCTCCGCTGTCACAAGCCTCTTGCAATGGAGGTCGAAGAGCAAGGTCGATAGGCAAGCTGATGAATCGTCGTCTATTGCATTGGCGCAGCAGGTCTTGGCAAATGATGCCACGCTGACGGCGATCGAAGCTACGCTGCATGTTTCTCGCACGCGAGTGCTTCAAGCGTTGCTCGAGTACGCCGTGTTCTTGGCCACCACGAACGAATCGTCGTCGTCGACAAGTGCTCAGTCGTTCTTGTTTCTCTCCAAGGCCATGCTCCAGACGACGTCATATCAGTTGTCGCTTCAATTGTGCACCCAGCTCCTGCAAGCCATGATCCGCGTACTCGCTGAACATGCTGCTTCGTGCCTGTCGAACGCACCTTCTTTTGACGACGCGCTAGTCGACAGCATTGCGTCCGTGTTTGTCCGACTATTTGAAGCAACCTCCACGACAGCGTTCGTTCCTCGATTTGGGACATTCAAGCCACCGACCGATGTCTTCGCCACCTTTTTTCACTCGAGTTTGACGTCGCTGCTGGCTTTGGCATCTACCGCTCCATCCAAAACGATCTCGATGTTCGGCTTGGCTATTCTCAAGACCCACCACGCGCTCCAGACAAATCAAACAAACAAGAAGAAGGTATTTCTAGCGTGCAAGCAATCCCTCGCAACGCTTGTCACCCTTCGCGCGTCCATGGCGGCGCTCCTTCCGTACAGTGCCTCCATGCTTCAAGAATTGGATGCGTCCATCGCCGACGCATTGTTTGATCAAGAACACTTGCATGGGTACGGCGGCCTCGTCGTCGCCAGGACTGCATACCCCGCACCCCCAACGTCCACCACCGCGGAAGACGAGCCTGCCCCTGCCGCTCCTCTCAAGAAGAAGGCCAAGGGTGATGGGCAACGACATGGCGCAAAGGCTCCTTTGCAATCGTATCAACATGGATTGTTCGACGAAATCAGCCAGCTCCTATCCGACAGCGCCATCTCCAGCCATGTCGCTCCGTTTCTGCAAATGCTTGTGCGCGAATACACCGTTTACATTCGTCGGTCGACCGCTTCGAACACCCTTGGCATCGGCGCGGAAAAGAGAGGGGCGCAAAAGCGCAAAGCTGCCGGTGCAGCAAAGCCCAATGCGATCACTCCATCATTTGCTTTTTGGCTCGACGCGTGCGCTGTGACGACCACGTTCTTGGCGCAGTCGCCAGCGTCCACTCTAAATCAGGCAAATGGCAGTGCACTGTGGCACTGTCTCTGGGATGTCATGAACATGAGTGACATTTATCGCGTCGCGGAAGACAATGCGGCCCAACACCAATACTACTACCTCGAGCAAACCGTTGCGTCGGTGATGGACCACCTCAATGCTGGCGCGTCTGCAGCGACGGACACTGCCTTGCTGTCTAACATGGTCCAATGTTCGCCCAAGATTTTGCAGCCGCATTTGTCCAGTGTGTTTGCGTACTTGAGTGCGATCGCCAGGGATGTATCGAGCGCCGCCGCGTGCTTGGCCAGCCTCGTCGCGTCGTATGATGGCATGCGGTTGCTGGAAGAGTTTCTCGCAGTGTTGTTTCGAGGCACGTCGAAAGCGCTGCACCAACTCAGCAACTTGTTTGCGCACAGCAAGCAACTGGACGCAAAAATGCGCGCAGCGTTTGCCAACATGCCCGCCGGGCAAATCGAGTCACTCTGGCTATTCTTCCACGACGCCATGTATCGGTCCATGAACGCCAAGGACGCGGTGAACGATGGCCAGATCCGCCTCGTGCGCACCGTGTTTGCGTTGTACATGCAAGAAGTTCCGGTATCACTGCACGTTCAACCGGTGCTACTCCAATGCGCAAAGCAAACGTTCGATTTGGTCTTGCTGCCGCATGCACTCGCATCCTCATCCTTGTCGTCCACGCCGTCGAAGCGCGATCAGTGTGCAGTGCTGCAACGAGAGGCTCTGTGCTTGTTGGGGGAGCTCTTGGCGTTGACAGACAAAGGCGTCGACGTGTCGTTTGTCGTGGCCGCAGTATTCGACCCGAACGAGGCCACCGTCAGCGTGTTTGAAGTCGCGATTCCATCCATGTTTGCCATGGACGAAAAGTCGTCGCCGAGCGTTCGAGACTACGAGGGAGGGATCCTGAAATTGTGCGCGACGCGAGTGCGGCAACTCATGTCGACGTTTCGACCAACGGACGCAGAACCGGTCGCGTCCTTTGCCCTACATCAAGCAGCCGCTCGCCTGGACCTCGTCATTGCAATCACACCGTTTCTGAACGAGCTCGGCCACGCGGCGAGTGCATCTGCATGTGAAAGCTTTGTGAATGCGATTACCCTCGCAGCCATCGACCATGTCCTCGTGCCGAACCTGTTTTTGGACGCTGGTTTCTATGAAATTCGACCCTTCCTCCGCGTCCTCCCAACCGTGTTCACCGCGATATTAACGCGTCGGACGTGGGCGGCGTTTATCAACTCGACAAAAACCAAAACAAAGATGACCGCCACTTCTCTCGCCGTTCCCACATGGACTGCGCTCAAGGCACAATTGAAGGAATCCAAATCGGCGAAGGTCATCGACCCGGTCGCCTTGCCCCCGCTCAAGGCCACCGTCGATTTTATGAAGGCGGTCCCGATTCCAACCGAAAAATCGACAAACGACCTGTTTGGGTGCATTCTCGAGATGGAATCGCTGCTCACGTTGGCAGCAGATGCATCTCACAAAACCACTCAGTCTTCCCTTCGAGCCATCACGCATGTGCTGCATGAATGGCTTCAGTCGTTGCTGGCGATCGTGGCCTCGCCGTTGCACTCGACTGCTCTGGCGCTCTTGGAACTCTGGACAACCGAGTTGCTGTCGCGTCCGTTCACGTTCCAAGCCAACTTTCACCTGTGGAACGAACTTTTTCGAGTGTTCGTGCAGTACCATCCCAACCAAATGGCCGTTGTCAACGACGCCGTCGTGGAGTTGGCTACGAATGATTTCAACGGCGCGCATAATACAACCACGACCCACATGGACGTAGTCGCCTTGTGCCTCGAGTCCTGGGCAACATCGACCCATGTACTGGGCGATCGTTTTTTTCAGACCTTGCTGCCTGTGTTGGCCACGCGATTCGACCAACGCACCTCCGACGATGCCCATGTACTCGCCGCAGCCCTGCAGTACTGCCATCGCTCCAAGGGCGGCCGCGTGCATCCAACGTTGCTGCCGGTCATCGGCCCATATCTTGCAATGGCATGTCGAAGAATTGTAAAGGACCAAGAAATTCCGGACGGCACGTCGCCGTCGATGCGGCTCGTTCACGTCGTGTGCAGCCAAATTCGTAGCTTGAACTTGGATTTGGCAAGTGTCGGCCGCCTCGTGGCAACGTTGCTCATCCGGTTTGAAAAGGACGACGCTCCATCAGCAGTGGTGGCGCCTTTCGTACAACTCGTGGAAAGCGCCACACCGGACGAATTTCACCTTGTTTGGTACACTCTCAGGACTGAACTCACGGTTTTGACCGATCCCGCCCGCGTTCTTGCTGCATTGCGGGCCATGCTGGTCGTGTTGCGCATGGAACGAAGCGCCAAGACCCACCGCGTGCTGGCGGACTCTGCAAAAACCACGTTGGCCATGCTCGTCCACATTTGCAACGATGCGTCGTCCGCCACGAGTGTGACAGATGTCCACGTCGCCGCCGTTCGAGTGGTCGCCCAGGCGTTCACGAAAGGAGGGGATGCCTTCGACTGGCACGTGGCTGACATCCACGTGGCTTTGCTGGCATTGCAGCCGTTGATTTCCGCGACGTCGTCGCAACAATCGCCCGCATCGTTAGGAGAAGGTCTCGTGCCACAGCTGTGGCAGGAGTCGTATTTGCTCCTGCTGCGGCTCTTGCGTCAATACCCCACAACGCTTCCGCAGTACTTGCCGCACTTTGTCGCGGGATGCAATACCCTGTTGCGAGCCCTGCTCCAACTTGCCGCTGCTAGCAAGACCCCTCAGCACCCGCACCACACGCTCCTGCACTTGTGGGCATCCAACCTGACTCGACTATACGGGTACATGCTGCCGCATGCTACGTCGTTCCGCAAGCACATGGTGTACATGCTGTTTGAGTTTTTCCAGAGCCACAAGCACGACGACCTCCCACTCGACGTCCAGCTTACGTTGCGCCCGGGCATTTACGCCCTCTTTGACATTTGCTCGAAGTACGAAAAGGAGCAGCTCTACGGGACCCTCGACAGTACGGGCAAGGTGCTGCTCAAGTCGATCGATGCCCAGTACAAGGAAACCCATCAGTACACTGGTAAAGTGTAACTCGACAGTGATGACATTCCCTCGCTTCTTCAACACTTGGAACGCATGCATGCAACGCACTCGACGACAAGTCTCCATGCGTACCACCGTGACGAGCTTCTTGACTTGCACGAAGGAGTCGGCTGGAATACACACCCTAACCACGTACACGGCTCGAGATGTCCGTGCCTTGCTTCGTCGTGTGCTGTTCAAAGGGGTCGGAGATCCGACTACGGCGATTTCGAAGCCATTCAACCGGGCTGATGGGAGGGCTCAGCATCGAGCTCTGAACATTGTCGAGAATTCCGTTCACTGGTAGCACTTTCTATTTCACCGTTGTGCTGTCATATGAATGCCCCGACTTTCACACGAAAAACGAGCCCAAGTCGTTCCGTCTTCGTACGAGATACGAGCGAGAGGGGCCAAGGCGATTTGCGAGGCGGGTGCTTCGCCTGCCTTGGCCGGGCGGGTCGTCGGCTCGTTGTGTTGTTGGGGATCGAAATTAGGGAAGACGAAATTTATTTCGCCAATCAAGTTGCAAGAACGAGACTTTATCATCCAATCATGTGCATCCCAGTTGCCCGTTTTCTCCAACGACAACATCGCGCGCTTCGGAAGAATTGTAGACGGCTCGACCATGGAAGTGTTCTTGTGCCCCATCACGCATGAATGGATGGAGGACCCTGTCGTGGCAAGCGATGGACACTCATACGATCGCGCAAGTATCACACGCTGGTTCACCACCCACAACACGAGCCCCGCCACGAACACACGTTTGCTCGACAAGACTCTTGTCCCAAACTGGGCTCTGAAGAATGCTATGGCGCAATGGAGTCAAATTCCAGCACCTCCACAACTTTCTGACGTGCCTGAATCGGGCTACTTGGTCTTTACCGTCGAGAAACCCGCTGCGTCAGTCCCCGCGACACGATGACGTTCCCGACGACCACTGCGTCTTGAACACTGGCACCATTGTCGTAGGAAAGACTCGAGTCCTAGGGGACCACAGGTCAATTATGGTGGAACTGGAGATGGGATCGCAAGCCACGACTCGGCGATTCATCGTCGAGTCGGACATGTATGGAACATACTTGACGCGGTTTGTGCCAACGGACGAAGTCCAAGTGTTTTACATCAAGGGGCCGGTCCGATGGAGCGTGTGGCCATCGCATGCAGCCCCGCCGGTAGAAGCAGCCGGCGCCATTCCGGTCAACTCTTGTCTGTCGACATCGGCTACGGTGACCTGCCGCGAAGGCACATTTGTGCGTGTGCAAGGCTCGTCACACTGGCTTTGTCTCGACCCTGCGTCAATGGAGAAACTGGCACTGGAGACGGTGTCGCGAACGTATCTCTTGTCGACAGAGGTGCGTCGCGTTCATGGCGATGCAACTCATGGCGTGATTGGAGAAGGCGACCCAACGAGCGAATGCGTGTGTGTGCTTTAGCCATGCATTGTCGACGCTTCCACTCCGCTCCATTGTCAAAACCAAGCGCATTCTGGCAGGCGTCGAACCTACGACCGTGCTAACAGTGGATGACACGTGGGTTTCGCTTCCCCATCGCAGCACGCACCGGCCCAAAAGTGTCCCGCCTGCTGGCCGTCTCATTCAGCTGTGTCTCCAGGAGAATGTGTATGTCGTCGTTCTCAACGAAGTACACGAGGACGGCGACGCTCTATCGCAATTCCACGTGACATCTCACGTCCCCGATGCGCTGACTCGAGAGCTTGACGCCTGTCGCGCTTCTGGTTCGGCTGGTTCACACAAAGCAACTGTGTTTCAACTTGGATCGTCTAGGTCAGCCCATTGAGAGAGTGGCCCTGGGGGCGGACGGTGCATGGTACCTGAGTTACATGACGCGAGCGGGGCGTGTCAAGCGATGCTCGTCCAACACATTGATTGCCGCGTATCGGGACTTGCACATCAGAGGGATCAAGCGGGCGAGGGACAGCGTCGTCCGTGAGTACCAAGGCAACCCCGAGTTAATCCAAGCATTGACCAAGCCCCTGCAAGGGTATGGGGACGTCGTGGCGGGTATGTGGTGGCTCTTCTTACTCCTTCTTGACCTCCATGGCGCTTGTCGCAGTGAGATGTACGGAGCGTAGATCGTTTGTTGTGCTGTTTGACTACACCTTTGTCGCAAGCCCTGACATCCCCGAGCTTTTGACAGCGACCCTCCAGCAATTCTACGACAAACACGGAAAACTACGCCAAAATCGAGACCGGCTTATCGCCAAGTTCCACCGCGTCCGACGGGAATCGTAAAATTGAATCAACGAACCAAACCGACGGTCCCCACTGCGTCGTACTCGTCGACGCCCTGCCGAGTGTTTGATGTAAAGTCGATGGCTCTGGACCTGCCAGCCCCCCCCACACATCAGTGACGTTGAATATGCACTCTTATCATGAATGGTAAGCCCAAATTTGTTTGTCATCATGGCCTTCATGAGTGGGAAAGCTTGCATATTTTACGACATGCATCTGGGCATTTTTGTTGCACGTGTGCTCCCCGTACAAAAACTCCGCATGCCGAACGCTCCAAGGTGCTTCCCCTTCCTGCATGACTCGCGGACGCGGTGAGACTCGTTTGACCTTGAATCCCATGCTCCGACTCCAATGACATCGCGCCGCATCGCTCGCATGGGGCCTCTTGAGGAATTGGGAAATAAGTGTCAAGAATTCACAAAATGATTTTCGGAAAAATGAAAAATCGTCTGGTACAAACACTCTTTCTAAAAATGTACGTCATTCACCGATTTTTATCCCCAACGCCATTGCGCATTTCTTGACCGTGACGACCCCTGCAGCCGCCGCCCGCGCGATGACGACGATGAGCGAAGACATGAGGGTGTCTGGCGAGCTCAATAAAATGATCCAGCGCGAGATTGAAACCATGCTGGATCGCATGGAGACGTACGCGTCCTGGCAGATCTGAATAATGGAGAACATGACAACAGGGTGTTAGACTGCGGCTGCAAAGCAAATTTGCGTCCTTTTCCAAGGTGCATGTCCCGATGGTCCTCGTTTTGGGCAACCACTCGTCAGGGAAGAGTACATTTATCAACCACATGTTGAACCAAGAAGTCCAGAAGACGGGTCGTGCCCCCACTGACTGTATGTTCACCGTTTTGATGGGCGGGAAACGCGCGGAGCGTCTCGACGGTCATGCACTGTCGCGCGACAACAAATTCGGGTTCCAAGACATTAAAGGACTGTTTGGCGCGGATTTTGTGTCCCAGGTTGAGCTCAAGGTCCTTGAGGACTGTGCTTTGTTGGACTCGACTGGCATGATGATCATCGATTCTCCGGGTATGATTGACCCTCCCGGCAGCACAACACAGTCCCGCGATCGCACCGACATGGATCGCGGCTACGATTTCAAGAAGGTTGTTCGATGGCTTGCAGGTGCGTCATTCCCTAGGTCACGTCATGTCCTCATGTTGATGCTTCCATCTACAGAGCGGGCGGACCTCATCCTTGTCATGTTCGACCCAGACAAGCCAGGGACAACTTTCGAGTCCCTGGATGTGCTCACGACGTCTCTGAACCACGTGAACTCGAAAGTCCGCCTCATCCTCAACAAGGTTGACGACTTCAAGACCGTCCACGACTTTGCCAGGGCGTACGGCGCGCTGTGCTGGAATCTCAGCAAGGTTATACCTCGCAAGGTACGTTTCCTAGCACTCATTTGATTTTTGGCCCATCAAATGTGCATGCTCAACATGCTATTTCTCAACTTTCTCTTGTTGAGTCTTCTCATGATTGTGGTCGTGGTCAGGACATGCCGTTTATATACACTATGTACGTGCCAGTTCGTGGTGCGCTCGCGCCGACGTCGTCCAGCTCGGAAGAGGCAATGTTGTCTTCGCTGCTGCATACGGAATTCGATGGAACCCGCGGTGAAATTCTCCGAGAAGTGCAGCGCGCCCCCGATCTCGCGACCGACAACCTCCTCACGTCGTTCAAGGCTCTTGGCGCCCGACTCAAGGTAATTATTTTCCTGTGTGGCTTGTCCAGGATATTCTCTCTCCAGAGCAACGGGTACCCGTTGGAGGGATCCTTATATTTCCATCGCGTTCGAGCGGAAGAAACGTCATGGTGATGTGGTAGATGCATGTGACTCTTATTGAAGCGTGCCAACGAGAATACGTGTGGGTGAAGCACCTCTGGCACGGCATCACGATGGGGCTCATTGCGGCCGGCGTCGGCGTCAGCGCGTTGTACATCTTTCGAACATGGGGGGAATCAAAGTTGCTGCCTGCGACTTCCACTTCCGCGACACCATCTTCATCAGGGTCGGAGGTACCGACGTGGAAGCAAGATTGGGCGAAACAAGTGGCCCAGTCCAAGGTTCGTTTCTCACTACTCGCGCTAGATCGAGTTGACGCATTCGGTGGACCGACGCTGCGCTATTGTGGTACTCACATGTGTGATGGCAAATGCGTAGCGAACGTTCCGATGGAGCGAGTTTATGAAGATTTCGGGAATTGCCACGACGACGTCCCTGCTGTCGTGGAAGTCTGGCCAGCGCGCGTTGGCCAAGATGCAAGCGGACGTGCTCAAGTGGCTTCCCGCTTTGTTTGCGTCCACGTACGCGTCGTTCCTGTGCAAATCTGATCGCACACACGACGAAACGATGGCAACGTTTAACAGCATTCTCCCGGGCCTCGAAATGGCGCTGACTCAAACCAACTTGGAAGCGTTCGGGGTGTTTCCACTGGCCGAGAAGAATTACCTGGACGAAGTGCTGGCGACGCACGTACCCCGCTTGGACCGGTGTGTGCGCGACCGATCCGGGGATGACTATGCGTACCTCCGGTTCAAGCACATTGAGAAACCCTCGCTGCAGCAGTAGATAGACAAACCCCGCCGCCAGGACTGCAAGGCTCACGACATGGACAAGCCCATAGTCCTCGCCACGAGAAGGGAAACGTTGCAATGAAGCAGGGACCCCATTCCTCTTAGTGTCTTCCTCCTTTGATGACCCCATTGAGACGGCGATACAAGTCGACATCGCCAAATGCTCCATAGTGAGACTCTGCCCAGACGGAAACGGCGAAGTTGACGAGAACGCCATGTGAACATGCCGAAGTATGTGGGGTGTTTGGGGCAACGAAACGATTGAACTGAGTCGAACCATCTGCGTCGAATGCCCGTGCTGGCCAACACTGTTGTGACATCGAACGAGGACCGTGTCATGGCGATTCCTCACGATCCTTGTATCGCATCGCCACAGTGTCTTGGCCACTGCCGTCAGTTCAAAAACAGTTCAACACCAATCACAGCTCAACCTGCAGCCATGTCAATGTAAGGCTGCATGTGAGGGCGGCGCTCAGTGTGCTCGTCTCGTCCGTCGACAGGAGTGCGAGAGCCGACTGTGGAGGTTCCACAACTCGCTACTGTGCCACGACCCCACACTCAAGGCCATGCTCGAGGAACGAACGTGGATTAAACGGTCTTGTTAAAACGTGCACTCGCCTTCTTTCACGAGGAGGGTTTCGCATTGTAACGTGAGTGCATCTCGAGAGGCACTGGCCTTCTCCCGCACCAAGTCGAGCGGCGTCATCCCCTACAACGACCGACCACCATGTCACGACTGCGCCAACGCACGTCCATGCCTACATTGTTGTTGACGGCTCGAACGTTAAAGTTGTTGTCGAGCAACCACACACACACGTGGTGCTGTCCGTTGGCTGCGGCCTTGTGCAGCAAGCAATCCCCCTACACAATCCAGTTGGTCCTGGTGCGGCCCCGTCTCCAGTACAAATTCGGACCTTTCGATCCAAGCTGTCCAAGTTGGCACCGATGTGCCGCAAGTATTCCAAAATATGGACGTGGCCTTCTCGCGCCGCCCAATGTGCAGCTGTCCATCCCATGTACCCTCGCGAGTCGGGGTCCACCTCCACGTTTTCGCACAGCCGCCGCACTTCCGACAGCATTCCTTCCTTGGCTGCCTCGAAAAGCTCGTCGACATGTTGTTCTGCCCTTGTTACGTTGTCACCACACATGGAAGCCCCGTGAACATCCCGCGTGTCGATGGGACCATCTTCGCAAGGGGTTTCCGGCTGCGGCTGCTCGGAGCAGTGCTTCGTTTTCGTTAGGGTGAACATGGGAAGGACATTCTTCGCGCGAAAGAAGTCGGTCCACGTGGCAGTCCCGAGCACCATGCGTCGACGGCTCGATGTGCGAGTATTTTTAGAACTCTCGTCGACGTCGGCAGAAACAGGACGACGGTGACGAGGTACGGGCACTCGCGCATTGCTTAGCCAAACTCGTCGAGCAGGTTGTTCACAAGGCATAT